ATATGGGTTCAAATCCTGATTGTAAATTTCCAAAAAGGAGCACTGCGGGTATAATTATTTCAATTAACAAACCTGAAAGCAGGTAAACAGCTTATACCAAGTCACTGACACTTAAAATGCAACTGTTGAACAAAAAAAACTGAAATCTGAAGAAACAGGTCCATAGAACAAAGATGCCCCCACATTACACTGTTTTGTAATAATTCTACTAACGAAGCATAAAAGCAGTACAGCCTGAGGGATGGTCAAGGGCAAATATTAATCTCCCCTGCCCCTCCTTAAAGTGATGGGGGCATAAAAATATTCAGAAGAGTGATGCCATAATGTAATATCAAACATGCAGATGGCAGTGTAACGATTCAAATATCTGCCCATGGACTTGGTCACTAATTTGACCAGAGTGAATGTTTCTCCCCTGGTCATTCATCATGGATTGATTAAACAAGATAGTTTGACTGGTGTAACAAGATATCAGATAGAAGACATTGGTATATTCATTTTGCTTTTGTAAGACCAGATTTGTATCAAGCCAGTTAAAATTTATAAAAGAAGAGAAATAAGCAAAATATAAACTTACTATTCACATATTTTGGCTAGATGTCAAGAAATGTTATGAAGTACAAGAAATAAATTTTCACTAATTCTTTATTTTAAGTTATAATGTGTTCTTAACATTAAGAAAAGTACATCCTTGGAGCAAACACTAATACAAATTTATTTGTTGCTTTCCCGTTTTACTGTTGGTGACCTTGTCAAATATGTATGACATACATTTTTAATGCACTAGTGCGCGCATTTCTGTAGAACCACAAAACTATCAGCTCAGGCCAGCCTTTTAACATTAAATTCTTCAACATCTATTTCAACCCAAAGAAACCATTCTGTCACAGGAACCGCTCAAACTTTCAAATTATAAGATTTATTTCATTTATTAGAAATATTCTCAAGCCTAACTCCTAAATCTTAACTCAAACAGCATGCAACAACTATTTATAAAAGGCACACATTTCTGCACATTAAGCAAAAAATAACTTCACATTTTGAGTATATTTACACAGTCAAAGAGACATGCAAAACACGAGAGACTTGGTAGCACGATATCTCTCTACATCAAATTGTTTCCACTCACAAACTTGACATATTTGGCATGGAAATTTATTCCAAACAGACATTATTCCGGAGAAATTTTCCTGTTATACAAATAATGCGAGGGAGATAAAAAAGAAAACCTCTCAATATAGTATCAGTTCATGAATGCATTATGAAATGACATTTCTGAAAGCATCTTTACAAAGGAAATCTAGTTATTATAAGAAAAAGCTAGTACTCTTGTGTTAAGAAAAGCTAGTACTCCCTATTACGAAATTGGTTAAGGAATGATTGTCATAGCTTCATTTAAGTTAATTATTACCAAACCCCTAATATTTGTGATTGACAGTTCCAAAGTGATTATAGGACAAGATCTTCATACAAATTAAGCTCGGTAAGACTTATCATCATTGATATTTCTAATAACGGCTGTCTATTAAATCATAAAACTTTCTCCAATATCATTTGGAAGCATGACAGACCAAACACATTAAGGAAAATTCCATCGGAACCACTCTGAGGAATTATATGCTTTGTCAAAATACAGAAATTCATATATAAAGAAACGCGTCTGTGGGCGTTCAGACAATACCAATAACCTGGTAGGCTATTATAGCTATATATATATCAACTTTGCTGCTACGATAGCCAAATGTTACAATAATAAATACAGGGCATTACGAGCCTTGAAAGTAAACACTTTGTTAACCCTTAACCTACTGATTTTGCTACTTTGATATGTCCAGTTTCCATTTATGGATCTGTCAATTATCAATTTTAGAGAAGAATCAAAATGAAAACTAAGTAAGTCAGTTAACAGTGTACAACCTGGTTAGACAAGGTGGCAACAATATGCTCTCCCTTCGCGGAGCATATAAACAGGCTAGCCTTTTTAACATTAAATTTTTTAACATCTATTCAAATCCAAAGAACTGTCGATTATCAGTTTTATAGATGAACAGTGAACAACCTGGTCAGATTTCTAAGACCTGCAAGCTGGCCTTACTCTACACGAGTTGACAAAGGCTATTCACCATCAGTTCCAGCAAGTTATAGGTCAACATTTATCCTTCTAAATTTATATCCATAAACTTGCTCTCCATCAATTTAAAACAGTCCTTTCCTAAATCTAATGTATTTAGATGAATTAATCAGTTGTTTTTTCTCTTGTTATTTCACATTAAAAAACATCTATAACTGCAGAGTAGAAATTGCATCCATATATCAAGATATAGTTTAAAAGACATCATAATAATAACAGGAAGGCTGAGAGTGCTAAAATACACTCAGAAAAATTCCACTCCATCCAGGTCTAATACCTTATCACTCTAACTTAAAATCAATGTGAACATAGCTCATTTTCTCTAGGTGAACTGTGTGTGCTAAATCAACTTCAATTTATTATGGTATCAATTCTGATAGAAACGTAGAAATAATGGTGTTTGACAGAGATACAGAATTAATAGTATTTTTGTTTATTCATCTAAACACCAGCCAAGAAATGGTGTTTACATTAGTTAACAACTGAGATAAGAAACCTGTCCAGAGTTAAGACAATAAGAACAGATAAAATGAATATGTGAGGCAAAAGGGGCTTTCCCTTACCCACCAAGAGGCTTTTTGTCATTAAAAAAAAAAATCATCAAGTTTTCTGTTGGAAGTTTTCTCTGTTTGGGTGCAGTGGGGTGTTTTGTTTGATTTTAATCTAAAGGTCATATGAAGACATTTCGATTCCTCCTCCATGTATTATTTCAGGTACAAGGTGGTACCTGAGTAGAACTTCCAACCTGTTGTCAGCTACCTAAGTAGTTACCCAACATTACAGAATTCATGATCCCACCCACAGCGGTGATGGGCAAGAGGCTCAAAGTCAAAAACCATAAACAGTCTCCCACAGACAGTCCTCTATAACAATTAATGCATCACTTAAAAAGGGGTTAACAGTTCCTTTTTCCAAACCACTTTCATATAAATGCAGAGGAAAATAACAATATAGGATAAATAGCTTCAAAATTCTAAATTTTTGTCTAATAGAAAGTGACATTCAAAAGTACAAGAAACTATTTCACATTACATATGTTTACAGATCTTTTAACAGATAAATTGTTGTTCAGAAATGTCAAAATATAAAAAACATTAATAACTGCATGGAATGCATTGTTTTTTTTCCTTGTCATAAACAAAACTATGATGAACAGAAATTTATCAGATAGAATCTAGAACAGAGAATATAAGAAAGTAACACTGACTGCTGGTAAAGATCAGAATATCTGGCACAGGGGTAACTGTTTATGGCAAAACATTTACCCAGGTGTCAGATATTATTGTCTGTGATGGAACACAGTATTTGATCCTTTTTCATGCATATTTCTTATCAATTAAAACAAATACAATACAAAATTAACAGCAGGAAAACAGCTCCCCTACAAAATGTAAGGAATTTCATTTACAAAACAGCCAAGACCCTCAATATTTGGACAATACCATGGATGAACAAGACACCTTTTATGTTAGACACTATAACATTGATGTTACGGGGGGGGGGGGGAGAACAAGCAACGAGACAATATTTGAATTTGTTATCAACTTCCTTGTTTCTCACATTTAGATACACGACACTGGTGCTATATATAACTTAAATAGCCTATGGCCATTATAACTTATAAAGCATAGAGCCGTTATATATCAATATATATAAATAACTAGCAACTGTAAATGAGACTGACATAAAAGTCAAAGACCTCTTGTTACTGACTTTCTATATCAAAGTACTTACATTATCTTTAAATCAAATATTACAGCCCAATGTTTGTGTCAATCTTGCAAGCTAGGTCATAAAACCTATCTATTTTTTTGTATTTTTTTTTTTGATGTTAGAATCAATTCAAGGGAGATAAATACATCTCAAGGATTGTATTAACATCAGATCTCATTTTGCCAACTGGAAAGTCACAGAAAAGTATCTCATTTCTTGAATATCGTAATTAGTGTCACATCTTTACAGGCAACTTTTTATTAAAATGACATAATACCATAGATATCTCAAGCCAAGATAACATCATTCTTGCCTACAATAAGGGCATATCGGAAAACTATTATAACTCACACCAAATAAAGTAAGAGATACAACTAATTAGCGCCCATCTTCATAAATCGTATCATCAGAATATAGCTAGCTGTTAAGATTTGTCATTAAATCTAGGATCAGGGAATGCACATGTTTGCTGAGTAAAAACATGCTGGGAACTAGATGTCATATGAATGCCTCATTGTTAAACTATAGCACGGGAAAAATTCAATTATTCTAAGAATCCACATTTGGTGATGTCACAGATTTATATAATCTTAAAATCTTTTCTGAATAAGAAAATTAGATTATTGTAGTTAAAATTCTAGTCACTTTTTACACACAACCTGTTTGTGTTACTAAACAAAATCGCCTTCAGTATTAACAACATAAACCTGAAAAGTTGAATGAGATTTAAATTGCAATCATTTTGTATTCTTTAAAAGAAATACAAAATGGATCTAAACAAACCATATTATGTTTGAGTGCTAACAAATAGTATTAATCACCTCCATACTTATCCAATTTGTGTATAGTTCCTAACACTTTTCTTAATCAGCTGACAGGGCTTCCATTATGTTCCAAAAGTGAGAGACAGCAAACTATCTGACATCGGAAATCACATTATAAAGGTAAAGGAAAAGGATTATATTTTGGAAGTCAAAAGCTAAAATCAGGAGTAAATGGTTCCAAAACTTCCACTAATGGTAATCCTATAAGCATTTCTACAAAAATTTGAGTGTAAACTTTGATAAAAGCAACACAAAAATACCAACAACATCAATGACAATGTACATTTGAAAATGTCCATATGAAAATATGCAATACTCTGTCATAATCTTACCTTTTGTGCTGTTCTGTTCCACACAGTGACCTCATGCCCTGATCTCAACAAGTTCATCACCATACCCTGTCCCATAATGCCCAGCCCGAGAAATCCTATCCGCATTGGAGTAGGGATTACAGATTTAACTGCGTTCTTTGAGATCTCTTCGTCCTCCAATTGTGTCCCTGAGGCTGTAGACAGAGGTTGACCTGGTGCTCCTAAATTAGGGTCATAGCCAAGGTCACTTTCTACCTGTTATAATATAAAACATTTTATTATCATGATAATAAAGTATTCCAATATTCCTAATCTAGAGACTTGCCAATTCCTGAAACATGTATTTATAAAAATATTTTAGCTTAACATGTTGTTCAAGTACTACTGTAGTCAAATCTATTTTCTACCAGTAAAAAAATACTATATTTAACATGTTATGTTGATTAAAAACACATGAACTTGTTGGCCTAGCAATCCTAAACTAGGCATGTAACCGAGGTCACTTTTTAGTTGTTTTAGACTTATGGCACAAAAACCAGTTAATTTAAAATCTTGATCCAGTGCTCCAAAAATAGTGTTGTTAAAAAGGTAACTCTCTCCTTGTAAAAAATGTAAACCATATTAACTGTATTGTCTTTATATGTAGATCAACTGCTCCTAAAGATGGGTTAAAGCCAACGTTATTTCATGTTATAATATGAAACATGTAAATTTTATAAATTGATCCAGAGCTCCCAGCCAATTACTTTCTAAAACCTGTAGTAATTTCAGAATTTTATTATCATAATTATAGGAAAAGGTGTCATAGAAAGATTTTCATTAAATATTCATAACAGATAAATGCATATATACTGAAACAAAAAAGAAACTTTCTCCAAGTTTGAATGTAGATATGTTAGTACAGTTTTTCAATCCTTTTGAAACTCGATTTTTACGTTGAATAAACATATCGGGCTTTTATATGGGTATTAGCCGACCGATTTTGCAAACAAAACGAGTTTTACAAGCTACTACATGTATATAAGTGTTTACATCTAAGTGATACCCTTGAACAACTGGCACATACTTTGCGAAAGTTTCTTTTTTGGTTCAGTATATAATATACTGTATATACATTGCAGTCATACATTTATGAAGTTTTTTACATATTTCCTCAAATAATAACTAGGAAATGTGCAGAATATAAACTTGTTACAGAGATTGTTCAGTGTGTTTGATCCTTGAAATGACTCTTTGACCCTTCAAATTTCCAAAAGGCCTGATTTGACCCTCAGGATTTTAACTGGAGGGTCAAATTTTGTTAAAATCACGGAGATTTGACCTTGTAGGCGGTAAAACTTAGTCAAATTGACCCTCAGGATTTCATGGCTAGTGAACACCCTGATTGTTGTTAAGTTATATGGCCACAAATAAATGCATATTTTTGGCAATATAATCCTTATCTAACTGTTCATTTCATATAAGCTTACAAAGGTTAATACTGGGTCATATAACCCCTGAAGAGTCTATAACTTACAACACATCATCTATAGAACAAACTATTTACATTGAGCTAATCATGAATGAAATCTTATAAATGAGTCAAAAATAGATTTAAATGTCAATTTTACTGGCAAAGCTAACAACTGACTATTAAGTCAGCAAAGTAGCACTTATTTTGTACTTTAAAAAAAATTAAAGTGGCAATACTTTTAAACTGTTATTTGGTAAATGTCAGTTTTCAGTTAACTCCGTTATTCATATATTAGATCCATATTTCTGATTAATAATTATCTGTTTTAAGTTTAAGATAATTATTTATAATAATTCAAGTTATGGCATGACTTGCTCCTGATTTAATAATGTTAAACATCATTTAGAAAGATATACCTAATTTTTATATCAATTTAACAAATATTTCACTATCAAACATAAATCACCCAATATGGTAAGATTAAATAATACACAAACAATAATCCTTGTTATTTATCCTTCATTTGACCTAAATATTACAACAGCTTCACAATTGACTTTCTGTATATACATGTATATCTAATTTTAAGTTAACAAGTGTTATTATATTAATTTACTACATGTCAAAATACATTCAAGTGTTACCATGGCAATATATAGTGACAACCTTGTTCCATTACATTAGAAATAAATATAATATAAATGCTGTTGTTTTATATAGTGTAATGAAATCTTTACATAATTCATAACAGCTTTTCACAAGTAAATCACAATGTAGGCCACATTTATGTTATTTGTTTTCTACGATGGTATATATTCATGTGTTACCTTCTTTAAATAAAGATATTATTATTATTATTATTATTATTATGCAATTAATGACAACTGTTCTTTTCAATTAAGATAACAATGTCACAAGTCAAAATATTCTAACATTTGATGTTACAAATTTTTAAAATTTGATCTAACAAATTTTTTCTACTATTCATGGTTAATGTAAACAAAGTTTGACACTTCTGTTTCTTTTTTCTTTGTTTCTATGGAATCTGAGTCAAGACTGTGAAATTAATCTGACAGACTATAAATTGGGGTTGCCCTGCCAACAAAATGTTCATTTTTTACTACATAACATCTATTTATTTCACTGACAGATGGATTTGACCAGCAAATAATTGACAGTAAGAACCACATTTTCTGTTGGAAAGACTTTCTTTAACGAGACATTATGCCCATCCAAGGGTTTATAGTGAGTGAACAGGTGAAAGTAAAAATAAGTTTTTATTTTGCCATTTTTCCTTTCAATTAAATAATTTACTTAAATAAATAAGTGAGGTTGACCAATGACATTTCTGTAAATATCTTTTGGAATTGAACTGTAAAGGTCACTTTATATAATTTAATAAAGAGCGGGGCAGTCTTTTTATAGCAGATTTATATTCTATCATAAACATTTTTCAATATTAAATGTTGGTGAATCACTATTTTAACAGTCAATCTTTTAAAATGTATAGTCAATTCAGCTCAAGTTGACAATGAAATAATGAGCATAATGTCAAGTTAAATCATTTGAAAAGACGCAACAAGAAACTGTTGACAAAGTATGCACAATATATTGTAATTTTCTACAAAATTTTTATCGATACAATTAAAATTTCAAGATCAGTTTTAAGAAAAATTATATCCATGGTTTGGATGAACATTTGCTGTTGATTCTTTTATTTATTTAATTATCATTTCATATAATGTCAATATTTGAAATAACTAATAATAGTTAATGCAGTTTTTATTATCTCTCTTTATCTACCTCAAATTGCCTTCTAAATTGATTTTCCCACTATTTGTTTCTATAAACACAGCTGATAATTGACTAATAAGAGCACCTCTGCTGTTATTGACATTGTCTAATTGATGTTTTAAAGGCAAAATTGAAAACAAATTTCTTTTTGCAGGATGCTTGAATTGAAAATGTAAGCTATATTTATGTTATTTAAATATCATTTTACTATCCTTAAGCAGCAGAAAAGAGTAACAGAAAATCATTCATTAAAACAATTTTATGAATTTGAATATTACTAACTAAGCAAAAAAGGGAGGTAATAGCAGGAAAACCCATTAAAAAGTAACTCTATAATCAAGATGGCTTATTATTTCAATTTCAATACTGCTGATCTTTACATAAACTGACTTCATTTTATAAACATTTCACAGCTATTAACCCTTAACTTCCTTGAGCCTCAAGTGATTGGCCTTTGCTACCAGTGCAGAGCCATGTGAGGGTGCACATCATGAAGTCTGACTAGACTCTATTCAATGTTTTGTGCAATTTTTGTATTTTGACAGTTACATTCCTTAAACTTTGAATGGACTGTTCCAAATTCAAAGCATGACATATCCATTACATAAATTCAGCAAGGTAAGAGTTTTGTTTGTTTGCTAGGGTTTACCTTGCACCAACACAGTAATTGTCATATGGTGACTTTTCAGCTTAACTGGTGGAGGAAGACCTCAGGTGCCCCTCCATGCATTATTTCAGACACAAACAAGCACCCGAGTAGAACCACCAGTGTTTCGTAAGCTAGCTGGATAGCTTCCTCAAAAGAAAGAATTCAAAACCACTGGCAAAACCACAGCATTCAGGGGCAAATGGTTTGAAATCAACAACCTTAACAACCCAGTCACAGATGCCCAAGCATAATACACTACATAATAATTCCAATGTCAGACATGCAAGGGAGATAATCCAAGAGATAATATGAATAAAATATCAAGTACAAACCTTGAGCTCTGGTATTTTTCTGTCTTTGATCTTTGGGGAGAAGGATTTCTTTGGTGATAGAGCAGAGAAGATGTTAGATGATGGGGAGGAACCTACTGTCTTTTTTGCACGCTTTAAAATCTTTTCTGATGGTGTTAATGATTTGACTGGTTTGATCTTCTGAAATACAAGAATTTTCAACGTAAAAAATCAGGGGACATACCTCTAACATCATATAAATGCACATCATTTGGTACAAATTAAGGAAATGACTAACTACAATTGAGTTAAATGAGAATAACTAAAGAATGCAGTGTAAGATTAAAAGAAAATATGTTTGTTTTGATTTGATTCGGAACAAATCACACAACAAAGTGAGATATTTTTCTATATTTTTCATCCTTTATTTTATTCAGTTTTAGGTTACATGGCGACTTTCCAGCTTTATTGGTGGAGAAAGACCTCAGGTGCCTTTCTGTGCATTATTTCAGGCAAGAGGTGAAACTTAAGTAGAACCACTGATGTTCTGTAAGCTAGCTGGATAGCGCTTTCTAATATGAAAGAATCCAAAGTCCCTTGCAGGATTCAAACCAACAGCAGTTAGAGGCAAGTGGGTTTATTTTTCATTCAGGCATTGTACTCTTGAAAATGTAAGAATTTTAATTCCATAATGAGACATATTCTAATTTCACTTAAAAACATTTACTCTATTTCTTTACCTTTTTACCGGTGGAGTCGCCTGCAGATGTTGCTTTATTTTTATTTACTTTTGGTGTCTTTTTTGGTGATACTTCATTTCCCTGAAAAAAAACAAACAAACAAAACATTTCAGATATGTCTCGAACTTTTACTTTTTCTTGTTTTTGCTTTCTTCATGATTTCAGCAAACAAAATTTCAAACATGTATTAGTACCTGAAGCGAAAAAATAAACATTCAACTTTGATGAAAACATTTATTGTTTTTCATCTTGACTGTCTTTAACCCTTTTTAGAAATTATAAATACACATTTTACGCATAAACTCAGTGTGGAACATTCTGTGAATTCATCCCCAAACATCCTGGCTAACAAATGATTATTTTACACTAATCAGTTGTAGAAGAAATTGACTTCATAGCAATCTGTCAGTCAGAACCCAATTAAGAAGACATTAGTACTCAAAAACAAAATTTCCATGAACTTAATGACCCTGACAAGTCTAATTCATCAGGAAATTGGGAATTTCAGTGTCAGTCTAACTGGTATGAGACAAAATGAGTGTGATCTATTACTTAAACAATGTATTTTTTCTGTTTATAATTAAATCAAAATCAGATTAAATCAGTCTTTTCTTAAATTATAGTTTCTGGAAAACACCTCTCTATGTGCCTCATTAATATCTATTTTCTGCCTTTTACCACAAAATATCAAAGCAATAAATAACATTTATAAACTTATCAAACATACATGATTCTATGGTGTTTTTTAACCTCAAAAGACAAAAACATCAATCAATTACAGTCAATTTTTATTATCTTGCCATAATTCTACAATACACCTTTTTTCATGAATAATTCTAGCAAAATAAAATGTGTTTCTCTTGTGGTTAAATAAAATGTGTTTCTCTTGTGGTAAGAAACCGGTCAATGTGTCAATTTGATAAAAATAAGATTTACATTATGACTGACATAACTTGAATTATCTCCCATTTTCAGTGTCATTGACTCATTCCAACTATATCATATGCTTAAAATTAGATAAAAATCTCTCACAATTGTGAGCTAATAAAAATCTTTTAAATTGGTGATTTACTTATATTAAACTTTACACATGTAAAGGAATTTGAAAATTCACCTTGAATAATCTGTTAAATTTAATTAATTTTCATATGTTGTCAATTATGTATATTGGATTATGACCCAATTTTGTCATGGGGGGTCCATACCCTCAGTGCCTGAAAGGGCAGATGGACCCTCATTAAGCCTAGATTACAAAGGAGCTTAATATTGCAAAAATCTGGAAATATCTATGTAAGTGTAGGTAGTTTAACTGGGTAACCGCTACTTCTCAGATTCAAAACCATTTTGAAAGTGAAAAGGTCTAAAATGGGCACATTTTCCATAATTATTTCAAATACTGATAAATACAAGAGAAATGTGTATTTGAACATTTTATTATCCACTTTATAAAAGTTAATACATGAAATATTCCATCATGCATCTCACACTTGCCAACAACTTCTATGTATTATTCTTTTGCGGCTTGTTGTTTATGTCTAATACTATTTACTATCAGAATAAGTAATAGAAAGAGCATCAAAACACAAGGCTATCTGATTTGTATGAGGGGGCCACCAAGTATTTATCAGATTGCTGAATGTTTTATGTTCTTTCTTTTTTGTATCATAGTAACATGAAATCACACTCCCTCTTGTCACAATATGAAACCCCAGAAAAAAGTAACCAATGAACGAGCATCTGAAAATGACATTTCAATCGCTTTCCCTTTCTCTTCCGTAACAATAAGTAAATCCCAGCAAAAATCAGCCAATCAATTGGCATATTCTGGAGTGCAGGTAACTGATACTTGCACTCCAGTTAACGCACTGTGCATGTATATGTACACGATTTAACTCTGACAAATTTTCAACAGAAAGGTCCCCAAATTATGATACAATTATTCATTGTTTAACAAACCTTCCATTACTGACGAATTCACTTTTACATGATCAAAGGAAAAAAGATTCACAAAATTAAAAAAACTTTAACATATGTTATGTGTAGGGCTGTGCATTGCCATTTTTTTCTGTCACGATACGTATCACGATATTTGTTTTTCAAAACGATGCGATTCACCATATGTATTGCATACTTTGAAGAAATGCGATGCATATTGCGATTCTTATGTTGCGATGCGATACGTATCACGATACTGACTTTCAGACTTAGTATATAAAAATTTGGCCATTTGTTTACAGCATATTTATGAATATTATACAAAACTATTACAATAACAAAAAAATAAACTCTATCTCGTTGTTACAACTAGGTTTCGGATTTTGATCTTTTAACAATTTACTTTTCTGATTACTTAAGGATTAAAGGTATTGTTAATTATACCAAAACAGCAAACTGATATCTACTATTCTAACACTTAAGTCCACTACTGTAAATATGGCAGTTTAACATTTCAGTCTTACAATACACCACTAAAGATTTTTCTTGTGAAAAAAAAAATAGTAACAAGTGGTTAACAAATAGGTCAACAACTTTGAAAATAACAGTTTATCCGTTTCACTCTCAGTTTTCTCGAAAGATTTGTGCTCAACCCCAGAGTATTATTTTTTTTGAGTTTGCAAATTTTGCAAACACTCGACATCCGGTCTTCCACATTATACATGTTCCCAAAACTCGTGAATTATATGACAAGGGAGGATTAACTATAGTTTCCCCTGCTAATTTTTTTGCAGTCTACATGTTTTCTGTTTGTTTATTTTGTTGTTTTTTTTACGGGAAAATGATGTCAACGGAAATGAAAGTATAAATACGTGACGAATATCACATGGGAATGTTGTCATCATCACTATTTTAATCCGACATCAAGTGCGACTAAATAACATTACAAATTCATGTTTGTACGTTGTTTTTTCTTGAAAACGGATAGATCTCTAATTATTTTTTAATTATAAACAAGTTCAAAGAACACCAGCCCATTTATATGGAATTGATAAAATTTGGTTAGTTACCGTTAAATGATTTCGGACATGGGGAAACGAGATGACAACGATGATATGATAATAGTCGCGCTTGTTCATTGTTTTCATCCAAGCCTGTTTTCTTTCTTCAGTCTTTCAAAAAAGACGTTTGTCCTTATATTCCTAGATATTGTTAGTGTATTGCGATACGTTCCTGCTATATCAATACATCGGGAGATGAAAATTTGTATTGCATCGCAATATATTGGAATTTGTAATTTCATTACGATGCATACATCGAGGACAGGGCAGATCGCCATGCATCGATGAATCGTTACACCTCTAGTTATATGCCAAGCTGTCAGAGAAATAACTGCATCAGTCCAGTCTCAAACATATAATTTCAAAGTCATAGTGCTTGGATTTCTTAATGTTACTGAATGTAGAAAACAAAATGTCTTTGAGCAAAGAAACATTTTCCCTAAATAAGTAGTAAATTCCAGAAGCAATGTGCTTCATGCAAGTCATTATTAATTTTATGAGGACTTATCTTCATTAAAATCATCGGTATGTAAGTTGAAGTGAGATTATGCCCATCTAAGTGTAAATGATGGGTGTTAAAGGAAGAGTCAAAATAATGTTACAGTTTGCTGTAATTCTATTCTGCTTTCTAAAAATAATCACAAACTCACATGATCTACAGAATGTTTATGTAAATTATTGTTAATATTCATATGGTTAAAAGATTGGGCAGTCTGTTTTATGTAGTTTTATATACCGTAATACTTATCATTTGTGATTATCAATAATTGGTCAGTCACCATTTAAATAGTCAATTTTTTGAAATGTATGCTAATTCTGTTCAATTTGACAATGAAAAAAATAATCATAATGTTACTTTACTTCAATTTCATGATCATATACCTTTGCTTGCCAAAATATAATTTAAGTCAATTTTCATGATATACTTCAGACCTGCCTTTATACATTCAAATCAATTTACATGATATTAAGTCAGTTTTCATGGTCACATACTTTCACAATTTCATATACAATTGTCTGGAATATTTATCATTCATCATAACTAATTTGCAAAAATGCCTTTATAAATCTGTCAAACTGCCTGCCAAAAATTGACTTTACAAAAGTCAGGACACACAATTACCTGCAGCTGCACATTCCATTAAACTGTAACAGTCAGTAAAACTTTAAACAATAATAATAATGTACAAAATAAAAAAAATCACTATAAAATGAAAACTAACAACTTCCACTAAAGATAAACTTAAACACAATTTCTATCCCCTTTTACAAATATACAATTTAGACAGCTAATATTTGTATATTTAGTAAATTAAACATTCTATATATAACTTGGAAAGTTATAAATTTATGTAAGTTTAAAACCTCATCCCCAGGCAAAATTACCTTGCATACTCATTACATACTGATCTGATAAAATTCTAGAAGTCATTTCAATTTTACAATTATTTCATAACTAACTTGTCATTTCAATTCAAAGCTGATTTATCATTAATTAATCTTTGATGTTCTCCTAAATGCAGTCAATGGATTAACACTGTTCAGAGTTGCTTGCCCTACATAGTGAACAAGTATTTCAAGTTTTATTAGAAAGTATAATGATTTCTGAAAAACTTAAGAAAATATTCTAAGTGAAAGAAGGGGGAAATAATCAAGCAAAAGTTACTTTCAAAGTTATATGCCCACTAAAAAAGTATACAAAGTATAAAGTGCATATATTGGACTGGATATTTCTGGACTTTTTAATCCTCAGCCTGCCAGAGGCAACTGATTCTACTGATGTAACCAGAAATTACCAAGATCAGCCGGCAATAATGTGCTCTCTGATCTAAGTCTGCACTATTCCCATTTCAGGCAGTGCTTATTTAAAAAATAATACGTAAAAAGGTAGAACGGTTTTGTCTCCATTGAAAGATGGACAAGTCCATTTAAAAACAATTCTTATATCTTATATCTACTAACTAGGGATGGCAACGAATACAAAAATCAATACTCGAGTACTCGGTCATTTTTCCGATCGAGTACTCGGTTACTCGGATGATTCCAGTGATCTTCAAAGTTTATCACACAATATCAACACCGTCCGCTTGCTACTTTCGTTTTCTATTTAAATTCATTGAATTCGTAACTATAAATAGGACTGCAATAAATACATATATAAATATAAACATAACAAATGTAAATGACAGCATTTATTATATACCTACACATTTTCTCCCTAAAATAAATGAATACATGAATTCTGTAGATAGTAAATAGGACTGCATGGGAGACAAATTAATTATAATTTAATCAACAACATAATATTTTACAACGTTTTAATTAATGCAACATGTATAACAGTTCATATATCTTTTTTCTTCTTGAAAAAAAAAGTTTAACATGGTCTAAATAACTGTTACATTTATTCTTACATTCATGATAGCAATCGGCCCTTTGTTGTTTTCAAAACAGTTACACAATTAAAGGTAATTAATATCATAAGATGCTGGATGACATAAGCGACAAAGGTGCGCGTGTCAAACTGTTGATCACCTCGTTAAATTTATGATATCATTTTCGCACCTCTGCAAGGATGTTTTGATTGCAATTAACGGGTATTTATGAAGATACATGCACATCTCCGAATTTCTGAACTAATTGGATACACCAATCTTTCTAAATCGCAAAAAAATAGAAAATATATATTTTTCCGAGTAATCGAATATCAATTTTGTTAACCGATATTCGGACGTTCGATCGAGTACTCGGTTAACCGGTTACTCGTTGCCATCCCTACTACTAACTGATTTAAATTTTTTAAGTTTTAAATGGAAACTTTCAATTAGAAAATTCAAACAAGAGGGCCAATAAGGCACTGGATTGCTCACCTGAAATAGATTGCTAAAAAAAGGTCTTTCTGTAGGTTACAATGGGTTTGGTATTTGTTATCAAAGCATAGAGCCGGGACGAGTATCCGAGTACTCGGAAAATCACGAATCAAAGTAAAAAATCGAGTTTGAATATTCGTAAGCCAAGAGATCGTGGATCATGATTTAATATTTTTTTATATACATTCACTGTTTCTCACACTCTTAAAATCGAGAAAAATACTATTTGAGTTTAAATTATATGATAATATGAAGTTTAACTAAATACAATTTGCCGGTTAAAGACCACGTACCATGATGCTGAGCAAGGAAGTAATTGGTTTCAAAAAACAAAACAAAAATACTCCTCCAAAGAATAAAAACATAAACCTAGTTTATATGTTTAATGTTTAGTATTGTTGTTTTTTTTTAAAAAATAAACATGTTTTTTTATAACTAATGTACATGTTTTTATGGGTGTCTTGATAACCAAAGATTTGTGGTTCGATTTGTGAATCGTAAGTGCTGAATCGTGGTTCGGATCGGATCGTCACTTATCCGACGATCCACACCCCTATCAAAGCATCATAATTCTTAAAAATATTTGTACAGATCTGCTACTATTAATGCTTCATGACAAGTATCTAAGCTCTAGGCATTGCAGTTTCACAAAAGAAGACATAGGATTTTTCTTTTCTTTACTTTTTCTCTTTAAAGAATATAATCATAAGTTATATATTAAATGGTCGATTAGCTTTGTTAAAGGAGAGGACAACCATGAGCTAAATTGCAGCTATCAGTCCAATTCCTTTCCGCTTTAATGAGTAAATTATGTACATGTATAATATCTTGAATAAATGTGTAGATCAAAAGAGGACATAAATGTTTTTTCAAGTGATCCCATGCACATAATTTATATGAATTTTGTGAGGGACCACAAGGTAATGCTACATGCAAAATATCTAAACTCTTGGCATTGTTCTTTCAAAGGACAAGATTTTTAAGACATTTTTACTAATCAAGTCTTTGTAAACTAAATGTTACCCAGAGTGGGCCCATTTTTGACTACTTATATAGCTTTTGTAGATGTCCACATGCTACATGCCTAAAATCTCATGTTTGGGCATTGTTTTCCTATACAAGTCTATATAAATTAAGTCACCCAAAGGCATTCTTTATATAACTTTTATAGGACATTGTTGTTTCACAAAAGACTAACATATATTTTCCAATATTAGTCTATGTTAATAGGGCACCCAAAGAGAATACTTTATATAATTTTTGTAGAGGACCTCATTAAAGATCTGGGCATTATGGTTTCTGAGAAGCAGATTTTTGAAGATTTCACTTTTAAAGTCTATTTTTATCTCCTGTGACTTATGTGTCAGACTCAAACAATTTATATAACTCTTGTAGATGATTATTCCTGTGAAGCTTGGTCTCAAAATCCATCACACAGTTTAGGAAGAGATGTTTTCAAGAAATTGTGGACAATGACGGACAACGGACACAATGCTATCACAAAAATTTCACCTGGTGGCGCTCAGGTGACCTAAAAGACACCTTTTTTTAATTTGGGAAATGACGAAAATTTTAGCTATCAATCTTTGAAATAAATTTTAACTTATCAATTTTATAAGAAATGCATCAGCTGTGAAATGCCTCTAGGGCACTCAATAACATTCCACTCTTAAATGAATGACTTTTTAAGGCCAAGGTCCATTTAAGGTCTTTATAAGGCCCTACACAAAATTTTAGAAACTTTTCAAAGTCTGAACTAACCATGTCAGCACATCATTTCAAGCACAACAACCAGCCTCTTTCGGGCAATGTTGATCAAATAATACAATTTTCTTACCTCGTCTCCATTGCCTGCACTTTCTCTAGGTCGTTTTTTCTTCTTTGGTTTATCTGTTTTATCTGATGGTGGGCTGTCTATACTGTTGTTTAACTATAAGCAGAAAAACAACAACAATATTACTGTTATTATCTCATTAAGTAATAAGAATGTTTTCAGGAGTCTTCATATGTTTTCATAACTTAAAAACAAGGATAGTGATTCTAATTTTAAAGCTTGAAATGTTTCCATTATCATATACCAACATTTCTGTTGTAATGTATCAACTGATGAAGCTAATAAAGGGAAACATGTATTGATATCTAAAATTGTGTTGGTTTTTTATCTTTTTGTCCTATCATATTCTAACAACATGCCAAGTTTGAAGAAATTTATTGAACAGTTATAACTTTGCCTGTTTGTCTTTATGAAAACTCCTGTCTATAAAGAAGCTCTCACTCAGATAAAAAAGGTCTAAAAAAATGAAATTTGAAATTCTTAAATATTTAAAAAAAAAACCTAAGCTAACTCTGGACATCTCCAATTCAAACTGAGTGATGTCAATCACACAAAACAACTATTTTGAAGTAATAAAACAGAGTATATGAGTATGAGAGTGTGACATTTAAAATGCTTCAAAAATAAACTGTTCAAATATTAACCAATACTTCACAAATGATTAATGTTTCATTTTAGTTTCTGATAAAGAGCTTCTTTAAGAAATGGTGAAATAAAGGAATAGGAAAAAATAGAGATGTTAACTTCTCTAATTAACATTTGTTCCTTTTCTCTGCCCAAACCTAATAAAAGATAACATGCAAGTGGAAGTATATCCAGAGGTGGCTATGATTCTCTACCCTAAGCATTTTTACAATACAGTACATGTTTGATAAACTATTTTTTCAAGGAACAGTTATGTTTATACAAATTTTGCAGATATATACAATTTACTTTGAAGCCTTAACTGGCTTTCTTTCTTTCTTACCGAGATCTTGGATGGGACATAAATAGATTTAGTGTTTCTTCTAGGACAGGATTGCATTAAGGACACCAGTCACACCACATAATATATTAGTGTTTGATGTACATATATTAGTTCTATCTTCACTAACCTTATCCATTTGTGTGAACAGCCAATTTAGTGAATGCAAAGAAGAAAGCAGGTAATTAGATTAGCCAAAGTAAATTACCTACATTTTAACCCCAAAATTAGTTCAAATAACTAACATAAAGAAGCGAATTCCAACCATTATTGTCTGTTAATTTCAGTTTAAAATAATAAAGTCACAGCAATAACACGTATAATATCATTTTTTTATTTTTCCAACCTTTCGGCAAATGTATGCCTTTTCAAGGAAAATAAATAATAATGTTTTTTTTTTTTTTTTTTTTTTTTTTTTTTTTTTTGTTAATTTCAGTAACATTTATTCCTGACATGAACTCAGATATTCCCAAACAGGCTTTTTCTATTATAACTGCAAATTGTTAAAAAAAAAGTTTCAGAATATGAAATAAATGAACCCTAATGAAGCAAATATGCTATAAAACTTGTGTTTGTCTTCTTTTTCAAAGTATTGGTCACAATCAAAAATTTTACTTATAGATTGAAAACTTGTTCACACATAACCTTGCTGCTTTTATGACTCTGTAAAAATGGTATTGCATGACCAATCACTAATCACTTATCTTGATGTGACATCAATTGTGTTATACAAACAAAGTATAAAGACACGCTAAATGTTAGTGTAACAAAATAGATGCATCAATGAAAAATGTCACTTTTCCATTTTAAACAGTCTTTATTTTGGGTATGTGATAAAATAGAATACTTTATTTGTGTCAGTTCATTACCGATCTTTTTTTAATTGCTGAATAAAATAATATTATTTTATTCAAATTGTTCAATCAATTCAGTACTGTACTTAATTTATTCAATATCTTTTTATATTTAATGATTGCATCAAAAAATTTAAGTTTCTTCAAACCTGACTCCCAACAAACCATCGCATTTTATAAATTTCATCATCAATTGACATACCATCTCAAAACACACGTACATTGAAATATTACACTGATGGAACACTATAGTCAAAACTTACTGAATCAAACAATGGCACAGAATTTGTGTAAATGTGTGCAAATATTGTTATGTGCATATGTGTACAATTACAATAAACAACAACATCGAAACTAATTTTTTCCAAAGTTAATATATAGAAAGTTTTACAACATGAAAAGCATCAATACTTAAAGCAAACTGAATAATTCAAGTTTACAAGGTACATTAATCTGAATATTTTTTAAACTTACAGGGGAAATTGCCAAATAGAAAAAAAGACAATAAGAAACAAACATAAGAACATGGAAATAAAAATCTTATTACAGTTTTCAATCAATTTTATACGTATAATCTGTTTTGTATAATTTTTAGGAAAAGTATCAGCTTATGTTCGTATTTAAAAGGAAGACAATTAACATTTCTATCCACATATATTTCCAAACTTGTACTCTAATTAAAATCCTTTCTGGACAAAAACTTTTAATTTAACGGTTGCTTTACACTGTAAGTAACTGAACATAATTGAACGGTTTACAGAAATTGTTAGGTCACATTATGACAAGTAGCCCATAACATGTTATGGCACATAACTGATCAAGGGAGGTAATTATACACAAAACTGACATCTAAACTTGTCATCCCATACAATCAAGTCAGACATATGGATATATTTTAGTCAATCTTACATTTAAAACACGACTATCAGTAGGACAGCATGCTTGACAATTTTCAGTGCTTAGAGTATGGAAAATGTAGAATTTTCTAAGATTAAAAAAAAACCCATAATTCTGTCAAAATCCATGATGGGGTTGGTTATTGGCCTTGGAAAGTGACATCATATCATGCTCTCAAGTAAGTGGTTAAGTTTCAACCTATCCCTTTCACAAGTTTTGAAGATACCAACTTGCACAAAAAAGTCTTAGCCCAAGTATGAAGCCAATGCCGAACCCAAGGTGAGTATAATAGTTCCCCCTTCTCTTTGAAGAGTCAAGCTAAAAACTATACCAATTTGAATGTTTATTTACCAGTTTGTTTCTTTGCTTTATTGGGTTTTATGTCACACCAACACAATATAAGTCATATGGCGACTTCAAGCTTTACAGGTGGAGGAAGACCTCAGGTGCCCTTCTGTGCATTATTTCAGGCACAAACAATATTTACCCGCAATTTACAGTTTTTACAAATGGGAATGAAGCTCAAGTGTAACACAATTTAGTCTAATGTTCAGTCTGTTTTGCCTGCAGATATATACAGTGATATGGTTTGTTTTTGACAAATGTAACATGTACCATGAGCTATAAACCATAGAGAGAACTGATGACTATCAGAAAATAAGCTGGATAAATTTAAAATTAAATCTTGCTAACACTGGTGAAGTAAATAGAAATAGGACTAAGAGTTTAGCAATACAGTGACAGATGTTCTTTAAAAAAAAACATTATACCACAAAATCAACCACATATTAAAACAATACTGGAGTAACTCATTGAAGTTACATAAAATATATGCCATTGGCATACAGGTAATATAGATATTATGCTTAAAGCTTTCATGGGTCTAAAAAGTATTTACTTTCATTTCCTCATACTGTTAATAACAAATTTTACTGTCTATAGATACAAGTTTTGTCATATTTACTGTTCGTTATATGAATATAGAATATCTTCTTTCATTGCAACATAATGTAAAGTCAATGGACCATTGGTAATATCACAGTAGATAAAAGAAGTCACAGTACCCTGAGCTTATACATTTCAATGTGTACCCTGTCAGCATTTGTTATTTCTGATCAAAGTACATTTCTTGGTAGCCTATATATATTTTAATTAACTTGATAACATGAAGTAGACTTGTTTATATACTGTGAATATTTTTTATTACTTTTAATATACAATATTGTAATGAACTTGACTATCCAGATTATTAACTCTAACACTGCTGAAACAGAAAGAAATTAGCCTTTGCCACCAGTATAAAACCAGATGAGTCTCTTACATCTGTGCAATTTGACCACGCTTTTAACTGTCAGGTGACAAATTGAAAATTTTAATTTTGATATCCCAAAAATTAATAATGAACAGTTCCAAAAAAGGAAGATGGACAAGTTCATTCAAGAAATTGGTTAAAATTAGGTATATTAACATTATTTTTTGGTAGGTCTTCCACCATAGCTCATTAATAGAACAACTAGAAATGTGTCATCATGCCACGGATGCCCCCACATGCAGCCAAAATTTCAAATGTTATAATATTTAGTTTCAAATTTGTTTGCACAAATTATTTTTTTCATTCTATGTTCAAAGCCCTTAAAACTTTACAATGTTAACACAAACCATTTTTAAACAAATTGTTCAAGGCACTGAAATTATTCAGTCTTAACATTTTGAAAATAGCATATTGCATATTTGTAGCCAAAATAATGGCTATATACATTTCCACAAAAGTATGAGTGCTGAAACTGAAAGTTCAAAATTTTTCCAAAATTCAGGAAAGATGACTTTGTCCAAAATCATTGAACAACGACCAAATTCCAACTTAAACTGCTTATTCCTAAGATGTATCTATATTATTTTCAAAGTGAAAGGGACATAACTCTGCCAAAAATTCATCGAACCATGAGCAAATTCCAACTTGACCTGCGCATTCCTTTGACATATCCATATGTCAATTTTAAGTTAAATATGTAACACTGTTTGGTTGATAATGAACAGAAACTGTAAATTTCATATCATTTTCAAAGTGAAAGGGGCATTACTCTGCCAAAAATCATTGAACCATGACCAAATTCGAACTTGGCCTGCGCATTCCAAAAATATATCCATATGTCAAATTTGAGTTGAATGTGTAATACTGTTGGGGAGATAATAAACGGAAACTGAAAATTTCATATTATTTTTAAAGTGAAAGGGGCTAAACTCTGCCAAAAATCACTGAACCATGACCAAATTTGAACTTGACCTGTATTTTCTCATGACATATCCATATGTCAAGTTTGAGTTGAATGAGTTGTACCTTTGGGGAGATAATGAACGGAAACTGAAAATCTCATATTATTTTCAAAGTAAAAGGGGCATAACTCTGCCAAAAATCATCGAACCATGACCAATTTCGAACTTGACCTGTATTTTCTCATGACATATCTACATGTCAAATTTGAGTTCAATATGTGCAATGGTTATTAAGATAATGAACGGAAACTGATGATGACGGAAGGATGGAATGACGGAATTACAGAATGACGGAACAGGGTAACACTATATGCCCTTGCCATTATATGGCAGGGGTATAATAAAAAGTTGGATTTTAAATTTTCAATACAGTATAACATATTGAGATAAGTAAAATATCTATTTTGAAGTTAAGTTATTAAGTTTTAGTTTTTATATTAACATTCATAAATAAGAAAATATTCATTTCAACCTTTCTTTTTCTTTTCTGACAACATCAAAGCTTCTATTATTTAAGAACTCATTCATACTTTGATAAAAATAAAGCTTTTGTTATTTAAGAACTTTGGGATCAAGGACCAAAAAGCTTTTGCTACTTTAAATCTTCTGCTTGAATTATTACAAAACTATTATCAATACAACAACTTCCACACAATACAATATAGATCAGTTTTAAGAACTTCTGATTACATAATCATTAGGCATAAAGTTGTTTATGAGTTAACTTGCATTTTTATAATTACAAAGCTGTCTTTATGTTTAGGTCACAACTGCACAAACCTTATATTGTTATATGGCCATAAAGACTATATACTTTACTTTCATGTTTTAGAAAAGAAAACATGCATAATTTGTTCATTATAAATGATTATGGATGGCCCTTTTCCCCTTACATAATTGGTACTGACAGAGGTATGAAAAACCATGAAAATGTATGTTTCTTTCACAAATTTCTAAAGGTCAGTCAACATTAAAATTGTTGCAAAAAGTATTTTCATTCAAAAGCTTATCTCTTGATATTACTAACATAAGATTGAGAAAAAATATGATTATAAAGGCTTTCAACAGAAACTTCTAATATTCTTTCATTCATTATAAGTTTAACAGATTATATAAGTGACTCTTAAACTTGCAATTTGGACAATTTAAACCCCCCCCCCCCCCCTTAAAAACTGCAATGGTGTTAGTAGTATTAACAAGAATGCCAACAATAAGATCCGGATTATTATAGCTCATTAACAAGAGCCATCTTTGACCTCAATGCGAAAAGGTCACACAAAATTGTTTTCTTAATATAGAAAAATATCAGGAACAGTAGCTGTTTAATGTAACAAAGAATGTGCAGAAAACAAATGATGATGCCTTTAAAATGCAAAGAATTTTTTTCATGCTCAAAGAAGTACACCCTTTGCTTAAAATTTCCAATAAAGCTGAATGATGTGCAAGTCTGTCATGCAATTTTGGGTGTTTGAAAAACCACATCATAAATTGAGGAGGCAGAATGCATGTTTTTAAGAATGTTTGATATAACAAGGATTTGGCCATGTTTGATAAAGATATATTTATAATAACAGACAAGACCTGAAACAGACACATGCGTCTCAAGCAAGGCCAAGTAGAGAAACCATGACCTTTGACTTGCAACAAAGGCAGACACAAACTTCAGTGCAGTTTTATATAAAATCATACAATGATTATGGACATACAAGTACGACCTTGACTTTTATGCCAGGGACCAGATTATTTTGCACGACAAGTCACCATTATACATTTATGCTAAGTTAATTAAAAATCCATCCAGGAGAGATAAAATTGATGATCGGACCAAACATCAGTGCATTTTTATGAAAAAATTCATAACATAGTGGATCTTTGTGTGACCTTGACCTTTGATCTAGGGACTTGATTCTTTTGTGAGACACTGTCATGACATATTTATGCATGGTAATTTTTAAACTATCCAGCAATGACATAACTGTTGACAGGACATGTCGGAACATCAGTGAATTTTTGTGAAAAATTTTCTTTAAAGTCAAAAAATGAACTTAACCTTTAAGCAACAAACCTAGATCTTGTGTGTGACAAAAATGCTATTAGTCTTGGGGTCCTACTAATTTATACAAAACTAGAAATGTGTCCATAGGACACTGATGCCCCCACACGCCACTGTTCTGTCAATCTTATGACTCTAGGTCAAATATTTTTTGGACTACATGTGCCACAAGTTGAAAACTAAAAATCAACAAAGGGCCAAAATTCTGTTAAATTTGGTCGCAGCAAAAAATCCTTCCTTTACTACAATCTACACATTAAGGTTGTTAATCCCTGGAAGTTTAAGCAAAATCTGCCATCCGGTTTAAGAGGAGTTGCGTTCACAAAATTTCTATATAGTATATAATGAAAAAATCAACAAAGTGCCATAATTCTGTTAAATTTGGTCGCAGCAAAAATTCCTTCCTTTACTACCATCTACACATTAAGGTTGTTCATCCCTGGAAGTTTAAGCAAAATCTGCCATCCGGTTTAAGAGGAGTTGCATTCACAAAATTTCTACATAGTATATAGTGAAAAAATCAACAAAGGGCAATAATTCTGTAAAATTTGGTCGCAGCGAAAATTCCTTCCTTTACTGCCATCTACACATAAACGTTTCATCCTTGGAAGTTTAAGCAAAATCTGCCATCCGGTTTAAGAGGAGTTGCATTCACAAAATTTCTATATAGTATATAGTGAAAAAATCAACAAAAGGGCCATAATTTTGTAAAGTTTGGTCGCAGCGAAAATTCCTTCCTTTACTACCATCATCACCTTAAGGTTGTTCATCCCTGTAAGTTTAAGCAAAATCTGCTATGCGGTTTAAGAGGAGTTGCGTTCACAAAATTTCTACATAGTATATAGTGAAAAAATCAACAAAGGGCCATAATTCTGTTAAATTTGGTCGCAGCAAATATTCCTTCCTTTACTACCATCTACACATTAAGGTTGTTCATCCCTGTAAGTTTGAGCAAAATCTGCCATGCGGTTTAAGAGGAGTTGCGTTCACAAAATTTCTTCATAGTATCTAGTGAAAAAATCAACAAAGGGCCATAATTCTGTTAAATTTGGTCGCAGCGAAAATTCCTTCCTTTACTACCATCTACACATTAAGGTTGTTCATCCCTGTAAGTTTAAGCAAAATCTGCCATCTGGTTTAAGAGGAGTTGCGTTCACAAGATTTCGGGACATACGGACGGACTGACGGACGGACTGACACTCGGACGGACAAGTGCAACGCTATATGCTCCCACTCTGTGGGGGCATAAAAATTTCAGAATCTATCCATACATGACAAAGTTATGGACCTGACACAAAGTTTTGGATGAAAGGACAGAAAGATGGAACAGTCGCTGCAAAAAAATATGCCCTAGTACTGGGGGGCATAAAAATGCTTGCAAATTAGCACCCACCAAGCTGAAATATTTTCTCCTGAAGCAATGAGGTTATACTAGAAACAGTGTTCTCTCTATCCAATACCCAATTGTTATAGTATACTAATATTTTAAATTTTTAATAAAATATAAGCAAGTTTTAATACTTTAAAATTCATACTACTGTCTCACTGTTTATATTGGAAAGTGCAGGGAGAAGAACAGTATGAGTGCAAAATTTTGTACATGAGAGTGCTTTAGTAAATATGTAGCACAACAATTGGCAACATTATAAAATTTGGATCAATTGGGTCAGAAATAGAGAGAATGCTGTTTTTTTAAAAGTGATGCACAATATAGTACAAGATAGATATACGATATAAAGTCACTTGATCAACAAATGTTACCTACTTCAACAGGCTCTGGGTCGGGTTTAGCCATTCGCTCTTGGTATTCTTTCATTGCCTAAAGTATAAACAAAATGTTATGATTATGCAAGCAAAAACAGTGACTGTACCTTTATGGATTGTTCATCTGCAGAGGCGGAGTCTGAGAAAATCTGGGCCAGCTCTTCATCAATGGAGGGAAGGTCTTCAGCTTTAAGGCGGTCCTAAAATTGGATGGATGGCATGATTTCTTAAGACTGTCATTTTTTTTCTGATGGTGAACAATGAATACATTTTTGTTAATGACATGCCTTTGTTAGTCTTAATAATAAATAATTTACTTCTTAACTGTAACAAATATATTCTAAAGCACATTTAAAAACAGAATGCATATTCTTCCCCATTGGCTGAAGAAATACAAAAGTAACATATACGAAATTGGTATTTTCTAAAAAATTAAGAATTTATCACTAGTTTAAGACATCAAGATATTTAATTTGTTGCTTTTTTTTTATTAAATATCAAAAGTAATATTAACAATGTTAATGCCATATGGCAACTGTCCAGCATTTCTAGAGATGATCTCAGGTGCCCTCTATGCATTTTTTTCAGGTAGAACCATTAATCTTCAGTATGTCATCCGAACAACTTCCTCACAAATGAATTTCAGGCCCCGACAGAATTAGAACCAATGCTGAGAGGCAAGAGGAGCAACTGATTTAAAGCCAGGCACATTAATCATTTGAACTCGCCACCGCAATTTATTGATGCTCAGCTTTTATGTGTACAAAATTCCTCTAAAATTGAATGACTGAAACATGTAGGAATAATTGTGATAGAATATGACACGGAAAAAAACTGTCACCTGCAAAAAATAATAATATTGTTTAATCTTAGGTTAACAGATTTATTAATGATTTTAAGACATTTGAGGAATGGAAGATATCTAAATAAAAATATTCAGAAACGTAACCCATCTAAATCACAATAACACATCTTTTTTGGCTATAAAAAATCATACTTGTGCAAAGAAATAAACTGTATACAGAAATTCTCCATGAATCAAGTGAAGAAAAACCATATCCAGTACACAGTTTTAGAGATGAAAATAATATAAATACTAATCGAACACTCAATTAAACAATACAATTATACATATTATTTCATATAACAAATAAAAAATCCATGACAAAAATATAATATCACCTGATTATACATGGTATTGTTTTATATTTTTTGTTCAAGAAAAGACATAGTTCATATTTCAAACTAAAATACGACAAACCACATATTTACAAACTTAACATCAGTCTGTCAGTTAAGTTAAATATAGAAATTTTACAGAAAATTAATTTCCATCAAACACACTGTGCTTTTATATATATACTAGTTGCTGTTGGCAGATAAAAGCACAGTGAAATCTTATGTAAAGATTTCAAAGATCTTATCAGTCTTTCCGAAAGACCGTCGGACCGTCGGCCCTGACCGGTAAAAAATCAGAAGGTCCGATAAAAATATATGTTTTGACGGCCCGGTAAAAATTAAGGATTTATAAAAACCTTACAATACATTCAACATTTTGCAAAGGCCGATCATTTACCTACATTCAAAACAAATCAAAATGTTGTCATTACACAATATAAGCTCGTGCAATGCTTGTCAACTGTTATGCATTCTCATAATGCAAACTTTAATGTAACAACGTAAGATAAAAATATCCGACAACTAGTACAATTAAAAGTCAATAAGCGGCCGTGTAAATTACATAAGCGGCCCAGATGTGAAAGGTCAACCGCTATTAGTTTGTTTACACAGATGAAAGTGTCAGTGAATTAATTGGAACAATTTACGTCTTTAATCCACAGACTTAGAGAAATGTTAAATTACATGTGTGCTCAACTGGTGTTTAGCTATGAAAGATCGTCCAAGATGTTGACAAAAATTAAACTATACTGTGAAGGTACCAAAATCATTGAACAATTAATCTGTCAACTTCACTAAATTACCGATATATATAATTCTGTTTACATATGCCAGACTTTTGCTGAAATTTACCCTCTCATTTTGCTAGTATATAGTCTGTATGAAATTAAAGTTTAAATAGCAAAATCCATTGAATACATGTATAACAATATTTATGTTTACATTTTGATTGTGGTGAAAAAAGATAACTTCACTTCGTTGATAATACAATTTTCTTTTTGTACACAAATTTTTTGACTGCTGACACTCAAATGACTCAAAATGCTATACCAATCAGGTTTTTTTCGGTCCAGTAAAATCATGTTTGGTCCAGTAAAAATTTTTCAGTTTACAGGACCTACTGTCCAGTAAAACTCAGAAGTCTTTCGCATAGACTGTCTTATGTAAAGATTTTAAAGCCGGTTAGCAAATGATGATGATTTTCAATTTTATTTTTTTTCAACATTTTGTGACCAGATTGCACTGGACCTTTCTGGTATTTACAGTTTTATGCAAATTGATTGAATGGCTATTCAACAACAACTCTGGGATTTTATATGGTCACTAGCTGACCAGACCTGTTTACACAAAAGAACACGTGGTTTTATTTGTGATACTGATGTGAAGCATTGACCAAGAATTGAATAGATAAGGTGGGGCTAAACTTTTCACTCAATTATGTGAAAAACAAAAAAGTGATATGCAAAAAGTATATGTTTAAAACAATTAGAAGTTCTGCACTAGAGATAACCTTATACTGCTAATAATCTAAATATAAAAGCTGTTTTTACAATTGACTTTAGACAAATCTAAACAATGATTTGTTGAATGTTTGTGCATTTTACCAGCCAGACCAATACCTTACCTCTTCTGGCATTTCCTTTATAGCATCCTCTATTGCATCAATAGCTTCCTTAAAGCCTTTTGGCACACGTGATCGCAGCAAAAACTTTTCTTTGTTCCCGATGTAGGCATGCACTTGTTCATGTGGCAACCAGGCACTACAAAACCATCATTGATATTAATCACATGAACTTATTTTCAATTTGTTACAATGTATATAAATTTCCAGAGTTTAAAAGAAAATAATAAAAATATACATCAGCAAGAAAAAATTAAACTGTCATTATGAATAGGAATATCAAACAAATTAATTATTTTACTTGTTTTTTTGCAACAATACACACTCAATTTCTAATCAATTTGGAAATCTTAGACAATTAAACTTTGAAAAACAAAATTTACTGAAAATAAACATGCACTAATGTCAGCTTTCCAAATGATAGTAAACTTGGGTGACTATAAGAAATAAAAAAAATGTACAGATACAGTATAACCAGTTGTTTGAGCAATACTGCCATATGGCTATTTACTGTTACAGTAACCACTTTTTAATGTTTGGTAATTACAGATATCTTTAAGTAATTTAACATAAATATATCACACTTACTAGTTTTCAGAACCAAAGAAGTAAATGCAATGGTGGAGCTTATCTTTTTTAGGCTTTTTTATCTCTGGCTTTGCCTCTATAATCTAAAAGAATTAAGAAAAATATACATAATGTAGAGACAGCAATTGCAAAACTTGTTAGGACAATGCATTAGCTAGGTATGTGTGGAAATTATTTGTCAGAAATATATATAAAACTATTTACAGCATAAGGCTGATAAGCTGTTTATTATAATAAGAAAACATTCAAAAATTATAATAAGCAGCAGTACAAATTATAATTTTCAAATTCCTTTAAGTCTCACAACTATTATTTATTAAGTTCTAATAGATGGCATGAATATTAAATCTTTGATGTAGAACTATTCTTAGTCAACACGACTCAACAGGCTGGTGAAAACGCCCGATGGGGCTTACAATATAAAAACTCATATATCTAGAAAAACAATAGATATTTCTTTTTAAAAATTGTTTTTTTATTGAGCAAAATATATGACATTTATATAAACAGAAAGAAAAATATTTGGTTACTGTCACTTTTGTGAGAATTATTTCCCCTTTTTCATGTTCATGTAACATATAATTTTTTCCAAAATAAACAAAGTTTAAAAGAAATATCTTTATTGTTTTTCTAGATATAAAGAGTTTTATGTCGTAAGCCTGATTGGGCATTTTCATCAGCCTGGTCAAGTTAGTGTTACTTAAACACTTAAACTGATATTCTACTTCTACATGATACTCAGCTTTAAAATCGTTTACGATCACTCCAATCAGGTAAACTGCTCTGATAAAAATAGTACAAAAAAGTATCATTTATGTTCATAAATGAATACATGAAATGGAATAGCCTCCGCTTATTAAAGATTTCTTTATTAATGTTTACATTACACAACTTTTTTTGTTTTCCTTCATAAACTGATTAACAAGGCTTAAACAGTTTAAGATAATTTTGGTTTGCAACCACAAATTTTATGCTACTGAAATTTCTATGCTGATGCCGTTGAGTTCTATCTTAAATAGAACCCTAATTATGGTGCTACATATACAAATGCTCATGTAATTGTTATTTAAAGATCATAATGTCATTGTGTTGAAAATTCAAAGATTCCATGGCTAGACAGGGTTAACTCCCTTGAACGTCCCATTCAAAATGAACACAAATTCTTACCTTTCCCGGCCATGCAGGAAAGCTCTTCATCTTAGCCCTGAAATTAAAGGAAAACAAATGATTAACTTAATTTTTTTCACATTAAATGTGGCAAACATGTTTTAACTTCAAGGGGAAATAAAGTAAACATACCACACAAGATCGCCGATTTGCAACTTAGACGCCATCTTTGTTTGGCTAGCTAAGGATTGTGGGTCAAGTCACAGGCGCGTGTTTTGAATTTGTTTGTTTGCTCTACCGTACTGTATGCAAATCGGAGACTTGGATAAATACCGTAACGGGAAAAGATACTTTATACCGGGAGATACTTTGTACCGGGAATGTGAAGATATTACAAATAATGCTTTTATGGGAAATTACTATTGTGAGCAAGTGTTTTGATATATATTTCATAGCAAAATATGTCATATTTCGATGAAAGTTTCTAGTTTTCATAAGCATAGCCGCACAAATACTTTTTTTACATATTTAAACCAGTACCTACATATAGTTTTGTTAACCATTTGAACCCAAAACATGACAATTAATTTTGAATCTGTGTGGAAATGTATGTCAACTTTTTACCCTTTTACTGTGTATTAAATATTGAATAGAACTTTATTTTATTAGCAGTTTTGTTAAATATATTTTTGAGGGAAAAGAGTCAACTCGGCCCTATACCAACTCGGCACGGGTCAACCCGGCCCACTTTACAAAAATATATATGACGTTTTAAATTTGCTTTGCATGTTGTTAATGTAAATGAATATTAAGAAATATCTTATTATTATATAATTATACATTGTACTTCTTCTGAAATAAAGTATATCTAGAAAAAATGTTATTTATCTGTCTTGCAGATTCAATAATATTAATATAGATCTAGAATCAAATAAAATGTGTTTCCTTAGATGCATTTTGTTTGTAAAGTAATATTTAAAAAAATGAAACAAAAACGTGTTTACTTAATATCATAAGCTTCTAATTAAATCTTCCGTATAAGCGCATTGATTGCTGCCGAAATTCATTTGCACGTGTCATACGTTTTTTTCTTCTAACAAATAGAAAGATTTTGTCTGTGCATTATATAGTTACAGAACAGAAATTAAGTATGTAGAAATACAGTGGGATTCGCAATCGGTTATCTTTACTCTCAATTAGAACTACTGATCAGAAAATCTTGTCTGCTGCTAGTTCGAAACTGTCAACCCGTGTATTATAAATAATTACAAAAACTACAATAAATAGTGTTAACACAAACCTAAATATTAATAATTGAAAAGTGGGCCGAGTTGACCCAAGCCGAGTTGGAAATGGGGTTTTTTAATCATGAACCAATAAATAAAAACATGCGAACAGCATGGATCCTGATCAAACTGCGCGGATGCGTAGGCTGGTCTGGATCCATGCTGGTCGCAAACCTATTATGTTGGTTTTGTCATGACGCGGCTCATTTCAGCCAAACCTGAGTAGAGCCATCGACGTTCAGGATGTTAGCTTCCTCACATGAAAGAATCTAAAGTCGCTCGCACGATTCGAACCAACAGCAGTGAGGGGCATGTGGTGTGAAGTCAACAACCTGAACCATTCGGACACGGACGAAAAAAAAATGAATATCTAGACAAAAAATAATTCTAGTTAATTAAACGCTCGTGCATGTCCCGTAAGAAAATATGGCACATTTGTTTCAAATAGTAAAATATTTCTAAATGCTAGGAAATAACCGTTTCGTGAGAGCGATGTAATTGTTTTGATTTGAAGAGGAAAATAAAGTTGTTGCTGCATGTAAGACAAACTGTTTACATATAAATATAACAGTTAAAGCTGCCTGAATGTCAATTTGTATATATATTGTTGATTTATATGAATGATATAGCTGAAAAACTTACAAATGTTACATGGTTATTTGCAGACGATAACTCATTAGCATTAAGTCTATATAAACTCTGATCTTGTAATTATATCTACCTGGACAAATCAGTGGTTAATAGAATCTAACGCTGCTAAAACTGAAGTTATGTATTTTTCACTTTCAAAAAAAAAATCAAAAAAAAAAAAAAAAATTCGCGACACCCCGAATATTTACTTCAAAATAAACATCTTTACTTCTTTCATTCTCATAAGCATCTAGGTGTTACATTAAGTGATGATGGTATATGGTATCAACATATTTCAAATATAACTAAGTCTGCCTCTAAAATTCTTGGATCAATGAGAGTGGGTACATAGAAAAAACAACAACAAATTAAAAAGAAAAGCGCTTCATCAAATTTATAAAGTCTATCGCGAACCTTTTTCATGAAATTGGTTGGACATCACTTGCTTAATTCTTAAAAACTTAATTCTAGTTTTTAAACATAACCAAGGCCAGATTCCCTTTTATGAGAGTGATATTTTTCCAGAAATAGTTCGTAATACTAGTACATGTACATATAATTTGATATCCGACATCTAGAAATTTATTCAAAATCAGTAATTCTATTAAATTATGAAACAGTTTAGATCTTGAAACTCGAACTACCCGTACACTTTAACGTCTTTCAAAACCAAAATTAAAAAGCTTTTTACGCCGCCTCAAGTTCCAATATATTTTCTTACTGGCAAATACACCACGCGCGAATAATGCGTAAGTGGCGATTTGCACTTCAATCACTTACGTGACAATTCGAATTATGAATGCGTTTTTCTTTTATTCTGAAGACGCAGACCACCACCCTCTTAGTGCCCATAAATTGCTTTTCGGTATCAATCACCATAGTGATGAAGAAAATAATAGGTTATTCCTTCATGTTCAAAATTGTATCTTCAAGAAGATTTGAAAATGACTAACAGCTCGAATTTTTAAACAACGTTTTTAAATTGTTGTTCATAAGTATTATATCGATGCTGAGGGAAACTTCTACATGGTGCTTTTCATTCTTTCCCTTTTCTTATAATTAAATTCTATTATTCACATGACATCATATTGTTAGCTAATATGAACCATTCATTCGATTCCAAATACAACATAATTTATGCACATATTTTTACTATTATTGAGACAATGTGGGAAGGGCCAAATCTCGAATGTTGTTAAAACTTGTTTGTCCGACCCTAGCTTTTCCTTTTTATAAACAATTACAGCATCCATGTAAATTTATTCGTTATTGTTTTGTCTTATGTTTGCATGTGACATTGTATCTGTTTTTTGATAGAAAAAAAATCCCAACAACAAACCCCAAAATATGATCAAAGGCACATTATGCCCCAGAAATCCATATTTTGCAAATTCTTTAGAAATGTCAAACAAGTGTTTAATAATGTATTAACTTGTATGTTAACAACTGAAGAAAGTAGCACTGAACATGCAGTGATGTGTCATAAAGGAGGTAAAATGTAAACAAAGGAGTATTTTGACTTCCATACAAAAAACTTATTGACTATAATTATACCAATTGCCAACAGAAGCAAAATTTATTCATCTATATGACAAATGATTGAGTTTTTGGAAACTGTAACAAAAAACAAACAAAAAATTGAGAAATTAAAATGAAAGCATTTCTGAGGCATAGTGGGCCTTTAAACTAAAATGGATCCTATCTTATCATTTAGCCTCGCGTTCAAAATATTTGTGTTCCGTCTGATCTCGTTTTCATTTTCAGGGTCAAAAATGCAACTCTAAATGTTCTTTAAGTACCAAAAAATCTGTCAAAATCTAAAAAAAACATGGTGTTTTAAAATAAAAAGGACATTATACGTTATTGAGTACAATACTGATTGTTTTCTATTTTCGACTGGTACACAGCTGAAAACCCAATATTTGACTCGGCTAGCGTCTCGTACAATATAGGTTTAAAAGTTGTGTGAAATAGAAGGGGGCTTGTAACTTGTTTCTTAAAAGTTATATAATATAAAGCCCTTGGGCTGTTGATAGTTTTCACAGATTAAGAATGCTGTTTTTGATTCAGTTTATCATAAAATCTAAGTTAAAAGGCTGACAAAAATTATTGACCAAAGGGCGGTAAATGCTTAATACAAGTTTTATGAGTTTTGCAAGGACAAGTAATGCTACTGCTCTGGCAATTAAGTTTTTATACAAATACTTTTCTTAAGTCTGAAAGCGATGATAATTTTTTGATAAACGAATTTAATAATCAACTATTGTTGGGCGGGCCAATAGGATGTATTAATACCAAGCTTTGTTAGCTCGATTCATTAGACCACTAACTGTCACTCCTGAGGTCCCGGGTTCGATCCTTGGTAACACCATTGGGATTTTTCAGAGACACTTTCAGTGTTTCCCATCTACCTAGATGTGTACTGGTATGAAATCCTGTTTACCCTCGCATGTATCAGTGCTATACACTAGGCATGTAAAAGAACTAAAGGGGTCTATATTCTATAAGAGCTAAGGACTGGTTCCCGGATTCCCTGGTATCTCATAGCTGTCTCAGGAGTCATGTTTACGTCCCCGCGAGGGGGAAGATAAATTAATCAAGTGGCCCCTGGGGCGGGCCAATATTGAACCAAGACACATGATTCATATCACTTTTGTAAAAGTAAATAAGGAAATGCTAAGTTTTATTTTTTTCTACCGGTTCAAAAGATATAGAGCGGACACGAAATTTTGAAATTGATACAAAATAACCAAGTGACGTTGTCTCATTATGGTAAACATCTCTGCCGAGTAGTTGGTACAAAACATAGACCGGGCACAAAAACTGCTACAGAGGGACGGACAACCAGGTGCATAAATATTGTCCAACAATATTGACCTGGCACTTCATTAACTTTCGTAAAGGTCATTTGAATAAACATTGACCAGTATCTATCGAATATATAAATATATTTGCTAACTTCACTCGTCATTGAGGTGTGGTTTATTGGTATAGATGTCAGACTACCGATCTGAACGTCTGAGGTTCGAATCCTTACCAACATCACGTTATGATTTTTTTTTATTTACTTGCAATAATCAATTTGAAGCTGGTTTTAGAATACCTTTTAAAGGCTGTTTTTATACACAGCTATATTTTGTTATTTCATTACAGAATCATTCAACATAATTCTTTGTGACATGCAATCTTATAATTATGCTTTAGCTCACACACACTATAAAGGCAGTTACATGTATTAAAAATACTACACAGATAGTACACAGAACAAAACGGTTTGCAATAGTTTTTCGAGAATATGAGTTTAAAAATTAAAATAAAAAAGAAATCGCTGAAATAGGATTCGAACCTACCAGTTTACGTCTACATTCTTCTAGTAAAACCCCTTTACCAACTGCGCTAAGAGCGATCTTCAATTTTCAACATTGTAACAATTGGATCGATTTAAAAGTAGATCGTAGCGGTTACGGAATATACCGATTGCTAGGTCATATGCAAGAGTGCCAGGTCAATGTTGTTGGACAATACGAGTTTTTTTTTTCGGGCGTATAACAATGCTTTTGAGAAACAAAACATAAAAGCATTTCTAGGGCATTAATGGATCTAAACCTTTTTATATAGTCACTTGTTTGACTTTCCTTCCTTGATTTCGGTTAACCGTTATAAGAAAGACATCTCGGGGCAAGTATATCACAAATGTTTATATCTGACCAGAATAAATTTAAGCATAATTGGACCCTCAAACATCCGCTCTTGGAAATAATACGCAGAACTTGCGGTCTTCTTCCACCAATTTAGCCGGAAAGATGTCACACGACTTTTAAAGATCCTGTAACACATTTTTATATAATAAATATGATGCTCAAATTAAGATTTATCAATTTTGTAAGTTCCAAAAAGCATTATTTATAAAGATATTACAGAATTTAACATTTCATGTAAATAACGGGAGGTAATAAATTTTTTTTTATTTTCTTTAAAGACTAGGTCAAATTTTTCAATAAGAAATGAATGCATATATTTTAATGCTTACATAATAATATGTACTAATATTTGCAGTACATATTTTTCGATGCTTGAATATTGTTTTATAAGCATAATTACATACATATATATAATTTCATTTAAGTGTGGTTAACAACCTCAATTACAACATACAGGACCTTTAAATCAGCTTAAACAAGATATGTTTGTAAAATTGGCAGCCAATTAGTCTTGTGGTCAGGTTATTGTGGCTGACTTTTGACCTAGTGACCAAAAATCAATAGGGGTTATCTACTCCTAATGACTAGTTTGGATTTTTACGGCACGTCAACACATAACTGGCCATATCGTGCCGAATGCTATAGTTATGTTAAACTTTGTAAATGACAATAAAAATGAGCCAATTAGATCTTAGAATACAAGTTTAACTCTTCCAAATAATCAATGAATTTTTATGAAGATTAAAATCTTTCGTTGTATTTACACAATAACAATAAGGGCAATTTGACATTTACTACCTAAAAATAGGGTTATCCCCATAGCAAATGACAGATCCAAACCTACCAGTATAATATTGTGAAATTTGATAAAATTTTTACTCCTAAAATTGTAATTACATCTTAACGCCGTGACCCCTTGACCCAAAAATCAATTAGAGGTTATTTTCCAAAAGCCGAATATCTGGAAGTTTGAAGGTATAAGGCCCATGAGATGTTGAGATATTGATCAGAAACTGTTTTACCTATAATGTCAATGTGATCTTGACCCCTGACCCCAAAAATCTATTGAGGTCATCTTTTTACCAAAAGCAATCCACCTACAAAGTTTGAGGTCCAACAACGCATGGCTTGTCAAGTTTTTGATCAGAAACTGTTTTTTACCTACGAGTCAATGTGACCTTGACCTTTGACCCCAAAATCGGTAGGGGTCATCTACTGGCTGAGTTCAATGCACCTACAAAGTCTGAGGGCCAACAGCCCATGGGTTGTCAAATTATTGATCGAGAACTTTTTTAACTTACAAAGTCAATGTGACCTCAACATTTGGCCCCTTGACCCAAAAATCAACAGGGGTCATCTACTGGTCATGAAAAACCATCATACCGAGTTTGAAGTTCCTAGGCCTAAGCGTTCTTTAGTTATTGATTGGAAACCGTTTTTACCTACAAGGTCAATGTGACCTTGACCCCTTGAATCCAAAATCAATATGGGTCATCTGCTGGTCATGAAAAAACATCATCATTGAAGTTCCTAGGCCTAAGCGTTCTTTATCGGTACAAGGTCATTGTGACCTTGACCCCAAAATCAATAAGGGTCATCTACTGTTCTAGAACAATCATACCAAGTTTGAAATTCCAATTAAGGCCTAAGCGTTCTTAATTATTGATCGGAAACCATTTGATCTACGGACCGATGGACAGACAGACAAAGGCAAAGCAATACTAGTATACCCCACTTCTTTGAAGTGGAGCATAATTAATCGTGGCATTTGATAAATTTTGTAATTTCATTCACCGGTCATCAGATATATTGTACTAATGGAAACGTCATAAAATAACAATTTATTTTTAATTCATTTTTTATTCACATCTATAAAAAGAAACATAACAGAAAAAGAGAAGACTATAATACTGGTGTATATAAAGTGTATGATTATGGCTCTGATAAAGTAAAATAAAGATTTATTCAGGATCTTATGTGCATTAATTTATATAAATACCTTTCTCATATACTTTAAGACTTTTGTTACATTCACACAAGTGATTATATATTTAACATTCAAAACATACAAATGTATATATATTTTAGAAATAAGAATGATCAAGAATATACACAAAGGATAACATTATAAATTTATATAAAATAGAAATTCATATCACACAATATTCAATCACAGAATAATAGCTTTGATGAATATAAAAGATAAGGCTTAATAGATGACACATTGTTACTTTTGAAATAAGAAAATTTACATACTTATACTAATTAACATGTTTTTGGTTCAGCTGGATAAATAGGACATTCCCAGTTTTCAAATATTTCAATACTGTCCAATAATAAGACACTAACACTTATTCTAAGCACTTTTTTTACAATACTGTCCTAATATATTTGATCAACAAAGAAATCTTTAAAACGTAATGTCATAATGTCACGACAGCAAATGTCAAATTTTGTGTACACAAGGTGGCCTTTATCATTATAATCTTGTCTGCTCTTCCTTATCATTAGGAGGCAGATCTTCTACTGCCTTTTTTGGTTTAACTTTTGAAGACTTTTTCTTTTTAGTGTCCCTCATTTTCTTTAGCGGAGATGGAAGAGTTGCCTTGTACTTCTCCCAAGGGGACGTTAAACTTGAATCCGTTGTAGTTAGAAGACTTTTTTGTTTCTTTTTCTTCTTCTTTACATCATCTAACCGTGGTGTTGACGCCCTTGAACTAGATAATGAGCTTGCCCCGCTGAAGTCGCTATCTAGTAATGGGAGAGGTTTATCTCTTGATCCGAACAGGTCCTCATGAATCTGTGTAAAGTCGAGGGGATTGGGATGGACGTTTCGAGAGAAATGGATATTAGGTGATTCATTATGTTCCCTTGAAACTCCATGCTCACCTCGGCGTAGTCTTGGTGTGATTTGTGGACTTCCGCTTCCACCCTGACGTTCTCGGGAAAATAAGTCTGGTGAATGTCGACCTCTTAAGCTGGTAGGTGCGTTTGGAGCATGCGCAGGAGAAGTAATTTCTCGTTGTCCAAATGTTCTAAGGGGCGATTTCAAATGCTCGTCAATTTCGTGTTGGTTATCATGATGTTCTTTAAACCGCGACCCATTTGGGTGTTCATTGTCGCTATTAGGAGGAGGATGTGGAGAGAATGGTCGGTCGGACTGAAGGGTTTTATGAAACATTTCTTTTACAGTATGTGGTACAACAGGTTTATCACCCTTTTGATGCTTATCTCTATTAGTTTTTTCGTCATCGTCTGTCGTCTTACTATTAGGATCGACATCTATATGTTCAATATGCCCTTGATGTGGTTCGACCGATTTTCTTCCAAGAAATCTATTAAGGGTGGTTGAAAATTGAAAATTTTCATCTGTAGAAGTTTCATTGCGCCCGTTTTTATGCTCATTATCCATTGTCTCCGAAGGTGGTTGACCTATGAACAACATTGGAGATTCAAATAAATCGTCAGTGTCTATTGAAGGCCGTCTACTGATATGAATATGGTGACTGGAATCAGGCAAATCCCTGTTATCATGAGCAAAGTGAGGGCCTATTCGAGTACTGGTTTCCCATCCAAAGGAGGTTTCGTGTGTTTCATGCAATCCTTCATTATCATAATGCATAAAAAGCTCATTTCTAAACTTTCGACTTCCAATCAACTTTGGATCTTTATCCTTATTTTTCCTCCTTTTCTTTTTCTTCATACAAATGCAGAAGCAACAACAGGCGACAATAATGGATATTATCAAAACCCCAACACATATTATAAGTATAATAGCCCATACAGGAAAACCATCATCTTTTTCTTTTCTATCACAGAAATAGAAAAACCCATCATACAAACAATCGTCAACACCTACAACAGTCACGCAGTAGTATATAAGCGAATAATGCAGTATTCTCGCAGCTTCTTTTGCACCAACCCGTTGATGTTCACGAATACAAGCCTCAAGAAAATGGTCCACAACACCACTTGCTATGGCCTTGCAATTTTCGACAAAAGTTTCGTTGTTAAGTACATCAAGACAATCAGTTGCTGCAGTTGTGTAGTTTCTGTCATGATGACTGTAAGTTGTCAGTGTTTTAGGTAGGTGCACTGCTGGTACAGGAATTGTAGACGGAACCCATGTTTCATTATTAATGGCTCCTGAAGTAACAAAAATTACGAAATAGAGAAGCACTGTAGAAATTTATTGGCCAAATTTATTGACGATGCAATTTATCAATATTCTGAATAAGTATTGAATTATTCATGATTTTAAACTGTGAAGTTGCATGAACGAGAATAATACAACAAGAATTTGTGAAGATTTCTGAAAATTTAATGAGAAAATATTAATACGCTTACAAGAATTTGTAATTATAAAATATTTATGAAAGTAGAACCCATGGCGATATAAATGGTTATTTGGGTTTAATGGCACATCGGAACATTATTGGTGAAACTGCGCCAAACACTATACATGTACTTATTATAATGAAATCTTAAGTTGAAACATAAATCACTTTATTTACCTGAAATAATACCATCAACAGTTCCAATAACTGATCCAGAGCTTGTTCCATGGTTTGTTTGGTATGTTGTTACCAACGACGACTCCCCTGTTCCCTCATCGAACAGTACTAACAGCATTAACGTCTTATCAGATGTTATTGACTCTTCGTAGATATTCATTTCAGTTATTATTTCATTTTCTGTTTTTGACTTAGCCCAAACACGAATATAATCTAACGTCACACGAGTAGTAATAGATGAGAACATTTTAAATTCCTTCCAGCTCACGGTATAACCAGAGTTCAGTGTGAGGATTTCCTTTTCAACAAGCCCATTTCTGATAAGATAAATAACAGCAGAGCCATCGGAAGATCGCCATGTAAATGCAAAGTAATACCAGCCATCTTGTTCAATTTTCAGGGAAGTGGTGAAGTTTTTAGTCCAGTTAACCGTCAAATAACCAGACATAACACTGAATATAACTTTTGTCGAACCGACATCAACAGTAAATAGTGTAAAATTCATTGTTTGAGATGAGAAATCAGTTGTACATATCATCCAATAACTGACTGTAAATGCTAACACATTTTGTTCAACAATAAAGTCTTTTACACGGAAAAATTGTTCATCTGACAGTGACAATGCGTATCCACCAGAAAAAGATGTTTTGAAGTTCAAATGAGATTTTGTAATAATGATGTCCTCAGTACTTGGCATAAACTCTTTCAAAATGCATTCTCCAGCACGATTTCCTGTCATGTCATCTCCTAAATCTTTACACTGAACGTCATTTTCCCAAGAGCCATCAGCTGATCCTAGTAGCCCTTTGTTTGACTTAGACAAATCTTGATGAATTTTAGACGATATAATTAAACCAATTTCTGAATCATACACAATAATATACGAACTTCTAAACTTTATTTTTATGAATGGGTCTTCTGTCCAAACTGTTTCAATTTCCCCCGAAACTTTTGTTGAAGGGAAGTACAATCTTTGGTCGTTCAAAGTGACAGTTAAATTTTCTTTAGGATTGTGTTGAATTACAAGTATTTCGCTTCCCACATTGACAGCTAATTCTTTCATAAAGCGACATCTGTATGAGCTATAACAAGGTAAAAACAAACACTGAATGTTGACGGAAACTGTTTTAAGAAGGAAATACACTCCTGGTGCTATATGTGTGAAGGACAGACCATCAAAAGTAGTTATATATGATCCATACACAATGCCAACATAACTAACTTTCAACGAGTTTGAGAAGTGGCAATCAGTTCCTATCCAGCTCTGCGAGCATTGGTTACAGGTATATTCCACTGAAATATTCAATTTCAGGGATGAAACATAACTCTTCCAGACATCTGTCAGTGTGACTGAACTAGAATAATGTCGAGGATGGCAATAACAGAAACCAGCATTGGAGGAACATACCCCATATGAGCTGCAAGCTCCTTGTTGGCTGAACGGGCAGACAGATGTACATGCAGGGTCCCAATGAGAATCTAAGCAAACGCATGACTGTTCTTTAACACTTCCGAATATACATTTTTTGCATGTTTTACCACTTGCTCCTATGTACTCAGAGAGTGATTCTACTACGTTACATATACTATTAATTGGATTGGAAGAAGAATTATCAGCCCCCATGACTAAGTCTGCCGCTCCAGCCAAAATGTTGTCAGCTTGTTTTGAATCGCCAGTGCTTATAATTTCATCAACGCAAATGTCATCTAAAGTCTCTGTTAACATTTCAATAGTAGATCCAATTATTGAGTTGGAAAAATTACTCATTAGAGTATGGCACTTTTCTTCTGCTAATGCTAATTCATCTTCATTTATTGCAAGTTTTGTTGTCAATTTTTGTTTGTTAAGGTCAAAGTTTTCGGACAATTCAAGGTCGGACTTTACCCAAAGTGGAGGATTCACAGTATCAATAACAACCATGTTATCAATCTGCAAGCTTTCATATGCCGTTAAACCAATTCCTTCATTGAAATTCCAGTTGTATAAAATATCACTTGTGTCGGACGTGACTTTCATTCTGAAGTTGCTAACAATAATAGTGGGGTTGTGTGGCCTGGACCAGATACGAACTTCATCTATATCACCCTTGAATTCTCCCATCGCAATGTCTATATCCAGACCAGGAGTTACCTGACCTAACGTTAACGTCCCGGCATTTGTAAACTGTATACTGGACACCGACAGCACTTTAACAGATGTTACTCCTGAAAAAAAAGTTATGAAAAAATATCTTACTAGTATAACGAGCAATTGTAAATTATTTATAAGTAAATAATAACTTTAAAGAACATTCATAAATTTTATGATTAAAAAGTAAAATATATAAGACATCGGAAAAAAATAAACTACTTGTGAAGTGATTATTCATGACTATTTATTTTTTACCTGCATTATTTGTATGGTAGACTTCCAATATATTTGACACATCCCTCCATGCCAGACTTATTTGGTTCCAGTCATTAAGTTCTAGAACAATGCCGGTCGGATGATACAATCCACGGAGAAGAACAAGAATCCCTTCTGTATGATGAACAAGAATGAGGTATTCTGTTTGAATTGTATAAGACAGAATAATTCCACCAACAACTGTTGGTTTAACATGCAGTTCAATAGTGAAGTCAGACTTTGGTAATGTTATTCCAGTGGCCGATACACCTGTTCCAGAATACATCAAACAGTTGGATTTCAAAGTTTGTAAAACCATTCTTTCAATTTTTGCAATAAAAGTGAAATCATAATATGCGAACATCTTGAAAAACGTCTCAGAAGTATGGTATATCAATGGCATAACACAATCGTCTGGTAAGGTTTGTGATGGATTGGAACAAACCGAGTTTCGACTTATATTACATTTGTGTCCTAAAATTGCTAAAGAAGTGTTACAAGATGTAAGAATTCCATTTATTACTGACTGCATCTCATCCCACTCTCTTCTTGGAATGGATATTGTTGCCAGCAGCCTTTCATTGATAACCGATATTCTCATCATTGTATTGGAATTACCTATAGTAATTTTAACAGTTGTCTTGGATTCTAGTTTAAGAGTGATATGGCCTAAAACCAATGTGTCATATAATGTAAAAGTTGACTCTGATGCCATAATTTCGATTTTTGTACTTTCGTGAGCCTTGTAACTTATGTAATAGCTTTCACCGTTGTGGACTATTATGATTCCAAAAAGACAGAGTTGTAGTGCCGAGTCTGAACTGCAGACAGAAACTCTTCCATAAATTGAAATATCTAATGAATTGATGGAAATAAGATTGTAATATCCAGCTACAGGAATGTCCAGAATAACACCGTCAAATGTTGTTAGCTGGCCAATCAGACTGACCTGAGCAACAAGTATATTCGCTCCTTTTCTAAGGGGGTCATACGATGATTGTTTGAAAATTATACAGTCTTCACCAAACCAATCAGTGTCACACATATTGCAAATAGAGCCGGTAAAGTGACCATTGCATTGGCATTTACCGTTTATATCACAATCACCATTTCCGCTGCATGGGGTTTTAGCGCCGCCGGGGCACACACTGTCACACTTCACTCCATAGTATCCGTAAAAACATATACATTTGCCATTGCTTTCATATCCAAAGACACAACCAGAGCATTTCTGACTTAACCATTTTGGAAAGTTTATTTGTAGTGTACAGATTCCTTCATAAAGATGTGTTGCATTACCACCAGTCACTTTACATACCGAGACAAAATCTACCATTGAAATAGCAGTGTCAGATAAGTGTCCTGTTTTAGAAGCCGTTATCTTGCACGTCTCTTTGTACCACATTTTTGTAAAGTCTGAAACACCGCTACATTCTTGTTGTATTATTGATGACTCAAAGAATGATAAACATGCATTGTTGACAGATGACTCAACTTGAAGATCATCCCCTTCCTTTATAACTGTATGTAAAACTTCGAGTTTAAGATCTGAAAATGTCCATGTTGGTGCTTGCCATGGATAACTCGGTAGCTTTAAGTTATTTCCGTTTACTTCATCAAATGCTACAGTGCCGACTCCTTCAGAAAATGAAAGCAAAATCGATAATTTTGAGACAAAGTTGGAAGCTTTAGTATTCAGGAGATGCGCTTGATAGATTAGAAAGTCAGGAATAGAATCCTTCCATACTGTGAATTCATCAATGTATCCAATAAACACGTCCGAGTTGTATGTATATTCATCTCCTTGGATAGATGGCAAATATGCACCTAACATTACAACACCTCCTATCTCAAAGGTTTCTGGACTGTCAAAATCGACTATTTCATGCGTTATTGTTACATCTTTTCCAAAGTGGTACACGTCAATCTTCTTAGAGCTACGTCTAAAGGTTAACACGAGTTGATTCCAAATGTTTAGCTCAGCAGAAATTGAAAGGTGCACGGAAGATGTTCCATATTGTAGTTCCATCGGATTTGAGTTCAAAATAGCAAATGAAACATTTTTAGCATATGAAATAACGCATCCTCCATATTCCAATGGTTTGAAATACACTGATATACTAATGTCATGACTTGTTGATACATACTCACTTTGGTACACTATTGGCCTAGATAAAACTGCAGTATTGTTGAATTTTAGAGCGTAACTTGATCCATAACTACTATTCACGCTCGGAATATTGAGTGCTTCAAAGATTATACTAGTAAAGAGTCTGAAGTTTGTTGTAACATATTGTGTAATCTCCGCTTGTGTCAAAGAAATATAGTTTTTACCATTACTGCCGCATGTTCCAAAAATACCAGTTCCTGTTTGACAAACAGTAGAATCAGTTATGACAGATGCTTGAAGAAACTCATTTTGAACTATTACCGTTACTGTTATACTTCCGATGCTTGTAATTTTAATGCTTATTTCATTAAGTGAACCATGTATAACTGTCATAGCACCAAATACATTAATGATTTGCTCTAACTTTTTTGGCTTTCCGTCAAGGTAAAACAATGGGACATGATCTTGTCTTGGTGTTGTTATTACTGCCTTGTTTGTAGATGAAGATACAGATATTGCCGCAATACACGAACCGTAATTACAAGATACTTGGTACACATGGACCTCCACACCTAAGATAGAAGATTCAAACAACATAAATGCTCCAGTTTCTCCAATGAATGATATTTGCTGGCCATTAAATGTCATATAATAGCCATTGCTAGATACAGCTGCTATTATTGAAGACTGAGAAGAAAGTGACGCAGTTTGTAAAATAGTGCATTCTGGGCCTATCATTGAACCAGTACCATCTGATGTGCAAGAAGAACATTCGTTATTCCCATTCCAGTTCCATAAACATTGGCAAGTTCCATTCAATAGACATGTCCCGTGGTTACTGCACGGAGTATCTGAACCTCCCGGACAGACCATATTACAAGATGTTCCATAGTAGCCTTTAAAACAGGCACATGAGTCGTTAGCTTGTTGGAATCCATAAACACAATTATCATTAATGCAAGCTGGTATATAGTCTCCGTAACTTGTATCTTCACAAATAGAGTTGACAAATGTGCTAGTCACTCCATGTTCCACAATACATATACGTAGATAGTCTAAAATTACACTAATTCCCGATTCCTTCAGATTTGCTGCAGCCATTGCTTGCCGGCATATAATGTAAAAGAATTCTTTTGTGCTGTTACTTATACCTGGACAATCAGTATTATAAATATATGCCAAACAAAGTTTTTCCGCTTCAGTTTCAAATGATTTATTGGTAAAGTAAGTGAAAGCAAAATCAGGGAAGTAGCTACCTGTATAGTTAAGATCAGAAACAAACCAATCAGGAGCTTTCCATGGAAAGTCTGGAAATACAATGTCTGTATTAGCTATATTATCTTTGGTCAGAGTTCCGTCGCCTTCATTAAATTGAAGGGAAAATATAAGACTTTCAGCCGGAACTGCCGGATCCATTTTCCAAAGCTGACTTATTTCATTTGGCAGTACCATAATATTCCATATCATAAAATTTTCAATGTTGCCATTAAATCCTTTTGGAAGCTGATACATAGTGCCATCAGACGGGGGATACCAGTTCCCAACAGTAAGTACACCTGTATTGTTGAAAATTCCTAATGGAAGTTGAAATTGACCAGAAGTTGAAACTGCTGAATTTGTGTCAATCACAAACAATGACGTGATGCCGTTGCTGCTATCATAAGTTAAAATAACTTTGTTCCAGTGACTTTGATCAAGAGAGAGATTAGTATCAAAAACGGTTTTATCTTTTGTGTATGTGTGTACTTCAAGTGATGACTTGCCGCTTAGTATAACCAAAGATATGTCTCCAGTAAATGAAAACAAAACACCACTGTCATTGGCCATATTCTGTTTAACTAAGACTTCAAATGTTAGCGCTGATACAGAACTGGTGTTTATACTAAATTTATGATGTAAGCTTGTTTTCGTAAAGCTTAAACCATATCCACCTTGAGTCTGGTATCTATACTCACTACTAGGGTAATGAATTACATTGTCACAGTTCGAGACAGAAAATCTGGAAATGCTGAATATGGAATCATTTACGTATGTTTGTGTATATGGATCCAAAACCATCGTTATAGAGCTTTCTAAAGCTAATGCAGTTTGAACTGAAGCTGGACTGTTACAAATGGATAGTTCTGGTAATGATATTGCACTCAAGTGTTTCAGTTTTTCTATTGGAGCATCCATTGCAGCACCACTCAATAACCCTGACGTCTGATTTATTAAGGGTTTTTCCAAATCTATATCAAGATGAAGAAATTGACCGTCAGTTCTAATCGTGAAGTTGACTATATCCTTAACATCAATTCTTGCAGCAAAGAAGCTTGACCTGTATACATTAAACCCACTGAAAAATACAGTTTTATCTAACGAATTTGATATTCCATTTATATAAATGAGTGGTTTTGAATTGTACTCTTTACTGGATTGAACAGTTATGTTCGTAAACCCATTTAGACTATCCCCAATTCGTGCACCTATAAATGTTATACAAGAATAATTTTGGTAGCAAGTCACAAACTTTCCTTGAATAATTATGTTGTTTGATAAAGATAGCAGCAGAAGTTCTCTTTGTAATTTTACTGCATAGCTTAAGCCATCAAACGTGTAGATTGAACCAAGTTGGCCAACAATAGCAATGTACTTGTTTTGAAAAGATCTTTTAATGTTTGCTGCAACAGTGCAATTCTGTCCATGCCATTCATTAGAGCACATACTACAATCATCGGCCATTTTTCTGTTCAATGGACAGTTACATTTTCCGGTAGTCTGATTACATGTGCCATAACCACTACATGGTATCGAAGCCCCACCAGGACATATTGCCTCACAGCTTGAACCCCAGTAACCAATGTCGCAAATGCACTCTGAAGTTGATGTCTTTCGACCACCAAATGTGCATCTTGGTAAACAAACTTCATTCATGAAAGGGAATAAGTTGAAATCCTTTTCGAATTCAGAACATGTATTTTCTGCTGGCCAGAAATCCATACCGAGAGCATCTTTACAGTCATCAGCAAACCAAGATATAGCACTAGCAATATCGTAACCATCACCATCAGCATCTACACAGTCAATATATGCCACATTTCGTTTAGGGAGAAGATCTGTAGAACTGCAACTCCTATCAAATACATATAATATACGGATATAATGTTCAACAGAAATGTACCAATTCAGCACAAAGAGGATATTGAATAAGTATATGTTTAATACTGAATTTATTGAACGAGTTGAATAATATTATGCGATTCAACAAGTTCAATAAATTCAGTAATGAACTTACACAAATTAAATATTCTAATTATCACATTTCAATAATAATTTAAAGACCGTCTGAAGTGAAAAAGAACCTTTTTTTATTGACGCGCCTATAGTATATAATATAATTTATATAGTCATGACGCTATATTTATATTACACAAATGACGTCATGCAATACCATTTTTACGGGGCCACAAAGTGGCATAAGTATGTGATTAAGTATTTTAACACACATATAAAATTTAAATGACCTAAAAGTCAATGATTCTTACATTATTTAACAAGCTACCGCCAAGTGGGGATCACCCTTGACTTTTTCTAAAGTCAAATACATCGGAGAATGAATATTGTAGTAAAGACTGCTCATTATAGAAAAAGATCATTTTCTTTGTTCAAAATATAATCTAAATTTCATATTTTATCTTGACAATTCAAGGTCAAACTTAAATTATTCAACATGTCAATGTCAAAGTAGTGCTTTGTCCCAGTTATGCATGATATTTCATAATTATCAATAACAAATTTATGACAATTTAAGCTGAATTTACTTTTATTTTTACTTGTCACTAATGATCAAGGTCATTCAAAGGTCAAGGTCACATTAAAATTATTCAAGGTAAGTTTTGTCAATTTTCAACACTGTAGTTTTCAATGCAAAAAGTAGGTCACTAGGTCAAAATCTGGGTCAAATTTCAATTCTGCATCTGAAAAGTCTAAATTTCAAAGCTTTACTAATAGAAGGTGACTGAATCAAAATCTTGACCAATGTCAAGTTCAATTTTGCATCTATATATAATGTGCATCTAGTCTAAATTTCATAGATGTAGCTATAAAAGCAAAACATGGGTAACATTTCACAAAAGATATGGACGATAAGAATTGTGGCAAGGAAGTTGGCCCCTTTACATATTTTCATCTAAAATTTTATCTCTATGTGTGACCTTGACCTTAGTTACAGAGACCTTAATTTTATGTGCGACCGTGACTTTTTAAGCAAGAAAACTTGTGCCAAGATTATATTTTGCGAGAGACACTACGCCCACAATGGCGAACATTTGTGCCAAGTTTAATTGAAATCCCTCTATGCATGTGAAGTTTTGCTGCGGACAAGCATTTTTTAATGAGCTCTAATTGTGACAAAGAACTTTGACCTAGAGACCTGGTTATTGTACACCACAAGGCTTCTCATTTCTGTGAAGGTTAATTTAAATCTCTCCATTTGTGTAGGAGTTATTTTCCTGGAAAAATGCGACGCTGCCCGCCTGCAGGGCTATAATTTAAACAAAGTTGGAAGAGGTCCACAAAGCAATGTTTCATGCAAAATATCTATTGCATTAAGTCTTTATTGCCTTTGAAAAGAAGAAAGGTTTTACTTTATACATACAAAGAAAATTTATGACCCCCTGAGGCAGTTGTTGCTATATAGACCTACAAGGAAAATTCAGGACTACCAACCTGGGGATGAAACAAATTCAGAACCCAGGGCTATTATTTGAAAAAATTTGATACTAGGTCCACTAGACAATGCTTCATCTTTAATATCTTAGCTAAAGCCTTCATCATAATAGAAAAGAAGAATTTTTACTTTAATTGTACATATATGTATATGGACAAGATATGTTTGTAAAACATGTGTGCCCCCTATCGGCAGCCACTTAGTCATGTGATCAGGTTATTATGCATGACTTCTGACCTAGTGAACAAAAAATCAATAAGGGTTATCTACTGGTCATGACAAGTCACAAGGTAATAATTATTGTGACCGCATAGGTTGTGTGCAGCAATTTAAGCTATTAAAATCTTACCAAATAATATATGCATAAATTTTATGAATCATGTAGGCTTCATTAATGACAGCCAAGTTGTTATATTACATAAGACCTACGAAAAGCATTTTTAGTTTAATATAAAAATATCAACCAAGGCAACTTGAGTTGTTGAGTTATTGGTCAGAAAGTACAAGGTCAATATGACACTGACCCCTTGACCCCAAAATCAATAGGGGTCCTCTACTGGCCAAGACCAATGCACCTACAAAGGTTGAGGGTCAAGTTATTGATCGGAAACCTTTTTCACCTTTTTGACCTTTGACTCCTTGACCCCAAAATCAATAGGGGTCATCTGCTGGTCATGACCAATCATCATACCAAGTTTGAAGTTCCTAGGCCTAAGCATTCTTTAGTTGTTGATCGGAAACCGTTTTTACCTACAAAGTCAATGTGACCTTGACCTTTGACCCCAAAATCAAAAGGGGTCATCTGCTGGTCATGACCAATCATCATACCAAGTTTGAAGTTCCTAGGCCTAAGAGTTCTTTAGTAATTGATCGGAAACCGTTTTTATCTACAAGGTGAATGTGACCTTGACCTTTGACCCCTTGACCCCAAAATCAATAGGGGTCATCTGCTGGTCATGCCCAATCATCATACCAAGTTTGAAGTTCCTAGGCCTAAGCGTTCTTTAGTTGTTGATCAGAAACTGTTTTTACCTACAAGGACAATGTGACCTTGACCTTTAACCCATTGACCTGAAAATCAATAGGGGTCATCTGCTGGTCATGACCAATCATCATACCAAGTTTGAAGTTCCTAGGCCTAAGCGTTCTAAAGTTATTGATCGGAAAACGTTTTTACCTACAAGGTCAATTTGACCTTGACCTTTGACCCCAAAATCAATAGGGGTCATCTACTGGTCATGACCAATCATCATACTAAGTTTGAAGTTCCTAGGCCTAAGCGTTCTTGAGTTATCACTCGGAAACCATTTGGTCTATGGACCGACAGACAAATGCAAAGCAATATACCCCCTCTTCTTTGAAGTGGGGGCATAATTATTCTGAAACTAACCCTGGTCTGCTGAGCTACATGCAGTATATTTTTAACTTATAAAACTCTTTATTATAAAACATACTGAAACTTAAACCCTGGTATACTGAGCTACATGTTGTATAATTTGCATTTAAAATACTGACACCCATAAATTTATCTGTTTAAACTTTCAAAACAGTTATCACTGGTTAAAATCAATAATAAGAGATAGCGCTATATAAAACTAAATATTGACTTAAACAAGAGGGCCATGATGGCCCTGAAATCGCTCACCTGTATATAGGCCTCCGGGGCTGGGCCAATTTTAACCCAAGAGCTTTTATTTAAACAAACTTGGTAGACACCCATTAGAAGATGTTTCCTGATAAATATCTAAGCTCTGGCTCTTTGGGTTTTTTCAAAGAAGATTTTTTAAGTTTTTACTATACACATATAGGGAAAAACAATGAAACCCCACCCCTGGGGCGGCGCCAATTTTGACCCCAGGGCTTTTATTTGTTCAAACTTGGTAGACTCTCACTAGAAGATATTTCATGCTTAGTATCTAAACTCTAGTTCTTTGGGTTTTTTAAAAGAAGTATTTTTAGGTTTTACTATACACATATAACGAAAAGCAATGAACCCCGGGCGGGCAAATTTTAACCCAAGGGCCCTTATTTGAACAAACTTGGTGTCTCACTAAAAGATCTTTCATGCTTAATATCTTAGCTCTAGCTTTTTGGGGTTTTTAAAAAGAAATTTTTAAGTTTTAACTATTTACAAATAAGGAAAATCAATGATTTACCGGGGCTAGGCCAATTTTGACCTCAACTTGGTAGACACTGACTAGACAATGTTTCATGTCAAATATTTAAGCTCTAGCTCTTTCGGTTTTCTATAAAGAGATTTTTTAAAGTTTTTTCTTTCGGTTGCCATGGCAAACAGTTCTGCATGAAATTAAATTCTTTGAACAATTTTTAAAGTTGACAACAAATTAGGTACATTCCTGTGAAGTTTGGATGAAATTGGCTAAGAAGTTTATAAGGAGTTGCGACGTTAAATTTAAAGTTTACGGACAGACAGACGCTGGACAAAAAGCGATCACAATAGCTCACCATGTCACTTTGTGTCAGGTGAGCTTAAAACTGATAGCAAATTTTTTTTTCAATAAAACATTTTTGTGTGAACTTTGGAATACTAAACATTATTAAGATAAAATGGATTAAATGATTGGGTAACAAAAATTGGAATTTTATTCATGAAAATTGAAGTGTTTATAAAATAACCAACTTTATATTAATATGGATAGAAAACAGTGCTATTTAGCTATAAATAATGCATATTTCCTACCCATGCATTAGTTTGTTATTAATAAAACCTGCCAGTATTGATGCTTAACAAAGTTTAGATAACAAGTGTATTTAAAAATAGGCTTAAGATACTCAAAACAAAAAAACATTCAAAAGACAAAAAGATGGAAAATTCAGTAAAAAACAAGCATGGACAACAAATGAATGAGTTTACAGAACAAACACCTGAGATCGGAGACTCAGCCAAAAAGTCTGGAAAACTAAAAAGTGATGTAGGATTCCAAATTGAGAAGAACATAAACAAAACAAAAATATGCCAATTCAATGAGTCTGCACAAGTAACTGATGAATCTGATACAGAAAACGAAGATTCAACAAAGATCACCACTGAGGAGACTGAAGCATCAATACAAGATCTTTATAAACAACCCAAAACACAGATCACTCACAATACATCTTCAAAAGAATTCAGATCTGAAACAGGAGTATTTTACTTAAATTTAGGTCATGACTTTTCTGATATAGGATTCCAAGCTAAGAAAAACAAAAGCAAAAAAAAATGCCAAATCAATGAGTCTGCACAAGTAACTGATGAATCTGATACAGTCAACAAAGATTCAACAAAGATCAAGACTGCGAAGACTGAATCACCAATATTTCTCAAAAAACCAATCATGAATTCAAGACCATCTAGATCTAAAAAGCCAAGAGGATATGACTTTGACTTCCATCCTCTTGATAGACAGATGTCAAAAAAGATGGAAAAAATATGTTCTAATGACAAACCATCACCTTACAGATGTAATAGTTCTGACAATAATGAGACACGGAAATCAAGAATGGATAAAATCATAGTACAAGGGAATATCACCTATGTCCATTGCAGATCTCCTCCTCCACATCCACGTGGTCTTGATGAACTTTTTGATGAAAAAACTAAATTGAGCAGAGGATCATCAACTCAATACAGATGTAGTAGTTCTGACAATAATGAGGCACAAATATCAAGAATGGATAAAATCATAGCACAAGGGAATGTCCCTGAGTATGTCCCTAGGAGAAATCGTCCTGCACCTCCACCTCCTGATCCTCTAGCTTGAACTTCAACCTTGCACTTACTCACCAGAGTAAATATTGAAGACTACACTTTAGTGGAATCAATAGCTCACATTTACGCTCTAGTTGACTGGTTTGGTTTTAAGTCACACCAACAATGTAAAGGTCATATAAATTTATGTATACAGTAGAGACCTGCCTTACAAAGGATTATTGCTAACAAGCAAATTTATTGCTCAAACATCTTTATTGATTTATAACGATACCTAAAAATTGAACTTAAGTTTAGAAGTTTGTTTTTCTCCACTGTTTTGTTGTTTGTAAATTCTGCTTACTTTCAATTGAATATTTTTGTAATAGTTTTTTTTAAAAATGCTTTACTGATGATATTTCATTAGCATTACAATATCAAACTATATCAATAAATAGTCAACACCAAATTTCTTCCCTTCATTCAAAAGTCAACCTTTGTGTAGTTATAATTAACAAGAGCCATGTCAACATGGCCATCCCCCGCCAAATGTGTTTGCTCATTGGGAGAATGTATATGTAGAAGAGCGAATAATTCCATTTTAAGAGGTCTTTTGGTAATGAAAACTGATGGCTATAGTGATTACAGATTTAAAACCTATGTGAATACTGATGGCTGAAAATAACAAAGGGCAATTACTGAAAAATAATGCAGGGTAGGTTATCATTCTTGTGTGCTGCATCCCTCCTCAGTATAATCTATCCACCTTTGAAGTTTCAAGTTGAACATCAAATACTTTTTGAGAAAAAAATTGAATTGAAAAATTAAGTATGAAAAAGAACAAAGGGCAATAACTCAAAAATTATAAAAGGTAGAGTTATCATTCTTGTGCAGTGCACACCTCCTGAGTGAGATCTATGCACCTATGAAGTTTAATTTTGATATCTCAAAGGCTTTTTGAGTTATGCTCTGGACAAAAATTAATTTTGAAAAATAACAAAGGGCAATAACTCAAAAATAATGCAGGGTAGAGTTATCATTCTTAAGCAGTGCACTCCTCCTCAATGAGATCCATCCACCTTTGAAGTTTCAAGTTGATACCTCAAATACTTTTTGAGATAAGCTCTGGACAAAAATTAGCATGAAAAAAAAACAAAGGGCAATAACTCAAAAATTGTATAGGGAAGAGTTATCATTCTTGCGCACAACATTCCTCCTCAATAAGATCTATCCACCTATGACATTTCATGTTGATATCTCAAACACTTTTTGAGTTATGCTCCACTCAGGTGAAAAATTAGGTATGAAAAATAACAAAGGGCAATAACTCAAAAATACTGAAAGGTAGAGTTATCATTCTTGTGCACTGCACACCTCCTGAGTGAGATCTATGCACCTATGAAGTTTCATGTTAATATCTCATAGGCTTTTGGAGTTATGCTCTGAACAAAAACCAATTTTGAAAAATAACAAAGGGCAATAACTCAAAAATCATGCAAGGTAGAGTTATCATTCTTGTGCACTGCACTCCTCCTCAATGAGGTCTATCCACCTATGAAGTTTCAAGTTGATAACTTAAATACTTTTAGAGATATGCTCCGGACAAAAATGTCGGACGGACGGACGGAAGGAGACTATTTCTATATCCTCCGCCGAAAATTTTCGGCGGGGGATAATAAACAAACTAGAAATGTGTCCATAGGACAGGGATGCCCCTACACGCCACTGTTCTGTCAATCTTATGACTCTAGGTCAAATATTTTTTGGGCTACATGTGCCATAAGTTGAAACTAAACATCAACAAAGAGCCATAATTCTGTTAAATTTGGTCGCAGAAAAAAATCCTTCCTTTACTACCATCTACACATTAAGGTTGTTCATCCCTGGAAGTTTAAGCAAAATCTGCCATCCGGTTTAAGAGGAGTTGCGTTCACAAAATTTCTACATAGTATATAGTGAAAAAATCAACAAAGGGCCAAAATTCTGTTAAATTTGGTCGCAGCAAAAATTCCTTCCTTTACAACCATCTACACATTAAGGTTGTTCATCCCTGGAAGTTGAAGCAAAATCTGCCATCCGGTTTAAGAGGAGTTGCATTCACAAAATTTCTACATAGCATATAGTGAAAAAATCAACAAAGGGCCATAGTTCTGTTAAATTTGGTCGCAGCAAACATTCCTTCCTTTACTACCATCTACACATTAAGGTTGTTCATCCCTGAAAGTTTAAGCAAAATCTGCCATCCGGTTTAAGAGGGTTTGCGTTCACAAGATTTCGGGACGTATGGACAGACGGACGGACGGACACTGGGACGGACAAGTGCAAGGCTATATGCTCCCACTCTGTGGGGGCATAAAAAAGTTTATCTTATCATTAAGTAAAAGTAAATTGTTCCATTATGTATTTGTGTCTAATTGCTCCAAACCTTTTAATTCAGAATTCATTACAAATCACTTTGTGCCTACATAATGCACAAAAAATGTCCAATAAAGCCAACACTATTGTATGAGACAATTGGAAATTTTGACAACCCCACAATTAAGACCATTTTTTTTCTCCAGAACCACATGCAGTCTCATAAGTGGGGTTTTACTGTATAAAATGTTCCAGCTTTACCAGGAGAAAACACCAGGTGTCGCTCTATGCATGTCTCCCTGTTTGAGGGGCACATTATGACTATAACCACCTAACCAAGGATGTCCCCTCTTTTTTAACGGAGGGCACCAATTTTTCAAACTTATAAATCAATCAATTACACAATACTACAAAGTACATTGTACATGTATATATCCAAAATTTGAACCTTTTAATTAAAAGTAGGAATTTTTAAGTCATATCTTAAATTCTCAATGATAAAAGTGATGTGGAATCTTTTTACCCTAGAAGATAATTTACATGTATTAAAGATTTGCAGACAACCATAAGAAAACACAGGTTCCAATAATGCTTAAATCATCCCTAATTTCTAAACTCTGATGTTTCCACAGGAGGATTTACATATTTTGCTCATAAATAATTCTATGGAAAAAAACAGTGAAGTCTAAACACCAGATGAATTTTGACCCTAAGGTTACGTAGGGGACCACAAGAAAATCTATTTTGCGCCACTTAGGTGGCAATACCGATCTTTTCTTAATTATTATGTTACACCTTTTGTAAGTCAAGACAGCTCCAAAATTTGTCATTAAATTGAGACTGATTTATGAGTCAAAGTCCTGATCTGTCAGTTTTTACACCAGTCCCTTCAACTTCAACTTACGTAAGCTCTACTGTATATATACATTTAATACTAGAAATGTGTCATCACGCAACGGATGCCCCCACATGCAGCCAAAATTTCATATGTTATAATATTTCGTTCCAAATTTGTTTGCACAGATATTTTTATTTTTTTTCATTTCAAGTTCAAAGCCCTTAAAACTATTCAATGTTAACACAAACCATTTTTATACAAAGTTCAAGGCACTGAAACATAATTCAGTTTTAACCTTCTGTAAATTGCATATTCCATATTTGTAGCGAAAATAATGGCTACATACATTTCCACAAAAGTATGAGTGCTGACACTGAAAATACAAAATTTTTCCAACATTCAAGAGATATAACTTTGTCCAAAATCATTGAACCACAACCAAATTCAAACTTGAACTGCTTATTCCTAAGATGTATCTCTATGTCAAATTTCAGTTAAATCTGTACAACAATGAACAGAAACTTTCAAGAAGGGATAACTCTGTCCGCTATCATCAAACCGTGACCAAATTCGAAATTGACCAATGCATTCTTATGACATATCCATATCTTTAATTTGAGTTGAATATGTACAACTGTTGGGGAGATAATAAATGGGAACTGAAAATTTCTTTTTTTTTTGAAGTTAAAGGGGCATCACTCTGCCAAAAATCATTGAACCATGACAAAATCGCACTTGACCTGCCCATTTCTTTGACGTATCCATATGTCAAATTTGAGTTGAATGTGTAATACTGTTGGGGAGATAATGAACAGAAACTGAAAATTTCATATTATTTTCAAAGTGAAAGGGGCCAAAAATTATTGAACCATGACCAAATTTGAACTTGACCTGCGCATTCCTTTGATGTATCCATATGTCAAGTTTGAATTGAATGTGTAATACCGTTGCGGAGATAATGAACGGAAACTGAAAATTTCATATTATTTTCAAAGTAAAAGGGGCATAACTCTGACAATAATCATTGAACCATGACAAAGTTCGAACTTGACCTGTATTTTCTCATGACATATCCATATGTCAAGTTTGAGTTGAATATGTACAACCGTTACTTAGATAATGAAAGGAAACTGATGATGACGGAATGACAGAATGACGGAAGGACGGAATGACGGAACAGGGTAACACTTATATGCCCCAGCCATTATATGCCGGGGGCATAAAAATCCATGACCGCCCTGATGTGGGGCTAATTTATGTTCACCTTACTGGCTTTCCTGTATGACCAACCTCAGTTATTACTGACTTCTCCCCAAATGACCGACGATCTCTGAATCAGTGGTAAAAGACAAATGACCATTAGACTCAATGTTCAAGATTAATTGTCAAGTAAAGATTTCATCTACCCTGAGGATCAAACCAACAACCCTTGGATTACAAATCTGATATTATGCTAAGCAGGCAAAAATGGAATAAAATTATACTTACATTGCTAGTGTTGATGTAGCACCATTGAATATATTGTTACAGAGAGAGTCGTAATTGACAATGACAATATCTCTTTTCATCTGCTGATGTAGATTTCTTATAACATCCGCCCTTTTCGTTATCAAATCACTGTGTGAAACAGTAGGTGGCCATGGTGAAAAAACACTTCGTTTCTTACGATTTTCATTCACATTGATTTGCATATCATACTGAGGGCTGTCCGAGACCCTTTGGTAACATGATCTAAGAGGTAAATTGTTTATCTTCATTCGATTCCTTTCATCCTGGTTACCGGAATCACCAGCTAAATCTTCATCCAGTTCCATATATCCTTCAGCTAAATATTGAAAAAGAGAAAAAAGTACAGCACTTGAGCATCTAAACACACCAAAGTTATACATCCATTCTGTTTTTATTGTTCAATTTTATATTAAAGATTATTATAAACTAAGCAATATAATTTCATCTTCACAAAACAAATGACAAACACAAATTCACAACCTCGTAGTCTTGTAGTTACATATAATATTCACTTTTTAAGTTTGACTCTGGACAACTATTATTTAAGAGTTTTATGCATCATTTTGGGGAATCATTCAAATATTAAGCCACAATTATGCCACATTTTCCTTCATTAAGGATATAATAAATTATCATGTGACCAAAAATGCCGTCCATTCAATGTTTTTGTTATTTTTTTATGAATATTCTTTTTCACGTAAATTTTTCACTTGTTTGTACACTAAGCATGATTTCTTTACTGATCAGGGAAAACTACCACTGTTTTTTGAGTTGAGTTTGAGATAAGCATGTTAAAGTATTATAAAGGGAGATTATTAATAAAGCATTAGGGGGCAGGGGACATATTCGTATGATGGCCCCGGTCAAATTTTTTAATAACTCAGACATGGTGTTTTGAAGGTACTGATAACTTCTGATATTTCTCTGTCATTGTAATTCTTTCTTGTTTGTGTGTAGGAAATGAGATATATTTTTGGGTTTTTACCCGAAACTAAGCATTTTTGTAGCTTTGTATGTATTTCTGACTCTCCGAATGGAGGTGAAAAAGTTAAAAATCAAGGTTTGACAGTTGGCGCCAAACAAGTAAGAAATTTCAGATAAATTTTGTGAAAAATCTAAACGTATGACAGACACTTTATTTGTCATTTCTGAAAATGCTATAGCTTGCACTGCATGTTACTGATATTTTTAAAGGAATCGGGCGGATTCTGGAGTATGCTGCACCTTCATGAAGATTGCCCATATTGGTATTTTTTAGGTGTGATTTTGGCTGGGTGGGGGTAAATATAAATTGCTGTCAGTCATTTTTTGAAGGAGCAATGCATGCAAACTATTATTTTCTTCAATGTTTGTCATATATCATTGAATAATGCTGTGCAACTGGTTATCTGCCTGTGAAACAGATTTTGAAATATTTGGAATTGTGTTTCTGGTCACACTGAAATACAAAATTTTTCATTTTTAGGTCCCCTGCCCCCTTAAGGAAATTTTCAAATTTATAAAATGTGTTGGAATTGACCCAAATGGGCCCATAAACATTCCTTCTACATTTGTTAGTCAAAATTTGAAGTGACTGGTAGGATTTATCAAGTTATGTAAAGTTAGTATACTGTAAAGTCAAGGGAGGTAATAAAAATTTGGAATTTTGGCAAACACTGTACTTCACAGAATGTGCACATTTATCCAGATTTAACAGTTTTATATTGTGCAAATTGACATAATAATGCATAATTGAGCACTTTTAATTGTTACAAATGTATATAACGTCATATAAGTCAACAGTGGTATCTTTACTGCACTTTCAGGTGTATGCCAGAATAAATGGGGTCTGGTGTCCTGTAAAATGCATTTTTGGACATTAAATGTGGCTGTAATATTGTTTTTCTTGCTATAATCTCTTTCCAAAAGACTTTAAATACTCTGAAAATACTTTATGGTATTTAAATGAAGGTGGAATACAGAAAAATAACCATCTCACAGGTTCCTGGCACTTGATATTAAGTAAATCATATAACAGGCATGGTCATTGTACTAGTTACTTCCCCTGAAATATGGTCTTTTTTAAATATTTGATTAAATACAAAGTAACCGCAGTATTCACTTTTCGAAGTTAACGTTTAATGCGAAATACTCCATATTTTAAGAAAATAAAAGGAAACGCTTTAATGCGGATCACATAAAAAATCTTAAGGGGGCAGGGGACATATTCGTATGATGGCCCCGGTCAAATTTTTTATAACTCAGACATGGTGTTTTGAAGGTACTGATAACTTCTGATATTTCTCTGTCATTGTAATTCTTTCTTGTTTGTGTGTAGGAAATGAGATATATTTTTGGGTTTTTACCCGAAACTAAGCATTTTTGTAGCTTTGTATGTATTTCTGACTCTCCGAATGGAGGTGAAAAAGTTAAAAATCAAGGTTTGACAGTTGGCGCCAAACAAGTAAGAAATTTCAGATAAATTTTGTGAAAAATCTAAACGTATGACAGACACTTTATTTGTCATTTCTGAAAATGCTATAGCTTGCACTGCATGTTACTGATATTTTTAAAGGAATCGGGCGGATTCTGGAGTATGCTGCACCTTCATGAAGATTGCCCATATTGGTATTTTTTAGGTGTGATTTTGGCTGGGTGGGGGTAAATATAAATTGCTGTCAGTCATTTTTTGAAGGAGCAATGCATGCAAACTATTATTTTCTTCAATGTTTGTCATATATCATTGAATAATGCTGTGCAACTGGTTATCTGCCTGTGAAACAGATTTTGAAATATTTGGAATTGTGTTTCTGGTCACACTGAAATACAAAATTTTTCATTTTTAGGTCCCCTGCCCCCCAAGCAATGTAGGGTAATGGTTCTTTGATATTGCGTTTTCTCTTACTGGTCTCTATTTCAATGTGACATAATTGACAGTTTAAGAGTTATAATTTGGTCAAGCATTAGTATCTAAAGGGATTTAAGATTATATAAATACTGAGCAATGTATAATTATATTTCTTATTATATTTCTTGGACATTGCATTTCCTGGTCTCACTGGTCTCCAACACTGTGTGTTGTAATATTTAAATTCATTCAATACTTTTCAAGATTTTTTCCAGACAAAAGTTTTCAAGGACGAATAGACAGAATGCGGAGACTATTATTTGCTCTGCCTTTGGGAGGCATAAAATACACACTCCAACAATCTGCACAATCTTCTTGTACTTTACCAAAGTAACTTGCACATTGTTTAGTTATTCAAGAAATGCACTGTAACCAAAGCATAATTCTGATCCAAGGAGACATAAAATAACTTTCAAAATATCAACAGTGTACAGTTTACAACATTGTAAATGCTGAAGCAAAGGGAGTTCATGTAATAAAAACAAGTAGGCACTGACATGCCATTATCATCTCGCCTTAATACTAATTTGCAACACTATCTGTATATATGTTACAAAAAGTAACAAGAAATTTATTAAAAAACAAAATTATAAAATTAAAATTGTCATTTCATTAACTGTGACACTTTCTTTTAATCTTTAGTGTCTAAATTTAATTGTCATCAAATGAAAACGCTGTATTTCTTAAAAATTTCTGTGAGTTAATTTTCATAGAAGTACAAAGTCCATACTATATCGTTCATAGTCGACTTCTATTATTCATAGTACTTCATAGAACTGCATAGTGACGTAATAAAGTGAGTGATTGTTTGGCCAAATAAAGCTTGACATAAAGTATCCGTAGCTGTTATACAGAACAGAAATTAGAAACGTTCTCCTGTCACTGTCGTTCCCAATGAAGTTTCTTATTTCTGTAGAACAGCACGGATGAACACTAACATATACTTAGAAAGAAATTGCTCTTTCTCTCGACTTGGAAAAAGATAAGTAAACTTACAATAAAAAGCATCATCATCAAAATCGTAGTAGTAGAATTTTGCACCTATGTCTGTTATATATTGTTTGACCCAATCCATTGGTTTTGTGAACAGTTCAGATACAGTAGCGGCATCAAGGTATCTAAAATAAGAATGATAGGTTAAAAATATTGAAGAAAAAAAACCACAAACAAAAACAAAACAAAACAAAAACCAACAACATGAAATAAACAAACAACAGTTGCTTTGTACATCTGAATGACTTGCACAAGTGAAAGGAAATATCAATAAATGTAACTATACACAATTATACCATACGCTCTCAATTTTCAGATATAATTCAGTGTAATTGTAAACTTTTAACTGTCGACATAAACAAAGGAAGTACCGTAAGTGCAGATATTTTGGTTTCATTTTGATTTTATTTTAAGGTTGCAAATAAATCGTTTGATATATTTTATTAGACAATATGCATACTTTTATTCTTAAGTTTACATCTTAAATATGTATGTTACCTGGAAGCAAATCCTAATGAGTCGTAACACCCAACAAAGGAATCAAGCTTTTTCCATTTCTTTATTTCTTGGCTGACCTGGAACTTTCCGAGTGAGAGATCTCCACCATTCACAAATGGATTTGCTGCTTTAAAATCATTAATTGTAAAAACTTCGGGGCTTGTTTTATTGTAAATATTGAAAACATACAAATCAATCCTCCTTAATTGTTTGGAATAAGATAATACAATCTGGTACCAAATGTTATCTGACAGTCTAATTTCTGACATCCATTGGTTTCTACCATAATAAATACTTAGAGTACCGTTGTAGTCTAGACTGAAAGGCTTCTTGTTGTCGTATGAAAAAATAACACCATAACAGCCAGAACAAGTTTTCAAATAAAACGAGATAGTTGTTTCTTCCGTTAAGTTGTCAAATAATTTGAATGAGGTAACACTGGCACTTGCTGAATTACAACAAATTGCTGATCCAGTGACCTTATCTGAGATGTCTGTACTGTCAATGTAATAATCTATACTGAAGTCTGTATCCGCTGTACACTGAAATTTCAGAAAAAAAAAGTTGTGCAATAATTTTCTTTTATTCTATTGTCATAAATATCAAATCAAACATGAAATGCATGTGTATAATCAAATTGGTATTATGATGTCGTATCAAACATATCAATATTTTAAGACAAAAATGTGAACATAATTACAATTGGAATGCAAGAAAATTAAAAGTTAGAATACAATACCTATGTTTCTTATTAGTGATCTGCATTGACCTTATCAAAGCCTTTAGAATACAATACATTTTAAGACATAAGATAAGTTGAATTGTTGCAGAAATAATAATTTATAAATACCTCTTGTTTATTTACTTAAATTATTTTCTTAAAAGTTACTTACATAAGTTCCCGTTTCCGATCGAACTGGTTCAGATGATGTGTACACCTTGTAGTCTTTTTTTATCAAGTAATTCACTGATGTTGGAACGTAATTACAGAGACCCGTTGTATTCCACTTGCTTGACAATAGTTTTATGTCTAATTGAAAGAAGACACTCCCTCTTTTAACGTCCATTGTAAACCCTATTTCAGAAATGTTCACTGTAACTACTTTTGGATTTTTATTGATTATCCACATGCCACCAATGGTTTTGTCAATTTTCGTTTTCTTTTTCCATCGAATTCCATTTACAAAGGCTTTAAATTTACGTTTGCCACTTTTTGTAGATCCTTTCTGAATGGTTTCAAAGTTTATAAATTCACTTTTGTATGTTAAAAATACTTTGTCGACCACCAACTTTCGTTTTGCTTTCTTTTTTATTATATTTTGTCGGATCTGCAATAGAACATTTATTAAATTAATGAAATGCTTTATATAACATTGTTGCACATTCAAATATTACCGCAGAAAAATAAGCATTTAATTAAAACATATTTGTTGAATTTTGTCACCAACACACGGTGTGTCATATAACGCCTTTCCAGCTTTACTGGTGGAGGATGATCTCAGGTGCCCTTTCGTGTATTATTTCAGGCATGAACGGACACCTGAGAAAAAACACAGACGGTCGGAAACCAGCTGGATAGCTTCTCACATGACAAAAGCCAAAGTCCCTGTCGGGATTTCAATCCAAAGGGGTGAGGGGCAAATAAAATCAATGACCTAGAGCATTCGCCCATGGACACACAATCTGTAAAGGTTCCACTTTATTTTTATCATTAATGTTTTTGATATTCAAAGTTTTTATTTGTTTTTTTTTAACATAAAAGATCTCTGCAAAGGTTGAAGTGAAGTAATAATAACACCAGCCTTATGTTACGAATCACCTGATTGCTTCTTGTATTTAAAGAAAATATTTTAATAGAATATTGATATTTAAATTATAAGTATTATTACCATCATGGGTAAATACAGAATGTTCCCAAGATGACATTTATAGGACTCATGGGTTTGTTTTGTCAGAATTACGCTATTCTAAATGCATTTTTGGTCGTAAATTAGCAATCGGACAACCTTACTTGCTTTCATGGACAACTATCCAAAAATGAGCAAAATGAACTAATCCCACATGATTTCTGATTGGTGTCAGATAAATGACATTAGACTCGTAAGTTCGAGATCAATTATCACAGAGAAACTGCCTGGCCCGATGAAATAACAATCTTAAAATTGTCTTGTTGCTCCGTTATCAAAGGGGATATGTCTTACCTTTTGTTCATTTTGTTGCAATATTTACACAGACTTTATCTTCAACATTTAATAAACAGAAAGTGTTCTATAGAAGGTACATACATAATAACTTTGTTAAATTTGTCAATAAAAAATGTTTCTCTTTTCCCAACATTAAACCAAATATTATGCATCTTTTACTATTAAACACTTTTATAGCACATGTTTTTTTCTAGATTGCAAAAAATTATTATTAGAACTCACCAAAATACGTAGATTCTTCACCTCAAGCAACAGAGCTTTGTCGAATGTTTTGCTCAACTTCTTCCCCTTGGAGTTGAACATTGTAACCTTCCCTTTTTTACCTTTAACCTTGCACGTCATTCCTTTACCATCATCTATAATAGATGGTATTGTACTGTTTACATCAATAGAGTCATCAATGTGATCTTCGTCATCTCCAATATCAATGTCACCAATATTTGGGTCTGCGTTGAATAGGTCACAGTTACTTCCACTCCAATCCTTATTACAAATACTACAAACGTCATTTCCGCTCCATTCAACATCGCAATTACATTTTCCTGTCACAATATCACAATTACCATGACCAGCACATGGCGAATGATGACCACCTGGACATTCTAACTGACACTCTTCACCATAATACCCACTGTCACATACACATACTCCTGCTTTGAAATTTCCATACGAACATTTCTGCTTACAATCTTCTCCTCCAAAAACTGGAAATTTTCTATTGCCAAAGGATTTGCACAAATCGTCGGTTGGTTGCTCCGTGTATTGGTCTTGACGAACACATTCATCTAAGGTAGCTACTACGGTATCAATGGCATTATTATTGTCGCCCGTTTGAAGAATGTCGTTTATACAAGATACAGAAAAGAAATTCAAAAGGTTTGACATACTGGGACATTTCTTTTCAAGATTTTCCTTTAAAGATGAACAAAAACTGGTTGCGTTAGCATTTGACAAAGATTCCGGTATAAGATCAACACCATTTTGAATAGGTACACTGTAATGCGTTATAGGTGGATCACTATTTACCCATTCTACATTGCCAGTCAGGCCAATATATCCAAATTTTCCATGAACAAAATCTTTTATAACAAAGCCAGCACCGTCATTGAAATTTACTCCTATTATAAGATAAATCATCAATCTTAAAGATGTGTCAGAATCGTGTAATGGCAGATTAACGGGTGAAATTTTATGAATATTTAAAATAAAGAGATCAACAAAGTCGTTAATTGATTTTAGATTATTATAAATAAGAATCCTATCACAAATGAATACAGGCAATAATTTAGCATCACCAGGACCAGGTGTCTTGATAATTGTGGTTATATTTTGCCATTTCCCTAGCAAAGTTGTACTCCCTTCTACAATTGGAGGCCCATATTCTTTAATGGCATCTGAAATGTTGATTCGCTTGTATTGTCCGTAACTTGTCTCATGTATTTCATGGAAAAGAAGCAAACCAGATGTTTCATTTAGTGATAAACCTATACTTGTCCATTGTCCAGTTACAACGTGTATGTTTGTATTGTAATTCCATAAACCATATTGTATTGAATATTTATCATTTACAATCACGATACCAAACGTTGCCATTTTATTTGCAATACTCATGATTGTGCAAGTGAAAGCAATTTCAAATTTTAGTCGTATTTCGATTGCTAATTCATAAGTGTGTACACCAAAGGTATCTGTATCAATAACTGGCAAAGACACGTATCCACCGCCTGAAATTCGTACTGCTGTTCCTGATGTTACTTTTGATTGCCGAATATTTGCAAATATTGTTTCCGTAAAAGGTTTACTTACAGATTTGAAATACTTATATAAAGCTGCCTTGTCAATATTGTTGGTTTTTGCTGCTTCAACAATACCAATGTGGTCAATTATACAAACAAAATCTGAATTTGAGCATTTGGTAGAATCACCCTGTGAACATTTACCGAAAATACCCTTTGATGAACTGCAACCCGTTTTACTGATAGACATTCCTATTTGCAGACCGTCACCTTTAATGATAGTGCATTTAAATTCAAAGTTGTTTGGCCCTGTTACAACAATCTCTGTCTCACTGATTTTCTCAATTTTATATCCAAACTGTAAATCCATCTGACCAAGGTAAATTATCTGACCGTTCACCTTGATGGTTCCTGAATTCTGCGGATAGATAGTTATAATTTTCCCTTCAATATTAATTGCTATGGCCATTAATGCGCTTAGGTACAAGTCTGTTGGTCCTTTGAGTGCTTCAATTTGAATTGTAGGATCTTGGAAAATAGTAAATGGTCTGTCGTCATTGTTTATTTGTATGAAAGCTCCATCAAACGTTTTGAGATAACTGTTACTTGTTATTGAAGCTGTAAATTTATTTGTCGAGAAAATTTTGCTTTGAATCATAACATTGCAATCTTTACCATACCAGTTCTTTGCGCACTGAGAGCAATCATTCCCTTGCCTATTGAAGCTACATGTGCACTGGCCGGTTTGGGAATCGCAAATACCGTGATTACTGCAAGGCATCTCTGCACTTCCATGGCATTCAAAATTACAACTTGTTCCCCAATAACCTTTAGCACAAGTGCAAGTAAGACCGTCTCCAGTTGGTTCAGGATAGACACATTTAATATTACAGTCCTTGCCAACGTAGCCGGCACTGACAAAATCTTCATGGCACAGGTATCGCGTTGTATCATTATCTTGCGACTCGTTTTCCTCGTTTTCGTTTGTTTCGTAAAGTTGTTCATTACAGAGAGCTAAGTAAGACTGGAATGAAAACACAGCATTACCATCATCAGCAACCTCATCCATACAAATCCCTATAAAAAGTTCTTTTGTAGTTACACCTAGACTTGAACATGAATGTTTTATGCTTGGAGTGTCAAAGATCTGAGTACACTTGTTCCTTGTTTGTTCATACATAGCCTTGTCAGAAAATTCAGATTTCACTTCCGTTGATATTAAAACTGATGGTTTAGTCGATATTGTGAACTTAGATGCACCTTTGTTGTATGGGTCATGAATTTTTAGGTAATTTATCGTACCTAAGGAATCAGTAATTTTCTGACCCACAACTTTATCAAAATTGAAGTAGATCAAAGGTTCTTTTTCATTTCCTTTATACACATAGAAATCATCTATTTCACCAGTAAATGATCCACCACAGACCACTCCTAAAGATGTATTAAAAGCTCCGATAGGTTTTCCAATAACTAGTCTTCCATTCGGTGTAAAACATCGTGCAGGTATAGGAAATATACTTGTTTTTGTAATTGGCTCTTTTCCGGTTTCTTCGTTGCATGTTACAAGTAATGTTATGATCTGCCCAATATCATCATATGACATTTTAATATCACACCAGTTGCCTGTCTGGATATTTATAAATGTATCAATAATAGCTGAATCCGCATGCACTTTAATTCTACCATTTTCTATGTATAGCGTGAATGTTGACTCGCCAACATACTGAAATATGCCACCTGAACTGCCTTCATTCAGCCTTAAACTGAATTGTATAGAATTTCTTTCAGTTGGCGAGAAGACATTAGTCAAAATATTTGATGATATGATCGTGAATTTATCCCCTGTAGCGGAAACATTTGATATGAAAGGCTCATTAAAATCATCTCTTTCGTCTGACCGATTTAACGTTAAACTAAATAGTGCTTCAGTATTTGGTTCATCTAAACTATCTGATAAACTCTGGTTTGATTTGGGAATAGTGATATGACTAAAACTTGATGAATCATTTGGCTTGTATGTATCCAAAAATACAGAATCCGGTTTACACAGTGTGCTTCTTGTGCAGTTATTGCAGTCAAGTTTCATTAGAAGAGACAAATATCCTTTTCTTGTAAAATGCACCCGTAGTTTAAAATAATTGTTCAATGTACTTTTCTTGCTTTTGAGAATGAAAGTGTTTTCTGACTTTGATGTAAAAAGGAAATTTTGCATCGTAGATGTGCCAAAGTTTTCATTTACTTTTATTCTTTCAGATTTCTTTTTACTCATGCCACCAATAAGAATAATTTCAGACAAGTATGAGATTTGAATGGACTTTAAACAAATTTTCTTTCTGCACTGAATTGTTCTTACTCTTATTTCAGGGTAACCGTTTGTTAGAGGGTCTATCAAGATCCATTCATCAGAATTCTGTACTGAAATGACATTATTGTTGAATGTTTTTACTTTCAAAGAGCCAAATATTTGACAAATCTTTCTGACAGGGTTGGTGACATTCTTATTGATAGGTAGGTCTGGCAGTACCAGTTTAGCCTTTTCACAATATTCACCTGTAAAATTCTCTAAGCAACGTTCACAATTGTTAGTTTCATTAAAGTTTGTAAAACAAATACAATTTCCTGAGTCTTTGTCACATGATCCATGGCTATTACATGGTAATTTATCGGCACCTATACGATCTGGACATTCATTTGCACAATTCCAAGACCAAAATCCAATATCACATGTGCATCCATGATACGTGGGCGTGCCATGCTGGCAAAACTCTCCACAAAATGTGTCATAGTGACTGGATCTATGATCTCTGCATAAATCTGTAACTGGATTTATAACCGGACGTAAAATGGCGATACAGATGGTAACATAGGCCTGAAGTGTTGGAACGTAACTGTTGTCATTTTTACAAGCATCTATGTAAAATGTTGAAAAATCTTCACCAAATCCATTACATGCATTACTCAGTGATGCTATTGAAAACATTTTTTCACATTCAATAATTCGCTTGACCTCTTGAGAGCTTAAAACGGTTTGGCTGATTGTTGCCTTACCAGGTTTGTCGGAGAGAATCCAAGCCACTTTATTTTCAATTTCTGCAATCGTCATTCCGATATGAAACACCAAATCATATGAAGTAAAACCAAAACCTTCTGTGAACTGGTAATTTAAAATAAGTCCTGTGATTTTACTTATGTCTGCATCATTGGCCAACTGGTATGTCATTTGAATGTCTAAATATATATTCCACATTCTTAATTCTCCGATTAGTCCATAAAAAGGAGATAATGGTAAAGGTGGATCAATGATCCACTCCCCTGCAAAAAGGTTCCCAGATGGAGGGAAAAATAAGTCAGTTGCATCAAATCGAGTAAAATATTCGAGAGATCCACCAGAGTACACAAAAACGTTAAAGAAATTATCTGTGACCTGGAATGATGTTATGATATGATACCATTTCCCAATGGTTAATTGCATGTCTGTTGTAAAAATTTGTTGATGTATATATACTTCAAGCATGGAATTATTCACGTACAAAGCAAACTGTTTTGTCGAATCTGACACATAGTATCCTACAATGAAACCTGTTTCAGCTAGACATTTGATTTTTATTTCTAAAGACACATTCAAATGGCTTTCGTCATAAAACAAATGTGAGGGTACTTTGCCAGTCATAGCACCACTTCTATTGAAAAACAAACTATACCCTTTAGCCATATTTTCTGGTTCTGTAAGTGAAGTGTCTGGATATCCATATATAAAATGGTTACGGACAGATATAGTTCTTGTAAAATATAAAGAAAACTGGTTATCTATGATGTCATCACTGACGTCTTTATAAGCAACAGCTCGACCTGCACTATCCAGAAAGTCATCATCGGTATTACGATTGCAATTTCCCAGTAGCCCTGTTTGATCATTGTAAGAGCATTTTGTTTTAACGTTCACTGAAAGGTAAGGAGACAGTCTAACGTATGACACCTGAACAGTAACCTGTCCAAGAACGAACTGTAAAGTCACTTTATCAATCCATGAAATTGAAGCATCAGCATTTATTCGGTAGGTACCAAGGCTATCTAATGAAATTCTTCTGTTGTTGTGATGCAAAATAATTGGTTTGTTGTCGGTCAATGGCATTTTAATTGTGAAGTCATCTGAGGCTAAATGAAACCAAACTTGCTGTATACATGTCCTACTTCCGGCACAAGGTTTCATCCTCACAAAAACCTTGAGAACAGCTGACGTTTTCTGAAATAAAAGATATTCTCCAGGTGTCCTTATATTAAACGCTTGGCCATCAAACATGTTACAATACCCCTGCCCGAAGCATACTGCTGAGAACTTAGGTAAATCGTCTGGAATATTTGCCCCAACTGACGAGCAATCTTTACCAATCCATCCACGAGTACATAACTCACAACCACTCTTTGGGTCATACCTTGTTGATGAACATGTACATTGGCCAGTGTTTGTGTCACAAATACCCCCACCGCAAACTTTTCCACGAGCAGATGGGCATTGATGTTGACAGCTTTCTCCGAAGTAACCAGGGTTGCAGCTGCATATTTCTGATGTTAGAAGGCCAGCTCCAGTAACGCAATATCTATTACAATTAATGCCATACCAGTTAGACAAACCTGGGTAGACATTGCAAATAGATTTCAAAGGGTAATCTGCTGATGTCCGATCAAAGTTTATTTGTTCACTTATTGCAGTAGCAAGAGAATATATTCCTTCGAATTCTTGAACAAGATACTTGCTTATGAGACATTCTGTAAGGAACAAATAAGTTACAGATTTTGCAAGAAGTTCAGTCCCAGGGATATTGGCTATTGTAGCTTTACAATTTTCAATATCAGAATCTGATGACTGTGACAGAATAATGTCTTTTTTACTGTGAAAAAATGAATATTTCATTTTGTATGCGCCGATTTTCCAGTGAATATCTGCCCAATTGCCAATCTGCCATTTGAATATTTTCTGATGACGTGTAGAATCATACGTTTTGAAACCTCGACCTTCATTAAATCTCCAAATGTAAGATAGGTCATCTTCCCTTTCAACCATAATGACAGTAAATGCTCGAGCTAAAATTTCCTTCAAAGTAAATGAAGACTTCCAGATAAGTAAGTTGTCTATAAATCCATCAAAACTATGGGAGAGGTAATGAGTTGTACCAAGCATGAATGTACCGCCTGGGGCAAATGTGTTTAGCCCAATGCTTCCATGTATAAATGCATTACTGTAAGATAAACCATCCTCTATTAGGTAGAAATTTAACATTTTTTCTGAACTAGTCCAAACCATGGACAACTGATACCATGTTGAAAGCTGTACGGGTAACGTATTTATAACAGTTATTTGCTCACTTTGTGAAAAATATAGAAATGAAATATACATCTCACAAACCAATACAGAAAATACATGCCCAGACGGATTCTTGTACGACCATAAAGTGGAACATGTCCCGTGATCCGAATCTATACGAAAACTAATGTCAACGGTAAGTTCAGCATCAGTAAAGAAATGTAAGGGTTCACTTTCCATTGGGCTAGATTTAATTTCAAGACAAGTTTGAGCTGAACTCTCAACAATCCCATGTATTATGTGTGTAAATATTTCATCATCACTCTGCCAAGATGGCAGAAACAAATTTTCAATGTTGGAAACTGTAAGATCATACAATAAGCTGCCTTCTTGAAGAATGTTGCTATCAGATAGTTTAAAATCATTTGTTTGATCCATATCACATGATCCAAGTAAACCAGTGGAAGAAATACAGACAGTAGCTTTGCTTTTCACAAATATGTCAATCGAGTATTTACGGATGTCAATATTTACATAAAAGTTTGTTGATATTGTTAAGACAAATTGAGTGGGTGACATTTGAATTACTGTAACATCAGTGGCAATTTCAAGTCCACTTCCAATTGCAAATATTTCACCATTTAGCCATGTTTTACTACCCAAGCCTTCTTTATCTATTTGTATAACTAAAATTTTACTTGATAAAGTGATGGCAACAGCTTTTGTGACTGCAGTAACCAATCTGTTAGAACTTGCCACCTGAAAAGAATAAAACTTGAATTTACACATATTTTTCTAAAATAATTAATTGTGGTCTTACCTATCAAAAAGGAAAATATTTGGCACTAAAAGTTTCCCAATTGTTAATTGTCATCATTTAATACATCATGACAAAGCAAATGCTGATTGATAAATTTGAATGTTTTTCTTTTTAATTTGACGTTATTTATTCCAAAAGCAAAAGTCATCATGTCAATTTTCACAACAATACTATTTCTGTTGAAAACTCAAAATCAGTTAAATTGATTTAACGTTTGTTTACCCTTAGTGCAAATATTTTTAGTTCTTGAGATATTCCAATTTTTACACTTGTCACAAGGTATTGACCAAATGCATTGCAATCATATTTAGTTCCGTCAAATGTCTGGCAGCTACCAAAGCCATATATCATTCCTGTGTACCATTCTTTTGATGAATCTGAAAACAAATATTCATGATAAACAATATTTTTGCCATTTTTTTTATAAAATATTTCATCAGCTTAGATTTATTTCAATTGGTAATACACATAAAATCTTACCAGGTTGAAATTATAGCTGGAAATGCCAAAGCAAAAATAAACTATATAATTCTGCAATTTAGTCAGTATCATTTATCATAATCTGCTTTCATTCTGCAGTGGGTTAAATGGGTCCAATTCTTTTTGTTTTAATCATTACCTCTTACGGTTAACGGGAGTTTGCAATCACTACCAAACCATCCAGGGAGACAAGATTGGCAACTGTTGTTCTGATTAGCACCTATGTCACATTTGCATTCGCCAGATGCCGTGTCACATATTCCATTACCAAAACATGGATTGCTGCCTCCACCTGGGCATTCATTTCTACATGATTCTCCATAGTAACCATGCTTACATTTGCAATGTCCAACAATTCTAGGTAAACCATCCTGGATAGAATAATAAAAATTGTTTAAAAATGCAATATTTCTGCAAAAATCTATTATTTCAAGAAAGTCCTATTAAATCCTAGATGAAATTCTCAAGCTTTATTTAAACTTAAGATGATCTAAAAATAGAAAAAAATCAAATGATAATTAAGTTGGTATAAATCCATTGCAATTGAAGTACAAACTGTAATTTGCAATTACATAACATGGACAACTGCATTTTAATTAAATAGAAACATGCAAAATAAAAAGCGTAAAGAATATTCACTACTTTGTTAGGGTTCCATTCTACTGCTGTAACTACTGAAATTGGTATTTTGTAAAAAAAAATTCAGTTGAAAATGTACAATGAAAGAAATTTCTCACCAATTCAGGAGATTCTTGACAAACAATAGATGGGTCAACACTGGCCAGGATACTTGTGTAATTAAATTTCATTGTAATTATTCGCCAACTGTATTCTTTTATAACTGTTAAGTTTGCAGGTCTGTAACAAAATGTTTCATATAACATGACTTTACCTTAAAGCTGAGATCAAAAAACTAATTTCTAAGATGTTTAACTCAAAACTTTGCAATGCTAAACATTTAATTCATTATTTGCATAAAAATGCAGGAATCTAATAATTTGAGAATGTGTGAGAAAGAATTTCGACAATTAAATAAAATATTGATTAAAATATAAAAAGCTTAGATTGGTCATTATAATTTTTACCAGCTACATGTATCAATATTATAAAATCAAATTATAAAAATTATTGAAATACTTACACCTAAACTGAATGTGATTTAATATCCTAATGTCACAAATGACATTATCGCTATATTAATTATCAAAATTCAAGCATCAGTTTAAACATGTTTGTAACTGTCATATTTGTAATATCCCGTTTCAAACTGCCGACATATATTTGTATAATTCATCAATATGCTGAAAAAGATTGAATTTTAACTTGTGACATAAACTATCAGTCTTCTTTTATGAAATCTATGACTTACCCTATAACCATTGCATATTTCACAGTTCCAGATATGAATTTTGTGGGTAGGTTTGTGCCAGAAGTCACTCTTCTTTTGTTTAAGTAATTTGAGTTTTCACCTTTCAGTTTAATGTAAATGTTGTTCGGATTTAAATTCTCGTAGCCAAACCAAGCTTTGTAATTGTCAGACCCAATGTTCTCTACACATCTAAACACTGGGACAACTGAGGAATTTACAACTTCACCATCGTGGTCATCCACAAAATATCCCTGCTCGTCAATACATTCTATGTCACAATATGGGCCATCAAAATCTAAAACAAAGTTTAAATAGCATTAAAATTTAGTTTTTAAATAGCATTAAAATTTAGTTTTTAAATAGCATTAAAATTTAGTTTAAACATATATATTTCAATATTTTACATTTATTACATTTTATATGTATTTAATTGTTACATGAAAGGGATTAGAATGAAAGAAAACTTATATGAGTTCCTCTCCCTCATTAGAATTTAACTTGAAAAATTGATAATTTCATATTTTTTAAATCAGATAAATTCTAGAACTGACTCCCCCAAAATATTACCAAATTATAACCATTTAACACTTATGAACTCTCATACATGTGTCAGGGTAAAACAAGTCTCGGCATTAATGATTTAAAAAAAAACCAAGAGTATGACATGTGCAGTTTTCTACTTTTATATTATATCTTTAAAGTTTTTGGTTACTATGTGTCTTACTGATGCCTTATTTCAAACTAGCATTAGATAAGGTATCTTTCATTGTTTCCCACATTTATTTCTAAATTTTAAAAATTTATTCAAGTAACATAATATTTGTCTGTATTTGATAAAGGTATGGCTTTAATACTTACTTGAAGCACACTGTGTACATGTAGGTTTACTCCAGCCTTTTAAACAATCAGTACAGCCAGTTTGAGGATTGATCCAGTGTCCTTTAATGTCATCATCATGACATTCACAAACTCTACCACCTGTAATTAGTCATAAATCTAGTTAAATATGATTTTTAGGTTTCTATATTTTCCACATCCGCCTGCAATCATTATGTTTCTATATTGACACCAACCACCCAAATATTTTCACGGTTCTATATTGTCCACATCAGCCCAATTACCTTAGTATGGGCAATGTTCTGTTAACCTACCTCAGAATAACAAGTTTGAGCACTGGGCATGACACTTATGTTAACCCTATGTATTTCTTAAATAGATTTGTTCCAGATTCCAGTGTCTATTACTGTTAAATATCAATTTTAGGATCAAGATAAAAATGTGAAATTAGTAAGCAAAACAGTAAAAAACCTGCATAGACTAAATTGATATATACTTGTGGCAAAGGCTGCTTACTTTTCAAACAATACACTTTACTACATCTGTTCAGAAAAGTTTTTTGTAATAACAAACATTTCTTAAAAATGCTTATGTCTTCCCCCCCCCCCTTACTTTCTGTAATACATTTGAATGCAAAATGCCACAAGCTGTGCCTTTAATATTGGGACTAAACTCTTTGTTATATTGGAATTAATTTTGCCTGTTACAGTAAAGTAAAGTCAAAAAGAACATCATTTATTTCTCTCATTCCATGCACAAACATGACACATTGAGGTAACATAAGCTCCATAACATACAGACCTTTTTCTGTAGCAAATCCATTCACACAAATGACATCACAAGTTGTGTTGTAACCAATATATCCTGTCCTACATCTTTCACAGTTGTTCCCTTCAAAGTTTACCATACAAGAATCGCAAGCAGTTCCAGTGAAACCGTGGTTACATACACATTTTGGGGCAGTCTCTTCAGGTAGTAGCAGACATTCACCTAAAAAAGATACAATCCATATTTTGACAAAACTAAGACTCCAAAATGTGACTGTATGTATGTGATAAGTTATTGACTAAACAAGTCATAATATGAGAGGGACGCATTAGTTCCAAATTGTAGTCTGACTAATCAGCTTAACAGAATTCTTCTAAGTGTTCTAAGCCAATAACCATATTTTTCGTGTGTGTATTCAACTACTATGAGCAAAAAAAATCTATCAAGGGGTAAAAGATTTATAGGGCATGAATTTGTCTGACATTGGATGTGAGAGGTCTATAAAATGGAATCATTTTGTCATGTACTTCGTCAAGTCCATCACCAGATATCATGCCTGCTCTATCAAGCTTACATTTCTTTAAGAATTTCCACCAAAAGAAGACAATGTGAAGAGCTTATGCACCCTTGTGCCAACTCAAGGTCAAAGTCACACTTGAAGGTCAAATGTCAGACAATTCTGAATCCACTCAAATGATTAAGTGACTTTATGTTCAACATTAAATAATATTAAACAATACATATCCAATAACTGTTTAAGGTAATAATGTTAATAATTACATATACTATGGAGAAAAACTTGATCAATATTCATTTGTCACTAACATTATATCATTATAGTATTAACCTGAGTAACTCAAACCTGACGGTTTTCATAAAGCTGGCATAACTCATTGTAATAAATATTTTACAGGTATTGTATTATGAAACTTTTCTATAATTTTTTTTAATAATTTTACCAACATTTTGGACATGAAAGGTAAACTATGAATGCTTATTCTCAACCACTATTGTTGCTGAATAATTCATCACTCCACAAGAACAAGTTTTCAAAAATATCTTATCAAGCTCTTAAGTAGTTGGTAAAAGAGACTGATTAAATTTAACTCTTTGTTCAAGTGATCTAAAATTTGAGGTAAAGAAATCTATACTTATTATACAAAAAGCTTACCGTTTCCATTGCAGAAGTTATCTTGGGGTCCTGGACATACAAATTGAGAGCAGTCATCACTTTGGTAACCAGGATCACAGATACATCTAGATACACCCAACTCTTCATTTCTTGTACACGTTCCATACTTACTGCAGTCTGGCTCTCCTTAATAAATAGTTTTTTCATTTAATTTTTTATTATCTCAAAGACACTGATAATAGTCCAAGGTAAATCAAGAAATTTCCTAAGTGCTAAAAATCAGATCTTGGGTATATGTTTAGGAAGAAACTGGCGCAGAATGCACACAAACAAATGGAAATCTTGTGATTCCTGACAAGAGCTCAGGCAAAGTTATAGTGTTTTTTCATCTTTACTGGACTCCAAGTTCCCCACTAGCATTACATGAGATTCATTTTATCACTTGGGTATAACCACAAAGGTTTACAAAAAAATTTCCATGATAAATGTTCTTGAAATTTTTGTTAATCAATTTTAGGTCTGCTGGTGTTGGTGTCATATGAGGAAACATGGCTGTGACCAAAATAGGGCTCATACTCACAACACCTGGGCTTAAGAGTAGGCAACCATCCAACTTAAACCTGAAAAATACCTTGTGATTATCCTACTTTCTTGATGCTTCAGTTATTAAATCCAAGAGTTTTTAATCAAATTCTAGTATGAAATATCTATTTTCATCTGAAAATATGTATTTGCATTTCAAAAATTTTAAAGATATCTATATCTCAGTAGAATTAATTGACTAAACTAGAACTGCCACTATCATGGCGTGAATACCCCCGCATACCACTTTGTCAGAATCAACAGTGGCCATTAAGAGCTCAAGGACAACCTCCCTGCCAAATCTGAGGTTACTAAGCCAGTGCATTGCTAAGTTATGTATTCTACATGCTTCAAATGTGAAAATGTCAAAATCAATACATTGCGGACAGGACATTCTTTAGCAATTGAGAAGAAAAGCTTTTGTCAAGGTCCCTGTGACCTTGACCTTTGACCCAGTGACCTCAAAATCAATAGGGGTCACCTTATAGTCATGATCAACATCCATGCAAAATATGAAGACTGTGGGTCAAAGGAATCTTAAGTTAATGGGTGGACAAACTTTTTGAAGTCAAAGTCCCTATGACCTTGACCTTTGATCCAGTGACCTCAAAATCAAAAGGGGTCATCTACTAATCATGATCAACATCCATGCCAAATATAAAGACTGTGGGTCAAAGGAATCTAAAGTTATTGGGCAGACAAACTTTTTGAAGTCAAAGTCCCTGTGACCTTGACCTTTGACCTGGTGACCTCAAAATCAATAGGGGTCATCTACTAATCATGACTAACCTCCATTCCAAATATGAAGACTGTGGGTCAAAGGAATCTTAAGTTATTGGGCGGACAAGCTTTTTGAAGTCAAGGTCCCTGTGACCTTGACCTTTGACCTGGTGACCTCAAAATCAATAGGGGTCATCTACTAATCATGACTAACCTCCATGCCAAATATGAAGACTAAGTGTCAAAGGAATCTTAAGTTATAGGGCGGACAAGCTTTTTGAAGTCAAGGCCCCTGTTACCTTGACCTTTGACCTCAAAGTCAATAGGGGTCATCTACTAATCATGACTAACCTCCATGCCAAATATGAAGACTGTGGGTCAAAGGAATCTTAAGTTATTGGGCGGACAAGCTTTTTGAAGTCAAGGCCCCTGTGACCTTGACCTTTGGCCTGGTGACCTCAAAGTCAATAGGGGTCATCTACTTATCATGACTAGCCTCCATGCCAAATATGAAGACTGTGGGTCAAAGGAATCTTAAGTTATTGGGCGGACAAGCTTTTTGAAGTCAAGGCCCCTGTGACCTTGACCTTTGACCTGGTGACCTCAAAATCAATAGGGGTCATCTACTAATCATGACTAACTTCCATGCCAAATATGAAGACTATGGGTCAAAGGAATCTTAAGTTATTGGGTGGACAAGCTTTTTGAAGTCAAGGCCCCTGTGACCTTGACCTTTGACCTGGTGACCTCAAAATCAATAGGGGTCATCTACTAATCATGACTAACCTCCATGCCAAATATAACGACTGTAGGTCAAAGGAATCTTAAGTTATTGGGCGGACTAGCTTTTTGAAGTCAAGGCCCCTGTGACCTTGACCTTTGACCTCAAAATCAATAGGGGTCATCTACTAATCATGACTAACCTCCATGCCAAATATGAAGACTAAGGGTCAAAGGAATCTTAAGTTATTGGGCGGACAAGAAAAAACCGCCGGACAGCCGGACGGACAAGCTGATTCCAGTATACCCCCCTTACAACTTTGTTGTGCGGGGGTATAAATATATAACAAGAGGGCCATGATGGCCCTAGATCGCTCACCTGACTTATCAAACTCATCCAAACAATTACCTAGACAAGCATTCTGACCAAGTCTCATGACAGGTGAGTAAAAAATGTGACCACTACAGTATTAACAAGGATTATCCATATTTGAGCAGTGCGACCTAGTTTTTTACCCAGGTGACACATATTCAAACTTGACCTAGAAATCATCAAAACAAACATTCAGACCAATTTCCAGGATACTTGGATCAAAACAGTAGCAACTAGAGTGTTAACAAGATTTTTCCATTTTTAGCTCCGGTGACCTAGTTTCACATGTGATTTCGAACTCATCTAAGCAATTACCTAGACAAGCATCCTGACCAAGTTTGATGATAATTGAGTCGAAAATGTGACCACTAGAATGTTAACAAGGTTTTTCCATATTTGGGCGGTGTGACCTAGTTTTTCATCCAAGATGACCCATGTTCGATCTTGACTTAGAAATCATCAAAACAAACTTTCAGACCAATTAACAGAATATTTGGAGCACAACAGTAGCCACTAAAGTGTTAACAAGATTTTTCTATTTTTAGCTCCTGTGACCTAGTTTTTCATCCGAGATGTCCCATGTTCGATTTATTCCAGCAATGACCTAGACAAGTTTCCTGACCACGTTTAATGAACAATTGAGTCAAAATTGTGACCACTAGAGTGTTAATAAGGTTTTACTATTTTTAGCTCTGATGACCTACTTTTTCATCCCGAGATGACCCATGTACGAACTCATCCGAGCTATCACCTAGACAAGCATCTTGATCAAGTTTTGATGATGATTGATGCAACAATGTGACCGCTAGAGTGTTAACAAGGTTTTTCTATTTTTAGCTCCGGTGACCTACTTTTTCATCCGAGATGACCCATGTTCAAACTCATCCGAGCTGTCACCTAGACAAACATCTTGACAAAGTTTGATGATGACTGATGCAAAAATGTGACCACTAGAGTGTTAACAAGGTTTTTCTATTTTTACCTCCGGTGACCTACTTTTTCATCCGAGATAACCCATGTTCAAACTCATCCAAGCTATCAACTAGATAAGCATCCTGACCAAGTTTGATGATGATTGATGCAAAAATGTGACCGCTAGAGTGTTAACAAGGTTTTTCTATTTTATAGCTCCGGTGACCTAGTTTTTTATCCGAGATGACCATGTTCGAACTCATCCGAGCTATTATCTAAACAAGCATCCTGACAAAGTTTGATGATGATTGGGTCAAAAATGTGACCACTAGAGTGTTCACAAGGTTTTCTATTTTTAGCTCCTGTGACCTAGTTTTCATCAGAGATGACCCATGTTCGAAACTCATCCAAGCAATTGACTAGACAAGCAATCTGACCAAGTTTGATGAAGATTGGTTCAAAAATGTGACCACTAGAGTGTTCACAAGGTTTTTCTCTATTTTTTAGCTCCAGTGACCTACTTTTTCATCCGAGATGACCCATGTTCGAACTCATCCGAGCTATCACCTAGACAAACATCCTGACCAAGTTTTGATGATGATTGGGTCAAAAATGTGACCTCTAAGAGTGTTCACAAGGTTTTTCTATTTTTTTTAGCTCTTGTGACCTAGTTTTTAATCCCGAGATGCGCCATGTTCGAACTCATCCGAGCTTTCAACTAGATAAGCATCCTGACCAAGTTTGCATGATGATTGAGGCAAAAATGTGACCGCTAGAGTGTTCACAAGCAATTGTGGATGTACGACGGACGACGGACGGACGGACGACGGACATTCACCGATCCTAAAAGCTCACCCTGAGCAAGCTCAGGTGAGCTAAAAAAATATACAATATTTACGGGGGAATTACCAAACTTAGAGGGGAAAAAAATTGAAAAATATTTATCTTTAGAAAAAAATAACCCAAGAATATATCAATGAAATAAATTCTTGTGATTGTAAATCTAGCAATCTAGACAAAATTGAAACAAATAATATATGTGTACAGAGAGTATATGTACCTGGACAATCTAGTTGTTCACAAAAATCTCCCTTATAACCTTCGGAACAGTTGCAAGACTGAAAATTATTAAATATATGTATTATATATATTTCAATTTGAGTAAAAAAGGACTTCATTTTATCGTACTGGTGACATATAGGTCCAATGAGACAAGTGTCTTTTCTTGTCACTATATATTATGTTATTGTTATATACCCATGCACATGTTACAATGATAAACAATATCTTATCATATAATAGTTACCTTAAATTATGCACTTTATCTCCCTCTAAGTACTACATAATTATATTAAAGTCTGAATTTTTTATATTAGAAATAGTTTTGTTACATTGAGCTGAATGTTAACTATCATTTTTTGGAAGCATATAAATTACATCCATTATGACAAAAAATTGACTTAGACTGACATAGATAGTTGTATTTGTTTCCAAATAAATCACATTTCCCACACTACCATTATTCATCAACTTAATCTTGTTAAATGTAAATAAGATGATAAAATTAAAGTTTCCAAAAGTATATTATTATACATCATATGTCAAACAAAAATGGTTGAATAATTTTTTTTTTATATGAATGAATTTAAATAACTGCTTCACATAAAGAAATTAAAATAGCAGCCTTTGCATGAAAGAATGCAAAATTTCTAGCAAGAAAACAGTCATGATTTAAACCCTTCTTAATTAAAGCATTTAAACTGATAGAGTTACTTACCTTTGTTCCATTACCATTAGTTGAGCAAGTTCCTACACCATTACATTCAATATTACAGGCAGAATCATCATAGCATGGGTCACACTTGCAGAAAGAGGAGAAAGGTGGAGACTCTACACCATGTATACAATCATATTGACATTCTGGTCCCATTGAGTCGGTGCAATTAACACATCTAGGTGGCCAGTAGTTATTTCCATCACAGTCACCTGTATAAAGTAATTCACAATATACGCACATTAAAGTGGATTGGTCTAAAATTAGCACATTTTCCATAAATATTTCAAATGTTGATAAAAACAAAAGAAATGTATCATTTTAGTATCCATATAAAATATTGCTGGAACAAACAAAATTGTTGATTATAATAAAGCATTTTATTAATTTATTTTTCAAATAGAGTTTTAAGTCACACCCAACACTTTAAATGTCATTTGGTGGCACTCTTCTTTTTTATTGGTGGAGGAAAACATTCGGGTGCTGACTCTGTGCATTATTTCAGGCAGAAGCATGCACCTACGTAGAACCAATGAGCGTGCTGGACAGCTTCCTTACATGAAATAACTTTAAGCACTGGTGGGAGACAAACACACCATAGTAAGGGCCATGTACATGTAGTCCTTAGTCAAGAACCGTAAACACATGGCCACAAACACCCCTAATTTTCTGTACATATCATATAACTTCAAAAAGATGTCAAAAGCATGTACCACAAGAGGATAGTTAAGTCATTCTTTTAACTTTCTTGCTTCTTTTACTTTGAAACACTTGAATGCATATTTTTGCTAATAAGTAAGGTTTTATTTCAATGGCATGTTCTTTTTTTGCAAAATTAATCTACACAGCAAATTGTATAAATATGGAAAAGCACTCATTAAGATGGACTAATATTTTAGTCTCCTATATTGAATGATAAAATCTAAAACTAATATGTGTTGTCAAATATAATGTTACAATGTAAAACCGAAAATAGTTTTGTATATACCTTTACTGCTACAGTCTGGTGTACCGGGACAGTTAAAGACGTCACAACCTGCAGAAGTCCATCCAATGTTACACGTACATGTCTGTTCCCCTATATTACATATTCCATGTCCAGAACAACTTTCTCCTGTACCTGGGCAACCCTGTGTCTCACATGACTTTCCTATAAAATTCACATTTCGTTTCATTAATTTTAAATACTTTCTCTTTGATATAACAGTCTAAACATGCCAATGCAACTACGTGTATTTAAAGACTTTTGTCCTATACAACCATTTTTCACCCTTGATCATTTTCTCCGTATCTTTCATGTTTTAAGCCACTCTGCTCAACGTGATGATATTTTAAATGTATTTAAAAAATCTAAACAAATTAATAACAATTACATAACATTAAAAATCTTACTTTGTAAAATGAAAACAGATTAAGACAAAATCTGCAAATATAACAACAGCGAATTATGTAACTGATGATTTTGCCTTGAAATTTTTAATACCATAAAACAAAATTTTAGCAATTTCATTTTAATAATATTTTATTATAGTTGCCAAATTTTTATCAAAAATGATAAATAAACATGTACCCCAATATCCTGAATTACAGACACATGTCCCATTTTCACATTGCCCATGATTTCCACATATCTGTTTACAAGCTGCCCCAGTATAACAGGGATCACACAGACATGTGTTGTCCTCCTGTGCTGTACCATGAACACATTCATACTGACATTCTCGGCCCATGTAACCTTTGTTACATTTACAGCTAGGGCTTTCCCCACTGGCATCACATGAACCTTTGCCACTACAATCTGGTGTGCCAGGGCAGTCTGGCACATGACATGATGTTGAATTTATTGTCCAGCCCTCATAACAGCTACATTTTCCGTGTATGCATTTTCCATGACCACTACAAGATTGTCCGACGCCAGGACATTGCTTCTGCTCACACAGTTCTCCCCAGTGTCCTGTTGGGTTATATCCGGTGCCATCGTGACATTGGCATGTTTGGGTTTTATTGTCACAAATACCATGGTTATTACATGTAGAATAACAGTTATCAGCAGGGCTCTGACACTTGCTTTCACACACGCAGTTACCTTTAAAAAGATCAGACACATAATTAAATAAACAAACCTGCATTTGAAAATATGAACAAGCATTATAACAAGTTATAGAGCTTGTACGTTAGTGATTTTTAAACACATGTTCATCATGAAAGGTTGCAAAAGCATTCAACAGACAAGAGCATTGCATGCATTGTTAAAGCCTGTCTGTCTGTTAAGGGCAATAAATATTCTAATTTAAATGGGACATAACTCTTAAAAATATTGCTTTCAGGATAATGCCCCATGTCTCACAACTGTACATTGTTATGATGATCAAGAATTTCACGTTTCATGTTGATACTTTTGATAGTTTTGAAAATCATTCTATTTACTAAACAATATTCATAACAAATTTTATTTAAGCAGGGACATAACTAACAATATTTTTTTCAGAAAATTGACACTTGTCTAACAACTGTGCCATGCATTATAAAGAAATATTCCAAATTTCATGTTGATACCTTTCATAGTTTTAAAATAATTCTTCTTTGAATAGGAAATTTTGAGAGAAAAAAAAAGCTTAACTTAAAAAGGGACATAACTCCTTATAATAATGCTTTTAAGATAATGCACCCTGTTTTACATCTGCTAATTATCATGATAATAAAAAACTTTTAAGAGCCATGTTTATATCTTCATAATTTTGAAATCATTCTACTTTATAGGCAATTTCAACAAAAATGTTAACAAGTCCAAAAAGTTAGTTTTCAGAATTATGCCCCTTGTCTAACAACTGTGCCTCTTGTCATGATGAGCAATATTTCCAAGTTACATATTGATACCTTTAAAATTGTTTGAGTAAAGGGCCCCATTAGTAGTATAGTTTTTGCACATCAATTATGCTAGAGCAATCATAATAGCTTGGCCTTTTCTTTGAAACAGGCAAGCTAAAAATGACAATTTGTATTAATCCAGCCAATAACAATTTCAAAAGTATCTAAATATTTGAAGAACTGGCAAATTAAAATGTTTTCAATATATATTTCCTTTTATTATAATCCAATAATTGTGAAATTGTTAAAGATATTTCCATAATTTCAACACACAAGTTTACCACATGAAACAATAGAAATAAAATAAAACATTTTTTTCCGAAGTTCCTTCAGTTTAAACCTACCACTATCCATTGGTTCCTGTATGCCATAGCATCTAGTGTTACATTCTGGTCCGATCCAGCCTTGTTCACAGTTGGTACAGAATGGGACATCAACTGTGTCATTACACTGACCATGTCCCGAGCAGTTGTTTGGACATTCAGCAGTCCAGCAGCCTTCCCCTATCCAGTATGTCTCACATGTACATGTTCCTAAGATTTAAATAAATAAAAAATTCAGAACTCATTTTACAAAGTGTTCTATAGATATAATTCCCATAACTTTTTGTACTCTGTTGCATAGAAATTAGACATGGAAATTTTAGACTAAATATCTGGATTTCTTGATTTAATATTGAACAAAAAGAAATCACCATCAACTGTGTCAAACCTTCTTTGAAACAGATATCTATGCATAAAATCCTTAGCTTTAAAAAGAATATTAATGCATAAAGTTCTTAAATTTCAAAACAAATACCTATGTATAAAGTACATGTACTCCCCTCTCAAAACAAATATCTATACATAAATTTCATACCTTTCAATATGAACATCTATGCATAAACTTCTTACCTAATGACCAATAAATATCCAATAACACAATTTACATAAAATATTCCAGACCTACCTATATCAAAATTTGACTCTGTTAAACAGCTTCCATGACCAGAGCAATCACGGCCATATTTTCCTGGACAGCCCGCTCTTTCACATTTATCTCCCTTCCAACCAGTTGTCCCGCAATCACATGTTCCATTTACACAATGACCACGTTTGGAGCATTCTTCACTACACTCTATCCCTGTGTAGCAAGAGTCGCACTTGCAATATTGCGTAGTTAAATCGTCTGAGTTGGGTGTGAAGACGTTTCCATTGTCGCAATAATGCTCGCACCCTGCACCGAAATATCCACTGGTACAGTTACAAACAGGCTTGTCGAGTGGCAAACATACACCATGAGCACTGCAATCTTTCTCACATTTGGTAATATGGCAACCTGTTCCTGTCCAGCCAGGCTCGCAGGAACAAATTCCTGTAGATGGATTACAAGTACCATGACCTGAACACGAGACACCATGCCCTGGACATTCTTTTCTCTCACAAAAGTCACCTCTGTATCCTTCAAATCCACAATCACATGTTCCTGAAATAACAAATATACATACATTAAATATTAGAAAACTTTCAAAGTAATATCAAATAAGATTTATTGATAGTCCACAATTATTTCATTACATAAATTAATAATCAAACAAGTCCTTATAGCAGTTATTTTGAATTAACAATTTTGAGACTGTCATTAGGTTAATTTATTAACTCACTTGCTGCATTTCTAGATAGAAGATGTACAATTAAAAGTCTTATATGTTTCTTAGTTTTTCACATTGTTACCAAAATAATACCTTCAGATAAGGAGAAGAATTCTATAACACTTGTCTTTCATTCTTATCCTTTTCCATTATGTAAAATTTTTTTTGTTGTTGTTTATTTGTATGTATATAAATATTTGGGAATAAATATGTTTAAACCAATACCTTCAGAAGTGCAAGTTCCATGGTTGTTACATAGTTTGTCACATTCAACACCAGCAAAACACTTGTCACATATACAGCGGAAATCTCCTGGATTCTCAGTTCCGTTATAGCATCTTTTTATCGGATAAAAAATAAATATTAGAAACCATATAAATCATTTTTACATTTTCAATGTATTTCAAGGAATAAGGCAAAAATAAATTGGCACAATATTGATAGTAAAAGTGCATGCAATAGATAATCTGTACTGAATGAGCAGAGAAACACTGTAAGTAACAGTTATAGTGTTATGTGCGACAAAATCTTACTTTTACTGATGGGAAAAGACTTCTGAAGAATCAAAGTACATTACAAAATAATCAGGATAGAGTCTGAGCAACACTTTGATAAAAACTAGCTGCATAGGAAAAATTAAAGGTCCTTTGTAAAAATTTTACTTTTAAAGGTGACAAACATTATTGGTTACTGTGTGAAAATGATTTCAAATACATGTACATAGTTTTTTTTTGTTTTTTTTTGTGGGGGGTGGGGGTTGTGGTTGGATGGGTTAAACATTCCGTACAGGTAGAATGTGTACACAATTCAAAGTAACTGTTCTTGTTGAATTTAAAATTTTCGTTTAATTGATCTGCATTTATATCTTATCCTCAGATACTGTATAAGTTCATGTTCAGGAAAATATGCAGTGGAATCAATTGAATATGCCTCTCAAGACAAAAAAAACATTGCACAGCGCACAAATTGAAATATACATAAGATGTATAAGCTTCTAAATCTATAAGTGTTAAATGCTACAAATAAGCAATTATAAAGGCAAGTTTCTTATAACTAGAAATGTGTCCATAGGACACGGATGCCCCCACACGCCACTGTTCTGTCAATCTTATGACTCTAGGTCAAATATTTTTTGGACTTCATGTGCCACAAGTTGAAAACTAAAAATCAACAAAGGGCCATAATTCTGTAAAATTTGGTTGCAGCAAAAATTCCTTCCTTTACTACCATCTTCACCTTAAGGTTATTCATCCCTGTAAGTTTAAGCAAAATCTGCCATGCTGTTTAAGAGGAGTTGCGTTCACAAAATTTCTACATAGTATCTAGTGAAAAAATCAACAAAGGGCCATAATTCTGTAAAATTTGGTCGCAGCAAAAATTCCTTCCTTTACTACCATCTACACATTATGGTTGTTCATCCCTGTAAGTTTAAGCAAAATCTGCCATGCGGTTTAAGAGGAGTTGCGTTCACAAAATTTCTACATAGTATATAGTGAAAAAATCAACAAAGGACCATAATTCTGTTAAATTTGGTCGCAGCAAAAATTCCTTCCTTTACTACCATCTACACATTAAGGTTGTTCATCCCTGTAAGTTTAAGCAAAATCTGCCATGCGGTTTAAGAGGAGTTGCGTTCACAAAATTTCTACATAGTATCTAGTGAAAAAAACAACAAAGGGCCATAATTCTGTTAAATTTGGTTGCAGCAAAAAATTACTTCCTTTACTACCATCTACACATTAAGGTTGTTCATCCCTGTAAGTTTAAGCAAAATCTGCCATCCGGTTTAAGAGGAGTTGCGTTCACAAGATTTCGGGACGTACGGACGGACTGACGGACGGACGGACTGACTGACGGACGGACAGACGGACGGACGGACAAGTGCAACGCTATATGCTCCCACATTGTGGGGGCATAAACATGTACATACCTATACTGGCATTTATCCCCTATGTAAGGTGGTGCACAATCATAGCATCTTGGTTTCTCGTCACCCTCTCTCTGTTCACATTTTGCATTCACATCGTTACAATCACAGTCAGGTATATGACAACCATTGCCTTTCCAACCCTGTTCACAATCACACTGGTTTATAGCTTTATTACAGGTTCCATGTCCCATACAGTTATCAGGCCAGCCTGGACATCCTATCTCATCACACTGTTCACCTGTAGAATGTTAAAGGTAATTACTGCTCATTTTTAAAACAGTACATAAACAGTCATTTCCTTGAGACTATATTTATAACAGTACATAAGCAGTTATTCCGTAGGGACTATATTGTACTTCTTTTTGATATACATGTGTATCATAGAAATGCCAGTCAGTGACACTTTATTAAACATTAGTTTTTCTGGTCTATATATCTTTTTGTCAGTAACCATAAACAGTAAATGAAGGCTGTGAGAGAATGTCACCTATTTAAGCTTGAAATTACATAGTTTATTTGTTTTTGTTTTTTTTTCTTTTGTGAAAATAAGAACAAGGCATAACAATACCTTTATATCCCAGATTGAAATTACAGATGCATCCACCATTTTCATTGCAGACACCATGATTATTACATGTCATGTGACATGATATACCTGCAAATGATTATATCATAACAGACTATACAAACTGTATAAATGCAAGAACAATTTTTTTTTGTAATTCTAGTAGTAAGTAAGACATTGTTTACTACATATACAATGGACATCCACTTTATACAATAATAATTAAAGTAAATGGTTCAAGTGTAAAGAGCTTTTATGCAAATTATTAAATGATTTCCAGTTTTCCAGTCTGAGCTGGGTGCAAAGCTGCCAGTACCTTAAGAGCTTTGATGTTAAAGGCACATTATGGCTCAGAGACAAATAAATTTTTACTTTTTTAGAAAGTACAAACATAAATTTTATAATATTTAAATAATACTTTTAAAGCATGTTAGATGCTTGTAACTGTAAGAAAGTAACGCTAAATGTGACATAATTTGTCATAAAAGTTGAATAATGTAAAGAAAGTTGTATTTTGACTTCTATTCAAAATACTAAATCACTATAACTGTACGAATTGCAAAAAAGAAACAGAAGAAAAAGATGGTTTAGGTAATTAGCCAATGAATAACTTTCTGGAAACTCAATAAGTACACTAAAAACTAGAACTATCGCTAAATGCGATTCATACCCCCACCATTGTCCTTGACAGAAAACCACTTGGAAAGGTGGTTAAGGGAATAAAATGTGGCACAAATACATAAAAAGAAATTATCTCTGGTGAAAAAAAGACTAATTGTACAGACAATAGTTTATAAAATTTATATTTATCAAATCATGCTCGAAACAGTGACAAATAAACCTTTCGATTTTCCCAAAGTATTTTTAAACATTTTTATTTATAAGTCAATTTTTTGGACCTTAAGAGTGGCCTTGACCTTAATCTGGCACAAGGTAAGATGGTTTGACATCACCCAGTTTGGTTGAACATTTGAGTAAAGTTTGAAGAAAATCCTTCCATTAGTATAGAATTTATTAAGTAGACACCAATATATTGTCTAGTATTGGTTGTATGTAAATTTGAAGACTTAAAAAGCGGGCATAACTTTGTCAAAATGCAATACAGGAGCTAATGAAACTTTGACCTGGCATAATCTTATTGTGCCACACCTCATATATTCTTTTTAGTTTCAAGGGCCAAATCCTGCGCTAGTTTCAGAATTATTCAAGTACATTTGTTAACTTTTAAGAACATTTTCTAAGTTCAATTTTTGACTTTCAAGTGTGACCTTGACCTTTACCCGGCACAAAAGGTGACATGGATTCTGCAACATACCTTGTTGAGTTTGAAAATTTTGAGTAAAGTTTGAAGAAAATTCTTCCATTAGTATAGGATTTATAGAGCGGAACACAACATATTGGCAAATATTTGATTGCATGTAATTTTGAAGACTTTAAAAGGGGCATAAAACTTTGGTAAAATGCAATACAGAGTTATGAAACTTGACAAGAACAGGCATATCAGAATTGTGACCCTTCAAAAAATATTTTAAGTTTCAAGCAAAATACTTTTTCTAGATTTAGAAATATCAAATAAATTTTTAAAATTTAAGAATATTATCTAAGTCAATTTTTGACCTTAAAGTGTGACCTTGACCTTTAAGCCAGCAAAAGAGTTGGTTAGATGAAATTAAGAGCCAAGATTGAAGAAAAATTCAATTGTGTAGGACTTACAGAGCGGACACAACATACTGTGTAATATTTGATTGTTTGATATTTGACCTTCAATTGTGACCTTGACCTTGAGCTGGCACATGGGCAACATGGGTTCTGCACATCCCCTTGTTGAGGTGAAGATTTGAGCCAAGTTTGAAGAAAAATCTTACAAGTAGTGTAGGACTTACAGAGCGGACACGACATACTGTGTAATATTTGATTGTTTGATATTTGACCTTCAATTGTGAACCTTGACCTTGAGCTGACACATGGGCGACATGGGTTCTGCACATCCCCTTTTGAGGTGAACATTTGAGCCAAGTTTGAAGAAAAAATCTTTTAAGTAGTGTAGGACTTACAGAGGGGACACGACATACTGTGTAATATTTGATAGTGTTTATATTTGACCTTCAATTGTGACCTTGACCCTTGAACTGACACATGAGCAATATGGGTTCTGCACATCCCCTTGTTGAGGTGAACATTTGAGCCAAGTTTGAAGAAAATCTTTCAAGTAGTGTAGGACTTACAGAGCGGACACGACATACTGTGTAATATTTGATAGTGTTTGATATTTGACCTTCAATTGTGACCTTGACCTTGAACTGACACATGAGCAATATGGGTTCTGCACATCCCCTTGTTGAGGTGAACATTTGAGCCAAGTTTGAAGAAAATCTTTCAAGTAGTGTAGGACTTACAGAGCAGACACGACATACTGTGTAATATTGATTGTTTGATATTTGACCTTCAATTGTGACCTTGACCTTGAGCTGACACATGGGCGACATGGGTTCTGCACATCCCCTGGTTAGAGGTGAACATTTGAGCCAAGTTTGAAGAAAATCTTTTAAGTAGTGTAGGACTTACAGAGGGGGACACGACATACTGTGTTATATTTGATAGTGTTTGATATTTGACCTTCAATTGTGACCTTGACCTTGAACTGACACATGAGCAATATGGGTTCTGCACATCCCCTTGTTGAGGTGAACTTTTGAGCCAAGTTTGAAGAAAATCTTTCAAGTAGTGTAGGACTTACAGAGCGGACACGACATACTGTGTAATATTTGATAGTGTTTGATATTTGACCTTCAATTGTGACCTTGACCTTGAACTGACACATGGGCAAAATGGGTTCTGCACATCCCCTTGTTGAGGTGAACATTTGAGCCAAGTTTGAAGAAAATCCTTCAATTGGTATAGGAGTTATAGAGCGGACACGAAAATGGAGACGGACCGACGGACGGACGGACCGACCGACGCGACAAAGCGAATCCATTATAGCCCCCCCCCACATTTTGTGGTGGGGGTATAATAAAAAGCTTTTGAGAAATAAAAATAAAAGCAATTCTTGGGCATAATGGGCCCTTAAATGAGGAGCTATGTACAAGTAAATATGGCCTATGAAGGCTTGGTTTCATATATCAGTACATAAATATACTTAATCTAACTGTTTGCCTGGATTTTTACTTTGACATTTTTTTTATTGTTTTCATTGATAACAAGGGATCTCCTTATTTCAGAAATAAACTTTCTATAGTAATTCTTTAGCCAATACTACTTGAATTAGATTAACAATGAGTATTTAGAGACAGAACATACCTGTATCGCATGTCCTATGACATTTACAGATACCATCACCATGGTTTGTACCATTTTGACACGGAAAATTACATCTATCCCCTACCCAGTCCTCATTACAAACACATACACCAGATTCCAATTCTTTATCAAATACACAAGTTCCTCGTTCTGAAAATAGTAATATATTAAACAAAATTTCCTTTTTCAAAAATGCACATTCCTGTTATTCCTTATTTAATCATGTAAATATTTCCTATTATTGTTGTACATCACTTGCAGCTCCCCATTTTAAAAACAGTCATCTTTGGGTCCGAGTTCTCAATGTGGGATAAAAACAAGGTTCTGATATATAACATTATTACCCCTCACTTTTTTCGTAATTCTAATTTCCCATAGGCCTCTGGGAGTTATTTTTACTGTTAATGCAAGTGTACCATGTGACTAAGAATTTTGTACTGTTACATAGGTAACAGTATTTTTTAACAGTATAATATCTGGTCACGTGGTCTATTTTCTAAATAAAATGAAATAAAATGGCCGCCATTTTTCTCTCGATTCATTCTTATTTTCCACGTTAAACTCCAATAGGACATCAATTTCTTCTCTGGAGTAACTTTGACACCCATAAAATTTAGTTGTTCGCATCCTGGTGTGCTTTTCGTGTATAAAATATCTTTTTGTTCAATAGTCAAAAAGTGAACATCTGTTTTCAACAGAAGTACTTGCAATGTAAATAATTTTGTGTCAAACTGGAACTACAGACGATTTAAGCATGCAACAAAGGATAATTTAACAATTTTAATAAGTGAAACGTTACAGATATGGTGGACATAGGATATCATCGTTATTTTGTCAAAAACCATGCTAAGAATATTCTGGAAACAGAAGGATCAGATTTCACAGATCATAATCGTGCAAATGGGATAGTGTTTTGTTTTCTAAATAAAACCTAGCTTATTTCATGTTTATGATTTGTAGATATCATCACTTGCATAAAGAATAAAAGAAAAAGAAAACTTCTCAAGTAGGCCTAAAGTACACTTAAAACTTAAAAGGTAAGGACAGTATAGTTATTGTTACTCTTGCTTTATTTTCATCACAGTTCAAGATTTAGTTGACAATTTCAGATTATCGCAGTATTTTTGTTCGGGGTAATAAAATAAATAACACATGGGTTTGTGAGTAACAGTAAAAATATCATCTCTCGTAAAATACTGTTACCCTCGGCTACGGCTGCTGACAGGTAGAATTTTATCGTATCAGTGACAATACCCCAACCATATATATGAGCATATAATTTAACAGTATTGTATTTGTTTGAAATAAGACAATTTGTTTCTAATTCATTTAAACAATTGAAACAAATATCATTTTGTGAAACATTACTGGTTATGTATTATGAAATTGTAAAAATGTCATAAATGTGTAACAAAAATGGTAAAAATCATTAAAATAGCATAAAAACAAGACATGACAAGAAGATAATACATGTTTAGGATATTTCACAACAGCTTATTCTCCTACAATATAAGTATTACTGAAAAGTCATTGATTCAGAGGAAGCTTTCCTATGAAACAATTGAATATGAAATTCAGAGTCCCTAAATAATGTCTCAAAATATATTAAAGCTACCACTGTAATTCCAAAAGCAATGATGTCAAACACATGTTCTCTATTTAAGTTCTTTTGTGAAGAAGGCCAATGACTTTTCGAACAATTCCATTTTTAACACATTTTGGTCATATCTAAGCAGTCTGTCCACCGAACCGGCTTTCTTAGATAAAATACCAGTAATTACCAATGTCTCTACAAGTGACTAACTTCATATATTCAGTTTATGTCTGATCTGTTTAGAACATTTTCTGGACTTGCTAGTGTCTTATATGAGCAGACATAGTACTGAACAAAATTGCACTCACTGGGCTCAACAAAATCTTTGATCACCAAGATGGAGAGTAGACATTTACAATTAATCAAAATAATTCTTTCTGACATGTTGTGTTAACAGGTGAAGGTAACATACCGTTACAGTCTTCTGGACATTTAGGAGTGTTACAGTCATCTCCTTTCCAGCCACTGTTACAGACACATTCCATATTGATACAGGATCCATGTTGGTCACAGGCCCTATCTGATCCCGGACAACCATCGTCTTCACACAGAACTCCTCTATATGCTTTCTCTGTATAGAATGGAAAATGGAATTAGTAACAGAGCGTAAGATCCAGTGCTTGGTGCATACAACTCTTTGAAACATTTAAAAATCCAACAAAGTTGAGAAAATCTAAATATTTAATCTACTTTTTCCAGATAATATATGTGAATAGCTTCGAATATCTTCAAGCTGCATACCTCAAAATGAGCCAAAATATTTCAAGAAAATTAAACTTAAAAAAAAAATGAGCTTTTGAGAAAAATAAAAAGATTCAAGATTCAAGTGATGATATACATGTAATTTGCCATTAATGACTGATTTTGCAGTATTTATTACCATGTGCCATCTGCAATGTGCAAATTTCTTCACAAAACTTAACCTTTCAATACAATTTCAAAAGTTTCATGAAAATTAGCATGAATCTGGAGGCATGCTGCTTTAATTTTTGAAGTTATAGATGTAACATAGATAAATCCTATATAATATTGGTAGATTTATAATAATCTAACCAAATCAAATCAAATAATATGTTCTGACTTTTTATTTCATGCCAAATAAATTGAGCAGTCAAGGTTAAAATTAAACTAACTTGGTTGATCAAAGCAGATGCAGTGTTTGCCAGTTGGATCACATACACCATGACTAGAACACTCTAGTTGACACCTATCTCCATTATAGCATGGGTCACAAACACATTCTCCACCCAAACTGTTCATTACAACTGTACCGTTCTCACATTTCTTGTTACAGTCTGGTCCAAACCAACCCTGTAATATAAACTGACTTTTATATGTCCTGTATACCTTATGTATCAAATATAATAGTCAAACCTGTGAACAGAGGTCATCTAAAGAAGATAGCAAACATGATCTGTATATACAAGCTGTCTTTATTAGGAGGTCACTCTGTTCTATTTAAATCAATGACAAGTTGTTGTCAGTGACCTACTAATATACTCTCAAATAAGTGTATGAAGTTTCAACCCAATTCCTTTATTAGTTATGGGGATACCAACTTACACCAAAAAACCCCTTAAATTAAGTGTGATGCTGAAGCAAACACCTTGAGGATAAGTACAATAGCTTTCATTTTTCTTTAAATAGTTGCGCTTAAAAGAAGCTTACATTTTCAGTGTTACAGACACAAATAGGATCTCCACTTGAACCATCACATCGTCCTCGACCCTCCTTAATGAAACATGCTCCATCTCCACAATCTGGTATTTCACAGCCATCCCCTGTCCACCCTAAATATCAAGTATTACTTTTATATACAAATTGTCAACTCTATGTATCTTACAAGTTTTTTACATGTATGAAAATTGAAAAGAATTGTTTAAACAGATAATTGCTCTTTATACACTGGAACAGATAAAAAAAACACGGACTAAAGCTGAAGAAAACAAATTTATTGACTGCAACGTACTGTAAAAAATATATATTCATACAGAATATCTACTGACAGCCTTATACACAAATGTCAAACATTTGTAAATTGTATGTTTGGAAAGAAAAAGCCAATGCATTAATATGTTGTATTAGTGAAAAGTAAAATTATTGAATTAGTGAAAAATAATTTTTTGCCATTAATATGTTACCTGGTTGGCATGCACATTGGTGTAAAGCTGAGTTGCATGAACCATGACCAGTGCAATCTTTACCAATGCCGGGACATCCTGGTACTTCACATTTCGAGCCTCTCCAGCCTACGTCACATTCACAAGTGCCGTTGTCACACTTACCATTCCGGTTACATTCAAGATTACAACCTTTCCCAGAGTAACAGCTGTCACATTCACAGAATCCACTATTCATAGGTTTTTGTTCACCGTGTACAGCATCACAAATGTCTTCACAGGCCTCGCCCATCCATCCTTTGCTGCAGTTTTTACACTTTGGAGTGAATAACGTATGGTCACAGATTCCTTCACCGTTGCAGTCAGGTTCGCCAGGACAATCTGGGATATCGCAACCATTTGTTAGTGGGTCAACATATCCCATGCTGTCTTTAATACCAGTCCATCCACTGTAGCACGTGCATGTGTGTGCAGCAGAGTTACAGTCTCCGTGACCCGTGCAACTTTTATTAACACCAGGACAGCCTGGAATATTGCACACTTTACCCCACCAGCCAAAGTCACATTTACACTTTCCATTGATAATTTTACCATTTTCTGAACACTCAGAATCACAATTGAGACCAGCCCAACCAGGATCACATTCACAATTTTGACTTCCAACAGGATTCATCTGTCCATTAACGCAAGGTTCCTGGCATGCTTCACCAAACCAGCCATCAGAACAGCTACATAAAAAATAAACATAGTGTTGGAGGTTAAAGCAAACTAAACAACTAATATACGACCCAGCTTGCACATCTGTGCAGTCTGACCACTGGCTCTACATTGCTGGCAGATTAATTTTAATATCTGAAATAGAACTCCCTTATACAACAACCAAATGTTCGCTCTTCAAAGCAAATGTTTTTAATAAAAAGATGTATAGCAGGAAAAATTATGCATTTTTGAATTAGCAAGATTGGTATTAAGATTTACTCTTGGTTTAACATAAGTAGCTGACAATTCTTGATTGAATTAAATTAAGGCAAAAAATGCAGTCTACTCCAGTTGTAAAGAAATCAGTTAACGAGGTACCGCTTATAACATACATTCTGCTGAAACAATGAGGTTCTTTTCACAAAATCATGATCACTTTCATATTCTACAATATAAAACAACAATTCTATATATTTACAAGCATTGTGGAGGATCTGTTGCATCGCTACATTTGCCATGGTCGTTACAATCTGGTTCTCCCGGACAATCTGTATACTCACACCCTATACCAAGCCAGCCTTTGTCACATGTGCAAGTGGCTGAAGCGCTGTCACAACCTCCTGTGTATAATGAAATATACAGTTGGAAAAATTTTCATCATTTTTAATGTCATTGTTATTAAAATTAGAATTTATATCAAGATCAACTTGTCCTCATATCATTATTGTAACATTTGGCTGATGAGAATGAATTTAATGTTTCCTGCATAAAATGTATCAGTTGAAGTAAGCATATTCCTTGCGCTGATTATCGTTATTTCAATTCATAACTGAATTGCAGTACTCCACCCATTAGATGCATTGGATAAAAAAATTAAAACAATGTGTATGTTACAAACGGTTCCTAGACAGGATACATGTGTACAAAGTATTTTGGGACGACAACCAATTACAGACTGCCAAATCTCCTGCCAAACAAAATTAAAGTAAGAAGATAGTCCATTTACTCAAACTGACATTAAAAACATATTCATTACCAGTTATTCAATACATTTCCAAAAGGCAGCATACAGAACAAAATACTGACGGACACTTATTTTTAATTATTCTCTCCTCAACATATATAATTGTCATATTATATTAAAATTACCAACATATTTTAGTGCAAGAAAACTTTCATAAAATTCACTGTACTAACCTCTACCACTGCAGTCTTGACCATTCAATCCTGGACATCCTGGTATATTACACACACTTCCTTTCCAGCCCAAATGATATGTACAGTTACATTTTCCCGTGACACTGCTGATTTTACCATGCTCTGAGCATTCTGAATCGCATCCGACACCAGTATATCCCTCCTCACAGACACATATTCCGCTATCCATGGGCTCTTGTTTACCATGGAGACATGGATCATTGCAAGCTGGTCCCATCCAGTTTTCATGGCAGCTTACACATCTTGGCGGACTTGTCGTTTCATCACATATTCCACGACTGAAGCAGTTTGGATGACCTGGACAGTCACCTATGTGACAGGCAGCACCTTCCCAACCAGCATCACACATACACTCACGTTTCTCAGAGTCACAGTTGCCACGCTTACTGCATTCAACATTTGTAACAGGATGTCTCGGGCACCCTTAAATCACAATTGTATTATTTATTAAATCCCATCTAAAATACTAAGAGGAGACAATTTCAACATAAAACTTTTTCTTTCAAATACAAAACATAAAATAAGCCTGAGCAAGCATTAAGTGTTATCCCCTCCCCCTCCACAAATGCTTAATTAATCAATTCTTTTCTTTTCTGAGTGGCATAATATTTTCCCCATTAACCATGCTAACAATATGACTATACCTGTTGTTGTACTATAAGGAAGTTTATTTTATTTAATGCTATTTTTTTTGTTGCCATATTTGTGGTAAAAATAAGTCAAAAAATAAAATTCATACTCTTTCCAAAAGAACTCTGTGGTGTTTTTAAATTTGTCTGGCAAAAACACCAAACATGTACTTATACACTTAAACATAATTTCTGGCAAGAAAAAAGGATTAAAAATACAAGCAAACATTATGTAACAAATATGTACCGGGTATTTCACAGTAAGTGCCATCCCATCCTTTTAGTGGGTCACAATAACAGTCTCCTGAACCGTCAGAACTGCAAACACCATGACCAGAACATTCTATGTCACATCCTTTACCATGGTAACATGTTTTAGAACAGTTACACACAGTGTTATCTTGTATAGGTGTTCCATACTTGCAAACATCTCCACAACCTGTACCCATCCAGTATTGGTCACAGTCAGTACAGATAGGGGGATTAAAAAGCTTGTTACAGAATCCACGGCCATGACAGTTAGGCTCTCCTGGGCAATCTGGGTCACCACAATCAGCTCCTGTTATTACAAAAATAGAAATCATTTCGTTATGATATTTGGAGAATTTAAAATTCCAATAATTGTCCTGCATTATTTTGATTTTAAAAGTACAGTGGAACTTCGGTAAGTCGAAGTTGAAGGGACTTGCGTAAAAACTTCGACATATCGGGACTTCGAGTCATGAATTGCTCTCAATTCCGTGACAAAATTTCGACCTGTGACTAGTTCTAATTATAAGATCTATAACAAAACCTATTTCATGTTTTTCCATCATAAATCTGATATTTTTACATTTTACAATGATAAATATAGTATGTTATTTTTTTTTTTCAAGGCTAATTATTTGGATTACCCGTTCACGTAAACAATAGAGTTACAAAAGGCGTAACAACAAGAATGGGCGATAACTAAACCAGCTTATAGTAAATATTTCGCGTGTTATTCTCATGCGACACCGGGTTACCGATGTTTTCAAATGAAAGTAGTTTACTGTTTACTTTCAAATACCACTACGGCAATTAAAATAGTAATAGAAAGAGCACCGAAACACGAGGCTATCTGATTTGTACGAGGGGGCGTAGCCCCCGAGTATTAATCAGATTGCCGAGTGTTTTGGTGTTCTTTCTCTTTTGTATCATAGTCAAACATAAAAGCACATTCCCTGTTGTCACAATATGAAACCCCGGCAAAAATGAACCAATGAACGAACATCTGAATATGACATTTCTGTCGCTTTCCCTTTCTCTGCCGTCACAATATGTAAACCCCAGCAAAAATGAGCCAATCAATGGGTATGCTCTGGAGTGCGGGTAACTAATACCTAATACCCGCACTCCAGTTAACGCACTGTGCATGTATATGTATACGATTTAACCCTGACACATTTTCAACAGAAAGGTCTCCAAACTATGATACAAGAAACAATTAAAGCATTTTATCACACATTTTATCGCAAACAAAGGCTGTTTGACACACGGCTATGTAATTAACACCTGTCACATAAGTTGATTGGAAATCGTCTTCCCAGCCAGATAAGGTGTGAAAAATGTCTCGAGATCGAAGGTGTCAAAATAATTCAACTTATTTGTGGTAAATTGCACTAGATTTACTTTACATGGACCACGAAAAAACTTCGACACATCGAAAAATTCGACACATAAAATCTCGACTCATAAATAGGTTTTTATAAGGAATATAAACGGGAAAAATCGGGACTTTCATTTTTCTTCGACACATCGAGAAAATCGACTAATCGAAGTTCGACTCATAGAAGTTCTACTGTATGTTGTTTTTTATCAACATTAACAAAAATGAATTAGCAGTCTAAAGAAAAAAAAGTATTATTCATGCTCATCCTTTGAGTGACTAAATAAGTATTTTGCTACTTGAAATATATGATGAATATCCTACCTCTCCATCCATTGTCACAGAAGCATTCACCTGTCCCTGAGTTACAAATACCATGTCCATTACAGTTAAGATCTTCTCCAGGACATCCTTTATTTGTACACTTTTTTCCACCCCAATTTGCATCACATATACAGGCATTGGTTGTAGTGTTACATGTTCCATGATTGTTGCATTCTGATTCACACAATACTCCAAGATGGCAGTCATCGCAAACACATTGATCTGCTATGCATGATCCCGATTTGCTACACTCGATTGAGCAGTCTGGGCCAGAGAAACAAGGATGACATATGCATGTTCCGCAAGGGGAGCATTCCCCGTGTCCATTACAATCTGTATCTCTGTGACATTGGCTTTCACAACGTTCTCCAACATAACCAGTGGTACAGTTACACTTTCCTTCATTATTACAGACACCATGGGCACCACATGTATTAACATTGTGGCAGGAAAACTGGCAGTCGTGACCTACATACCCATCATAACACTGACATGATGATCCTTTCCATGTTCCATGTCCACTACATGCGGCACCGTGATATCTGTATGTTGATCCGCCTGAACCATGTGCCTTGGCTCCAGTTCCACCTGATACAGATCTCTGTTGAAGTAGAACCTTACTGGTGTATTCTGATCCCCATGTTCTAACTCTCCCACCAGCTCCTCCCCCTCCTCGGTGCCAATGTGACCAATGTGACGAACATCTATCACTACCAGCTGAACCCCCATTTGCATGAAATGATCCCCAACCGGCAACAATATCCCCATCAAGCCAAATAGATCCTCCTGCCCCTCCTCCACTACCACCTGAACCGTGACCGCCATTCATTGTTAGAGTGCCTTCTACAACACTAAAGGTATGTACCAGTCTTACTGCAGAACCACCAGTACCACCTGAGGTATGGGAACAAGATCCCCCACCACTGCCTGACAAAGATGGTAAAACTGTGCTGTCATATGCTCCTCCTCCACTGCAATCTGAACCACACTCATTGGAACAACTTCCACCACTCCCTCCATGCCCACCACCAGAGCCACAGCCACTGGAACATCCTGCACCTGACCCAGATTTTGCTGTATAACCTCTTGCATTCCCATCTATTTTAGCCCGTTTTGCAAATTCTAATACCCTACCCATTACATTTCCAGATTTCTCAATATATCCATGAGCAGTACCTTCCATACGAAATACGTCAGTGAATACTGCAATGCTTCTGTTTACATTGTACTGATTATTGGAATCAACTAAGCTGAAATACCCACCATACATGGTAGTAAATGTAAGGAAGTGATAGTTTCCAGCATGTGGGGCTACTATAGAACAACTGGACTGCCCATTTGCCATTAAATATGTATGACCGCGAGAATACCAGTGTCCAACCCCAACAATATAACCTTCATTATGGACATACTGTTCAATATATGTTGTAGTGGGAAAGTTCACTGTTCCATATATGTACAGGGAAGACTGTATGTATGTGAGCATTTTATCTTGAGCAATATCCAGTGTGACTCCAGTATTAATTCTAAGTGCACCTGTACCATCTCCACCTATGTGTTCAACTATGGTGTCCTATAAATGCAATAAAAACCTTAAAATTAACATTTATCTTGAAACAAAAATTTGTTTGTTTGTTTTGTTTTATTGGGATTTATGTCACACCAACACAGAATAGGTTATATGGTGACTTTCTAGCTTTTACTAGTGGAGGAAGACCTCAGGTGCCTTTCTGTACAATATTTCAAGCACAAATGGGCACCAAGCTGAGTGGAACCACGGACTTCCCGTAAGCTAGCTTAAAACAAAAATAAGAATAACTTTCGGTTTTAACTGCTTGAATGAAGTATGAGAAACTTTTTATGGAAATTTTGAATTTGACTTATTCTTTATATTTACATAATCTGATTTTATAGTTCTCCTGAATTTTAAATTTACATGCGTTACAATACAATAGGACATAACTAACAATTTATTCATTCACAAATTTCCTTCTTCAAAAATTACCTTTGTAGGATAAACACATGCTTGTCTCATAGGATGGAAGTGATTTATGCTGGTTTCATCAATATAAACAGGATATTTCCCACAGTCTAAAGACCTCATTCCATTGTCAACCCACAGGTGAGTTGTTACATCTGACCCTGTTGTAGATTTTATCCATACTGTTCCTGGTGAGCCATGATAGGTGGCGCTATTTCCACCGAGAGCGATAAATGAGCCTAGGAATCTTAGAGACTCTAAGAGATACGCACAGATTCTACCTCCTGATCCCCCACCATTTCCTGTAATCAATGTTGATGTATATATATACATGTCATGCTTTAATTTTTAAATAGACTTACTCCGGAATTAAGAATATTTGGTTTTTTCCCAGCTAATCCATAGGTACAAACAAACTTTTTACAGTTACAGCTTCGAAAATTAGTGAAACAGGTTTACTTATCTATTGTGACGTTCAGTGCATCGTGAAGCTATAATGGTTAAAGTTAGTTTGTACCTACAGATTAGCTGGGAAAAACCCACATTTGCCTAGTTCCGGATAACATCTATAAGGTAGAAATTTTCTATTTTCCTAAATTTTACTAACACTAAAATGGATGATTTATATTTTACTTAAAAAATGTATTAGTTTTTCTATTTTATTAACACTTAAATCGAAATTTTCTATGTTTTTTTTTAAAATGAGGTACTGGTTGGGGACCACCAAAACTGGACAACCACCTAACCCGGACGGTCCCAAAAATGCTTAATTTAGTTTTTTTTCTTTGTTCATTGGTTGTCGATCTATCAGACACTTTTCTTAAGAACAATAAATGCATGTTTTTTCTATAAATAAGTAATTAAATTTATTTCAACAGTGATATTTCAATGTCGTTCAAGAATGTTGATGTTGAAAATTTGGGCATTAAGAGTGCAATACCTGACCTGACATACCAGCTATAATCATTTGCAGAGTAAACAAAAGAATATCCAAAACTTTAGCAATTGCTGCTGAAATATTGTTTATCATGTTTATAATGAAAAATTAAAATACCCAAGCATTTAACAGAATTAAATCACATCATACACATATCTGTCTGGACACATGGTACTGTAGTGTAGACAATTTAGGTAATTTTGATACCCTCCTTAACGAGCCTCAGATATAAGTATCAATATAATCTAGTTTGTTAGTTAGGAGAAGAACCTAGCTGTACTGTGTCAAATTTTCAGGTCTCTCTGTTTGAAATTATGAAATCTGTATGAAAAAAATGTTCAAAAGTGTCTGGTTGATGGTCCCAACCAGTATAGTTTTCTATCTAATTTTCAATTTCTAAAGTAACTAATATGAGAGGAACACACGATAACTTCGGAACAAGTAAGGAATATTTATTAACAAGAGCGATCAGTAATCACATGTGTCGCCTCATGATGGCCAATTTCATGTTGGGACAAATTTTGTGACAGACGGACAGACAGACGGACAGTGCACAACTAGACTAACAACTTTGTACTGATCATTCCTGTAAAGTTTGGATAAAATTGCACCAGTAGTTTATGAGGAGTAGTCCGGACAAGCTTTTGTGTATCTGGCAACACACAGAAAAAAACACCTTTTTATCAAAGGGCCATAACTCGGCCAAAAATCATTCAACCAGAAAACCCGTGCAATATGCGCAAGGACTTGAGCTACAGATCAATCCTGTAAAGTTTCATTGAAATTGCATAAGTGGTATAAGAAAAGTAGTCTGGACAAACTTTAAAAATAAAAATTGTTAAAGGGCCATAACTGAAACAAAAATCATTGAACCAGAAAATGCTGACAATATGCACAACTAGACTTGGTACTGATCATTCGTGTAAAGTTTTGGATGAAATTGCACCAGTAGTTTATGAGGAGTAGTCCGGACAAGCTTTTGTGTATCTGGCAACACACAGAAAAAGAAACCTTTTTATCAAAGGGCCATAACTCGGCCAAAATCATTCAACCGGAAAAACCCGTGCATATGCGCAAGGACTTGAGCTACAGATCAATCCTGTAAAGTTTCATTGAAATTGCATTAGTGGTATAAGAGAAGTAGTCCGGACAAACTTTAAAATTAAAAATTATTAAAGGGCCATAACTCTGACAAAAATCATTGAACCGGAAAATGCTGACAATATGCACAACTAGACTTGGTACTGATCATTCCTGTAAAGTTTGGATGAAATTGCACCAGTAGTTTATGAGGAGTAGTCCGGACAATTTTTGTGACGGACGGACGGACAGACAGACGGACGGACAGACAGACGGACGGACAGACAGACGACGGAGAAGTGATCCCTATATGTCGCCACTACTCCGTAGAGGCGACACAAAAACCTAGCTCTTCTACTTTTGGGTATGCACATACATGTATGTATAATAACCCTTTTCAATTTTGTTTTAACAATGAGGTAAACTTCCTATTTTGTTAAGAAAGATGTTCAGACTATTTTACTTATGCTAAGACAGATATTTTCAATTTTACTAAAAAAGAAGGTAGTTTTACTATAAAAGATGGTAGAAATGATCTACACTGTATTTCAAAAAATTTGATATAAATTTCAATTTTACTGGCTCAGAGACTGCAATTTTCTCTTTGACTAAGTATAAGAAACTTTTTAATAACTCTGAGAATGAATTTATCAAGTATGTTTCCATGACAACAAATACGATATTCAAATTCTATATGTAGTTACCATGATGCTGAGAAAGAACTTTATATTTACTACAAATTGCGAACAAAAGAAATAATGAAAAGCATATATAAAAATTTTAAATAACATCTGCTTCATATATATGTTCATAAAAATAAACCTTTAATGTTTACTCACCAACAATTACATTATTGTATTTTCCAGTTGATGCAGAACCACCAATGCTTGAGAAGATTCCTCGTCCTACAAGTGTACTAGCCTTGACCTTGATTGTACCACCACTTCCACCACCACCTCTATAATTACCAGCTAGACCAGCTTCTCCATTCACAGATATGGTACCATACAGTGTTAGTCGCTTAAATTGTAAATTTTTTGCAATATCAATCATGTGTCAATAATGAAATAGTAATATCTGTCATGGGGATGTTCAAATCTGAACACCAAAAGCATGTCAGACATTATTCTTGCAAATATTACCGTTGTTTAAATTGTTAATTTTAAAGTAATTTTTCAAGAAAATTAATGTCATTTCATCCACTGTATTATTGTCTTACAGTAGCATATGAGCTTACAACCTCAATCATAACCACAATATGTAGTCTTATACTAAGTTTGCAGTTTATTCCTAAAATGCACAGAAATATGTATAGGTATATAAGAATACCAACATATCTTGTAGGATTCATATTTCTATTGTAACAAAAAAAGAAGGAAACTTACAGTCCCAGCATTGATTTCTATGTAACTTCCTCCTGCACCCCCATGTTCACCACCACCTCCACTGCCATAATGAAACCCATCACAGTTTGTTGTTCCATAGTATGATCCTCCTACTGCCCCATGTTGGCTACTGCCACCTGGATGACAGATTGAATTATACATTGTGTTTGAGAAGCAATTTAATTGAACATTGAATATTTATTATCATTAAAGGACCTCCACTAAGGTCCAAAAGCCTAAAAGTATAAAATTTGAACTTCTTACATTATGATCGACAGGGTCATATAAAACCGAAAGATTTGCAAAAGATAATAAAGAATCGTACACAGAAATATATTAAAAATCACATGTGGGATATTCTTAGCCAGATTTGATTGAAATGCCTTGCATAATAGACTTTTCAATTTTGGGACATTTTTCACATTAAGAATTATTATTATTCCACAGCAAAAAATCTGAAATTTTGCACCTATAACCTAAAAAGTCTTTAAAACTTATTAGTATAAAATAAAATTAGTAAGATCTAAGCATCATATAGCTTTCTTGAAGTTAGAACATTTAATGATAGGATTAGAAGGAAGAAAACAACATTACCTTTACTGGCAAGCCCGCCTCCACTAGCATCATAAGAACTTGCAACTCCTTTCCCAGGTCCTATAGCTTTCTCATATCCTTGACCTGTGCCATCAATAAGTCCTCCATATTCCACATCTAGATCTGCTGTTTCCAAGGTAACCCTTTGAGTTTTTGCTGCTAGTTTTCCACCATTACGTACAGTCAACAGTCCTGACATTATCGTTACATGATAGGGATTCATATTTGTTGTAAATAAACCTTTATAGTTTATTGATATTATAGCAACATCAAATATACCAGGAGTAGGTGTTTGCAATATTCCAAACTTAAAATCTGTAACAGCTAGAGTAGAGGCATCATTATCAATAATAAATTCAGCATTCCTTTCAATTATTAGTTCCTCAACGTTGATCATCGTTCCGCCGAGGATGGTTTTCTCTGTTAGCATGACAACTGTAGAAGGCAGAATTATTTCACCATCTTTGTCGACATGGAAACCACATGGAGTATCCAGATACGTATGAGTGGATTCTACATAATGTATCATCAACTGTTGATTATTTTGTACCCTAATCATGCCCTGTTTGTTGCCTGTTAACTCGTGAATTTTCACCTGTACAACGTGAACAGTGCGAGGATGGTAAAAATGAACATAGCTGTAACCTTCTACTTGTACTTCTTCAAACTCATAATACATACTATCTGTCTCCATGACAACAGCTGGGTTGGTAGTTTTCAAGTTAAAATTCTCAACAGTAAGTTTTCTGTGTTCTGGTTCTATTAAAGTTCTGTTTAGTCTAGGATTGTATTTAAGTTCACGATATTGTGGACCTCTATTTGACTCAAACTTGTATATTGTTCCTGGACCACCTGCATTTTGTGCATCATTTTTGCCACTTGTGCCTCCATGCGAGAGATATTTACCAGCATATAGATTAAAACTTTCTATATGAGCAGCAATTCTACCTCCACTTCCGCCATATCCTGTTCCACTACCATCTCCCCCTGAAACATCCAATGTGCCATAACCTGACATGTTGTAGGCCTTTATGAAGATTGTTCCACCACTACCACCACCTCCGTTACTACTGGCATCTTGTCCATATGCATCCACAATGCCATCAATATGGAATGACTTTCCTATCGTAAAGTTCAACGAAGCCTCCTCCAGATCCTCCTGTGGAAATACCGCCACCACCACTGCCAAGATTAATAGGATCAAACACTGAACCATAAGCTTTGTAGTCATCAGCACCACCTCCAACTCCACCATAACTTCCTCCCATATTCCCAATACCTTTTCCAGGTCCATCTTCAGCTTTAAAACCTTTACCTTCAAGACTAAACTTGCTGTTTGATTCCAAATCAACATCCCCAGCTACCACATAACCATGATTCATTAATACCAATCCACCATATTTAAGTTCAAGGAAAGCAGCACCAATTGTAATGTCTGATAATATTTTTCTAAATTCCAAAATTCCATCCATTCTTATATTAATTGTCGGCAATTCGAACTGACCAGGCTTTGTGACATCAATATACTCTTCATCTTGAAGTTGAGCAGTTGTAGCCTCACTGAGTACAGTAAGTGTACATCCATCCTCGATATATAAATGGTGCACGCCTACTATCAGGCCATTAAGGGTAGTGTTAATCCCTTGCATATGAACTTCTGTTGGAAAGATAACTTCAGCTCCCTGATCTATAATGTAACTTACAGGAGCTTCGGTGACATTTGTTTCTGATTCCACATATTCTATGTATATTATTTGTTTTGATCTGATGTGAACTTGGCCTGAGCGATCCCCAATAAATCTGTGTATGGTAACATTGACAATGTTGTTTTCAGGGTGATAAAATAATACCCTTACGAATCCATCAACTTGCATTTCATCTAGTTCATATACAGCTGTTTCATTTTCCATTACCATGGTAGGTACTGGAGACTTAATGCCCTTATTATCCATGTGTAAGTATCTACAAAGATAAATTTAATATATACCGGAAATACTCAATGTAATTCATAACCCCATCAATGTCTTTGATAGAAATTGGCTATGATAAGTGGGAAAGGGGGTAGCTTAAGGACATTTAAAAGTCATTTCTAAAGCCAAAAGAAAGATATAATTGTACAGATAATAGTATTAAAAAAATTGATATCTCAAATTAGGTTTGAAACAGGTCATAATAAACTTTGATTGTACCAATTAGGTACTATAACACTATTATAAAAGCTTTATCAAAATGCCTTAAAAAGATGTGAAATCTGGTCTGCTGTTTAAGCTCGTGATCTTTCAGATATGTTTCAAATATAAAGTCAACCTTGTTTCAATGATAATCAAGAAAATGGAAATTTCAGACTTTTAAGACTTTACAAGCATTTTATTTTCAAAACTTAACTATTTTATAAATTATTTTAAATTTTCAGCCACATGAGGGCTTTATCAAACATTTTTGGTTAGCAAACAAAATTTCAACAAACCTGTGATCGACCTCAAAGTAAGTGATATTTGATCCTTTCATGTATTTTAGTATCCTGTACTCTAAAGGTCTCCTATTGTTTTTCACATAAGTTGTGCCTGCTGCCCCTGCATGACTGTGCTTGGTATCTATGGTACCACCTATACCACCTTCATTCAAAAATGAACCACCATACCAATATCTCCACTGAAATCAAATGTGCAATGATTCTTATTTTGAATCATACCCCATTGGATACACCACTGGTTAAAATATTTAAGCAGAACATTGGGAAAAAAATTCTGTTTCGTACAAAAAAATCAAAAACAATTTATCGATTCTTAGCAGTAAAAGCAAGATATTAAGTAACAAAAATTAAAAAGACAGCATCATGTATCTTAATGAAGTGCAAATTAAGTTGAACCTACTGTCCAGTGAATTCATTGGCTGAAAGTGTCAGTTATGTTTTCAACACAAAGTTATCACATATTAACATATGCATAATTTAATAAAACATTTAGCTAATGCTTTCAAAAGTTGATATTTCCAATCAGATGATTTACTATTACTGTTTTGCAAATGTAAAATGTGTACTTAAAAACATATCAATCAAAAGGTCTGCTTTTAAATGCAATTAATTTCTATAGAACTAGCAAACCTTGCCTTAATAAGGTTAAATCAAAATATCTATATACCAAAAATATTTATGATAATTCTTTCAAGAAAAAGTTTGAACTCTTACTTCACAATGTATAGCAGCTCTGCCACCTGAACCTCCGCCCCCTTTACCAGAACCATCCCCACCTGCTGTATCAATTATCCCATGTCCAGTAAAGTTCATTGTCTCAATGAGCAGGGAACCACCACTGCCTCCCCCTGCATTATTTCCTATTCCATTGGTTCCCTGTAGAGCAAGTAGACCATGCAGTTCAAAGTAATGGCTATTTATCCAGTGTAAAACTCCTCCACCACTACCGCCTTTTCCTCCACCATTTCCACCACCACTGCCATCCTTTTTCGGTATCAAGATGCTGCCATATGGATGAGGTGCAATTGTAGGATCAGGTCCACCACCGTAACCGCCATGAGCACCACCATATCCTACACCAGACCTGGTAAAACCACCACCAAACCCTGCCTCTGCAGCTGACCCATGTCCATTTAGATGGAATACACCTTCACTTTCAATCCATGAGTAAGTGCTATTAATTTTTGCAGCATTCATGTATAGATTTCCTTGATATTTGACCTTGATTTCACTAATTTCTAAACTGAACTCTTCAATATCTAAAAATCCAGCATATCCATTTCTTTTAATGTGTAGTTGATCCCATGCAAAATGACTAGGATTTGTAGCTCTGAAATGTTCTCCATTTTCAAGGAATGATGTGTTTCCTGTACTTTTGAATTCAGCTCTTGCAGCATCTTCAATATATAAACTATGCACTCCAGTTATAAGACCAGCAAATGTGCTATTTGTTCCATGAATATGTACTTCAGATGGAAAAACAATTTCTGAATTATCATAAATAATGTAACTTACAGGAGCCTCTGTAATGTTGGAGATAGATTCAATGTATTCTACCCATGCTCTTTGATATTCCCTAACGTGTAGAGTACCAGTTTTGTCTCCTATGAATTTATGAGCTACAAGTTCTACAAAGTATGTATTAGAGCAGTTGTATAAAGACTCATTTACACTTGGAACATCACCTGAGCAATATTCTATCCAGGTGAAAGTAGATCCGGTTGGAACTGGTATTGAGCAATTGTATATCCATGTGACTGTCGAACCTGTGATTTCCATTTCATCAAACTCATAGCATTTCATTGGAGGGTCCTGTATTAATGTAGGGGCAGGGCTGTACTTCAGACGATTATCAGAATGAATCATTTTGTGGTCTACATCAAGAAAAGTGGTATTGTGCACTGGGTCATACTTCTTATGACGATATTCAAGTTCTCTCAAGTTCTCTTCTTTGTAAGTAGTACCTGAGGCACCAGCATGTTTACTTCTGTAACTTCCAGAACCATCTCCCCCGTAATTAAGATACTGACCACCATAGGAGTAACGCATTTCACATCTGATTGATATTCTTCCACCTGAACCTCCACCACCTTTCCCTATACCATTTCCTCCATTAACCGCCATTATCCCATGTCCTGTTATATTTGTTGCATACATTAAAATGCTCCCACCACTACCACCACCAGCATTCCCACCAACTCCATTAGAACCTGCCACAGTCAAATATCCATTGATTTCTATCAAGTCACCAGCATCCCATTCTAAATATCCTCCTCCTGATCCCCCAACACCACCCCCATTGCCTCCGCCACTTCCTGCTTCAAGAGGTGTTTTGTGGGAGTTGTACGGGTATCCACCAAAATTGGGGTCTGGACCCCCACCGTAGCCTCCATGCCCAGCACCTAGACCTGTCCCATCTGATAGTGTGAAACCTGCACCAGGACCAGTTTCTGGTGTATATCCAACACCAAACATATTTAGTTCACCTTTGCTTTCAATGTGCCCGTATGCAGAAATAACCTTTACAAAGTTCATGTAAAGCAGTGCTTGGTATTTCACATAGAATTCTGCCACATTTATTACACAAACTTTTTTTATGTCTCTAAACCTAGCTACTGCTCCAGCCATTACTCTTAGTATTCCAAATGTGAAGTTTCCATGTTCAGTCTCCATTACATATTCTCTGTTTTCCATACGAGCTGTTTGGCCTGTTGCCATAAACAAGCTTGAGCCGCCTCGGATCATCATATCCTCAACACCTGTTATTTTACCTGCCATAACAGTTCTACTTCCAAGAAGATTAGTTGTGGTAGGCAGAAAAATTTCGGAACCATTATCAATTCTAAAGCTACATGGTGCTATTGTTTCGTTAGAAACTGATTCAACAATCTCTACATATAACCTTTGCCCTTCCCTTATTCTCACCACTCCAGTTCTGTCACCATGGAAAAGATGTATCCAAACTTCAACTGCATAACGGTCTCTTTCATTTGTACCAATTGGATACTCAATCAAGAGGTTAGAATGACCTTCAAGCATTGCTTCATCAAATTCATATTCTTTATCTGCTTCTTCAAACAGCACTGTGTACAGCCATGGTTCTTTGTGGTCTACATACAGATGACTGTCCAAATCATCATTATTTATTTCCAACCTACCATGTTCCGCTGTAATGATTTCCTTTCCAGTAACATTATCATACTTAATATCTTCATATTGTAGTCCTCTAGCATTTTCTTGTAGATATACTGTGCCAGCTGCCCCAGATGGTAAACTTCCACTTCCTCGTCCTCCAACCACATTCAGCCTGCCAATAAAACGATTTGAGAAATTAATATGCACAGCAATCCTCCCACCAGATCCACCACCACCATTTCCCTTTCCTGCACCTCCATGACAGTCTACATGACCGAATCCAGTGAAGTTCATAGTTTCTATAAATATCCCACCACCACTTCCTCCTCCACCATTACCACTTTTACCAGCTTCCCCTTCAAGTGAAATTTCTCCATCAATCCAAAGCGTTTCTCCAATTTCCCATCTAAGATAACCACCACCTCTTCCACCTTCTCCATTACCATTACCTCCTCCACTTCCAGGATGAGTTGGTCTGTAAACTGAATCATGTGGCTTTTCCTTTACCATTTCAGGATTAACAGGTTCTGGGGCACCACCATGACCTCCATGAGCCCCACCATGACCATTGCTACCACTACTACCCCCAGCTCCAATGCCATTCGCTGCACTATGACCCTGAAAATCTATGTTTAGCAAGCCAAGACTTTCGACTACACCATTTGCTGAAAAGATAGTACCCTTATTCATCCACATTAGTCCCTCATACTTAATGCTAAGTTTAATGAGATTAAGAACAAGATTAAGTCCAGGATTCTCTGTGAAAGTCACTTCTGAGCCTCGCTGTATTGTAAGATGACTCAGACTTATGTTTCCTGGTTTTGTCTCATGAACATATTTGCCTGCTTCAATAAGAGCAGTTCTGGAGGTAGAAGTGAACTTACAATTTGCCCCTTCAGCAATTGTGAGATTTTGTACCATAGTCATGAGACCATTCATGTCTGACCGTGTTCCTAGAATAATTGTAGTTGATGGTAATATTATCTCTGCATCTTTTTCAATCTTGTAGCTCACTGGGGCAACTGTGTAACCAGGTGTAGACTCCTCGTATTCCGAGTAAACTTTCTGATGTCCAATTAGATGCATTAAACCAGTTCTATCTCCATTAAACTTGTGAACTGTTAGTTCTGAATCATCGCCATCAATCCATAATACTGCATGATTTACAGCATCAACTTCATTAAATTCAAACTTGTATGGTTTTTGTCCTTCATCCATCATCACCATGGTTCCTAGAATCTTGTTTCTATTACTGTTATCTATCAAAAGGTAAGTGTAACCATCAAGGAATGTTTCAGTACCATTTACTTTGGTCACTTCCTTTTTATCAAGTCCAACATCATTAGAGTCAGTGGTATATACTGTTCCAGCAGCCCCATGTCTTGTTTCATCTGTTTTGTCAACATCACTCCCAGCATAACCACCATAGGCTATTAAATCTCCTGTGTACTCCCTGAACCATTTAACATGTACAGCTACCCTTCCTCCAGCACCCCCATATCCTGTTCCAAACCCACTACCTCCTGTTACATCGATGAGACCATGCCCTGAGAAGTTTTGTGTGACAACAAGCACACTACCACCACTTCCACCTCCACTGTTCAAGCCAGTTGCTGCTCCACCAAGGTTTACAACATTCCCGTCTAGATGGAAACCTTTAGATACTTTAACATCAATGCGACTTCCTCCCATGCCAGGCTTAAACCCACCACCTCTGCTTCCGGTGTGATGTGGCTTACTGTAAGACCCATATGGTTTACCTGTAAAAATTAATGACCTGATTGCAATATATGCTGATTGCATTGTATGTATCTATTATCTATTAACTTCTTTACTAAAAGTTTTTTACTTTTGACATTTTTTTCATTCTTAACAAATTTTGCAATTCTTAATATGGGTAAGTTATTGTAAAACCTACTTCTATCAAACAACGTTATCATGGTACCTCAAACTATTCTTAATATAATTTCTGACATTGTTATACACTATAAATCATGAAGCCTTACAGCTATGAAAACATGCACCTTTAAAACCACATATTTATGTGACATTTAGGAAACACAGTATGAATGGAATTCAAAAGTAATCAACCCAGCAAGCTTATTGTTGCTAATTTGAATCAGGCAATACAAACATCAAATCAAAGAAATAAACAGATTTGTAATAAATTTACACTTGTTCTGAGTAATTTAAATATTATTCCTCTTTCACTGAAGTTCATAAATTTACTTTCCATTAATAGGTATCAAATATTGTGTAACATACCAGAGTTGTAATTATCATGATCAGCCCCACCACCATAACCGCCATGACCAGCACCTAGACCCACACTGCTAACTACAGTAGTTAGATCGGCCGCATACTTCACATTGATTTCACCTCCTTGTGTATTTTCTACAGTTCCTTCTCCTCCACGTCCTACAAGTGCATGTACATGTATCTCATACAAGTGAGTAGTGTTTACTTTGTTACATATATTTAAAGATAATCCCACTTCATGGGTGACAGTGATCAAACATTTAAAAGGTAAATTCTGTTACATCAAACATTTCTATTTAATGCATACAAATAATTGATAAGAAATCAATATCAAAGCTTCATGTTTTAATTAATCATAGATTTTAATTTCAGCATAAAATAATTGGAATTTGGTCTTAGTGTTCTTAACATTCTATGTCCAGTTTTAATTTGGCCTTTTTTGTGTGTTTTATTTTGTTGTTAGTAATCTTAATCAGCTGCAGAGAATGTCCACTCTTTTATATTCAACAAAACAATATGAAGAAAATAATCATAGCATGGCTGTTTTGCAAAGTCCTGTACAGCTTTCTAGGTGCATTTTCTTTTAATGGAGATAAATTTATTATCAGCTGATCATTGTAGATCTACTGACAGCTTACATATATACATGCATATTTACCCTTCGCTAATCATTTAGAATAAAGGAAACCAGCTAAATATCACCAAGTTTACAATACAAATTGGTTTCTATGACCACCTCCTTTCAAACTTTTAAAGCCACACAGATTACAAAACTGGCCCACAATATAATAAATATCTCATAAAATATTAAATTACAATCAATATACCTGTAGTATCAAAGGTGGCCTCTCCTTCCATATGAATATTGCCTGCTATAACAGTTATTCTCTTTGCGAGGATTTTAGAATTGTACCTCATGTGAATATCTGAAGCCTCAAAGTTGAAATAGTCATCATGTCTGATAAGTGAGTCTGCTTGCATTGCAAGTCTTCCTATGCCTAGGACTCCTGGAAAAAACATGTTTTAGCCAATAATCATAAACTCACAAGCTGGTAAGATTTGGCATCTCAGATTCAAAAATTGGTTGATCAAAGATTAAAATAGATAAATATAAAATAAGGAATCTAATGACCTAAATTTATAGCTTGTCAGTCTACAAAATCAAAATTTTCTTGAAACAAAATGCCTTTATTTTTTAATCTTTACCTATCCTTATGTTTGGTCGAGTTTAAAGTCACTTTAACATAACACTATCAATACAGATTTAAATTTGGTTAGGGAACTCCCAAAAATGATCCTCTGAGCATCATTTCTATCATAAATGGAACCTTAGTAGAACCAATACCATTTTTTTGCAACCAGTCAGTTAGTTTCCTACCGTGAAATATTTCAAAATGCCTAGCTGCACAGGCAAAATTTAAAAGTAGCAGCAACAATAACAGGAAAATTATATTATGATAGTAATGTCATCCAGTCTGCAATTGTGGTTCATTAATTTATCTAATACCTCTGTACATTTGTCACTTCTTAACATATTTTTGAAAGACACTTTAACATACCATTTTCAAATGTTTCTAGCTTCCCGTTGATAATTCTTCCATTCGATGCCGAGTCAGAAATGTACATTTTCCGGTCCTCTTCTAGAGTTAGATTTAAAACACCAATTAACAAACCATCAAGCTAGAAGAAAAAGAAATGAAACTTCAAGTAAAACCATAAAACCATTTCATCAAGTTTTTTGACAATTGGCTTTTATTTAAGACTAGAACTCCGCGAGTCGGATGTGTCGCCTTGTCAACAATATAGTTTAGGACAAATGGCCAGGACAAAAATGAAATACAAAAACTAACAAAGGGCAATAACTCAAAAAATAATAAGTGCAGAGCAGCAGTTTCTATGCACTGCACCACTTCTTATCAATAAGATCTATCATTCTATGAAGTTTCAAGTCCATATCTTTTATAATTTATGAGAAATGGCCTGGTCAAAAATAAAGTATGAAAATATATAAAGGGTGAAAACTCAAAAATAAGAAATGCAGAGTACCGGTCCTTGTACATTGCAATTATTTTTAATGAGATCTATCATCCTATGAAGTTTCATGTGTATAGCTTTCATACTTGAGGAGAAATGACCTGGACAAAAATAAAGTATGAAAATTAACAAAGGGCCATAACTCAAAAAATAAGAAATGCAGAGTACCGGTTCTTGGCACTGCACTTCTTCTTAATGAGATCTATCATCCTATGAAGTTTCAAGTCCAAAGCTTTTATACTTTCGGAGAAATGGCCCGGACAAAAATAAAGTATGAAAATTAACAAAGGGCAATAATTAAAAATATAAGAAATGCTGAGTAACAGTTCTTGTGCATTGCACTTCTTCTTAAATGAGATCTATCATCCTATGAAGTTTTCAAGTCCATAGCTTTTATACATTAGTAGAAATGGCCCGGACAAAAATAAAGTATGAAAATTAACAAAGGGAAATAACTCAAAAATTAGGAAGTGCAATATCCAATTCTTGTGCAATGCACTTCTTCTTAATGAGATCTATCATTGTATGAAGTTTGAAAGTCCATAAGCTTTTATAGTTGAAGAGAAATGGCCGGACAAAATTTAAAGTATGAAAATTTACAAAGGGCAATAACTCAAAAATTAAGAAGTGCAGAGTACCGGTCCTTAAGCACTGCACTTTGTGTTATTGAAAGAAGCATGCATACCAAGTTTGAAGTCAATCCAACTTAAAGTGACTGAGTTATGCTCCGGACAAGCTTTAGGGGACGCCGACGCCGACAACTGCGTCGCCGACACCGACGCCGACACCGCCGACAAAAGTTATCCCTATATGTCACCTTTTCAGGCGACACAAAAAGTTGCCATTCAAGTTCTACTTAAAGACATTCTTATTTCAAATTGATTTTTTTCTTTATCAAAGTCTTACACATCCATAACTATGAAATGATTTCTATGAACCTTTGATTTCTTCTTACCAGATTTCTAACCTTGTTGAAGATTTATCAAAAAGATGCTTTTGCTAATCTTAAATACATACCTGGAAGGCAGGAACATGATTTCCAATGACCTTGAAATCTGAAGACAACCAGATCTGTGACCCTTGATCTATTTGGAAGTTAACTGGTGGTGTTGATCGTAGAATAGAGTATTGAGAATATTCCAGGTATGATGTTTGTCCACCTTTCATGTGTAAATATCCTGTCCTATCTCCCATCATTAGGTCAATGTTCACAGTAGTGATATTATCTTTTCCTGGACCTATTTCTAACATGGCCTGAAAAAGAGGTTTTATATACATATATTACATGATTTACTGACAAGTTGGTGTTCTGTTGTTCAATAAAATTCAGTTTTGTACTCAACAATGTACAATAACCTCTTATTTGATATCGATGCTGTATAAGTGATGAGAATTCATTACCTGTATGCAATTAACATCTGTCAATTATATAATTGATATAATATTAGCCTTATATTTGATTTAACATTAAAGTAAAAGAAGGTAACTGTTCATGACCAATTCAACCCAAATATACAGTGTACCACAGAAAAAGAAAGAGTGCCTTATATCTGCAATTTATTATAGAATGTCAAGTAAAGGGTGCAAACTGGTACCAATGTTTTATATATGACCTGCTGAATATCAATTGAAACAATCCCAGTAAAAATTAATTCTCATAACAACTGGTGGTGAAAAAAAGTTTAAACAAGTGACAGTTTCTCTGGTGGTCCTTTCTGCTAACTACATAATACCATCCCCCTCCTACCACCACAGTACAGTACAAGTCATGTTTATTTAGAAACTTATGCAGTGTAGAGGAAATTTCTGATCTAGAGATACAGGCTGAAAAGTTAAATATGAATTCGAGTAACAAAAATAACCACCATTACTTAAATCTCTCTCTTATTATTTCTGAAACCTGTACCAATCTCTAAGAATGATAATTTTTTTAAAAACTTACACGTTGACTGAGCATAACATGCTCAAAGTCAAGTTGAGCATTGTTTGACGTTTGTAAACCATCGGCTGCCTGTTTAATATGTCTGGGGTTTATTTCATTTATCACCAGGGGTTTAGGTACCTTCAAGTTTCGTCCATCTATGTATAGCCTATAGAGAAGAGAAGTATATTTATTAAAAAAGAAATTTAGGAAGTATCAATGTTTTCATTTTGCCATACAAGTCCTAATAATATTTTTTATGATATTTATCAAGTCTTGGTAACTATCTATAGTTAATAGTAATACAAGTGTTCTTTTTGTTGTTGTTGTTTTACATATATATATATATGAACATTAATTACTAATTTCCTTCTTTGAAAATAGTTGAAAATAGTTGAATATTAAGTAAACCAAACAATCGCACAGTTCTCATACAAAATTGTCAGAAAGATTTAAGTTCAAAACTTTCTTCTCTCAATAACATTTATTGAAATTAACCCTCACAATTCTTCTAAATGTATATTCTTCTAAATGTATATACATGTTACACTTAATATTCTAAATTGCTTTTTTGTTGCTGTTAGAGTATACATTAAATACCAAAAAATCATGTTGTGAAGGTGAGAAAACTAACAGTATTTGCCAATTAAATTCTAAACAAAAAGACATCAAACTCAACAAATATTGTGTTAAACTGAGTATTTATCCTAGCATAAAATTAACCCTGAACATGCTGAATATTTTAAATGGACTTGTCCCACTTCCATTTTTGGGACTGTCCATTATCAATTTTAGGGATATCAATTTGAATAATTAAAGTTTGTCAGCCAACAGTATAGAGCCTGGTCAGACTGCACGGACGTGCAGGCTGGCCTGGCTCTATACTGGTGGCAAAGGCTTAATGCTTTTGGTTCCAGCACTTTAAGGGTTAATGTATGAAACATGACAAGCATTAAACATCAAACCTGCTCTGGTATGTGTAAGCATCCAGCTTATCTTCTACAAAGACTGTGCCAGGCCCCCCTACATCACCATCAGTGGTACCACCTGAACCATAGGCCAGCAACTCCCCCTTGTAGAGGTTTGAATCCCAGGTATGGATGGCAATCCTTCCTCCAGCACCCCCACCTGCTGACCGGTCACCTTTACCACCAACAGATGACACTTTACCATGTCCTGACATGCCCCCTGGTTAAAAAAAAAAATCATAATAGACATAAAATTGTATTACTATTCAAGACTAGGGGTATATGACCCATATAAATTGGGTCAAAAAAATTTTTTGGGACAATTTATATCTCCGGGGAAAATAAAAATTTTATAACATAAAAATATAATTGAAAAATTTTATAACAATTAAATTTACACCTTATTCAATGAAGATTGAGCCCCACTTCCCCCTCCACTGCTTGTTCCACCATTTGCTCCATCTACTAGAATTTTACCATCCAATAAGAATTCAGCTGGTACCCGAATTTTTACTCTGCCTCCTCCACGCCCACCATTAGCTCCGCCCCCCACACTGCCAGTCTGACTTGGTTTATATATAGATCCATATGCAACTCCACCAACTGTAGGATCACCACCAACTAAGAAATGTAATAGGATATTGAAAGATAGACATAGGCAATGGAATCACATAAATTAAGGAGTTAGAATCCCTGTTACACTAAATATCTTTTAACATTTTTTGAATAAGTTCAATTATTATAAAATTATTCTTAATTAAAAACAGCTTACTGGTACATCATAATTTAGTTTCATTCAAAATGTATGAGTTTGAAAACAATTACACAATAAAGAACTAGCTTGTCATGAAATATGATATAAATTGCAGGCTGTCCAGCACCTTCTCACAAAAAATTAGGGCAAATTTTAGGGCAATTTTTAAAAAAAATTAGGGCTAAAATTAGGAATTTTAGGGTAAATAAAGGAAAATAGCCAATAAAAAATGGAAAGGGAAAAGTATGCTTTAGATTTATTTTAGCTATTTATTTATCAACATTTATACATTTTATGGAACAAGTCTTGATCTTTCTTAAAAAACAATAAAAACAATATGACCCACTCAAGTCATTTCCAGGAATATTTAAACTTAAATTCAAACAGCAGGGTATTCACCTATGAAGAATTTGTTTAAGACAATTAAACCAGGCTACTAAAAATTGTAGAAATTTCACAACAATGTCAGTTTTTTCAATGACTTTCAACAGTTTTTTTTTCCAGATTTTCAAAAACTTACACTATATGTTATAACATATGTTCAGTACATGTTAATGTGTACAAAAAGGGCAACTGGAGGTGTCACTTCTTAATACCCTAATTAGGTACCAAAAGGGTTTAAGCATCCAATCATTACTACCAGTTTACCTTACCCACTTTATAATTAGCAATGGAAACTTGTCTAGATCTGCCAGCTGGTATCACTTACAAAAGATCTGTTCTACAGTCACCACTTGAAAATAACTTGATTACAAATTCAGATTTTATTAGTAAGGACCCCTACATAAAGTTTGATGATATTTAGTAGTTTCATCATGTAAAGATTTGCTTTAAATACACCTGAGACTGAGGCAAATGGTAAAACTCTGTAGCCAATAAAAATGTAACTTCCTTGGAAAAATTTTTATCACAATTTTAAACAGGTGATTATTTTGATATAGTCAAAGTCTGACAATTTTCATTGTTCCATTTAAAACAAACAGTTATTATTTTTCTGATAACATCTGGTAATTAATCAAGTATGGCATTGAAGTAAATACAACATGTGACTTTATGCCATTTTAAGTCAGACATGACATCAACTCCACTGACTGAATTTGTGATTGAAATATGGTTGTTTCGCGATATGTTTATCACAAAAGATAAAAAAAATAGGAATTTAAGTTAAAAAATAGGGCTTTTTTAGGAATTCCCTTTGAATTTTTCATTTTTTTAGGAATTTTAGCCAAACTGAAAAAAATTAGGATTTTTTAGGAATTTTAGGGACGCTGGACAGCCTGAAATTGTAAAAAAATAAGCCGAAACGTGCAGCTTATCATCACTCATAACCCTTTAATGAGTTGGAATACTAATAAATGAGACCAAAATTGTTTAATTTTGGCTTTTACAGATAAATTAAATGCAACACATGTATATAATTATTCATCTGCTGTAACATAAAGTGCTTCGCATAAAAAATGTGTCATTTTATAAATATATTGTTTTTAAAGCAAAAGTCGGAAGTTCAAGAAATAAAAGATGGCACTCACATCCACCACCAACAGTGGCATGTCCAGCGCCAGCACCAATGTTTGGTGAGTCTCCAGTTTGAGATTCACGTGAAGTCCCTATACACACAAACTGAGCAAGAGGTTCCAGGTAGAAATCTGTGGCTAGAACTTGGAAGGAATCTGCCTTAAATCGCGAGTCGTATTTGATATCCTGTTAAAAATGATAAGGTTAAGTCAACTGTTCTTTTTTTTCATTTTATTGTTGTTGTTTTTTAATTTGAAACATCCAAATACAAAGAAAATAACAATTTTAAATCTTTTAAAAGAGGAATTATCCTTTAAAAAGAAGTTTTGAAATTGCATGTTACATATCTAAATAAATATGTTTTAAATCTTTTAAAAGAGGAATTATCTTTTAAAAAGAAGTTTTGAAATGGCATGTTACATATCTAAATAAATATGTATTTATTTTCTCAGATTATAAAAAGTAAAACACCCCTAGAACCCTCCCCAATGGCCCACCCCCAAGTAAAATATAAAAAAAAAATCTTTGCTTAAATGAACCAAATGTACCACTTAGTATAATAAATACAATAAAATTGTAATAAAATTTTCATAACAAAACATAAAATTACCAATATGCCAACTGTCAACAACAGTGGCATGGGTGGAGGCAATTCCATCAGAGCAGTGGCACCTAATTCCATAGATGCAAATTGGAATGCTCCTGGTATACCAACTATTAATTTACCATCCTCAATTAGACTCGTCATAGCTTGTCTTTCGATATTAATGACCCGTCCAGGGATGATCCTAATGTGACGCACACTGACCATTTCTCCATTCCATTTAAGAGCTATTTCCCCGAGGCCGAGGATATAGATGAGAGGTGAGAGGTACGCTCGAGCACCTTGGTCTATCCATAAGTTAATTGGTAGTTTAGTCAGTGTCTGGTACTCTTCTAAGAAAGCTGTCTGGTTGGCCTGTAAAAGACAGCTTATATCAATAGAACAGTCTAATGCTTAAATTCTAATGCCTAAATACCATAACAGTGTTCCTTATTTCTGACAGTCAATATCTTTTAAATATGTTGTTTGAAATGATATATCATCATCTTAGTGCAATAACTGATTAATTGCTGTTAAATTTAGGACTTATTATGTTCTTGTACTAAGGTGATCATTTATTCTCCATGAAAGATATTAATTGAAATAAATAAATTAATTAATATTAATAAAGTTCAACTGTACACAATGAAAAAATCATATGATAGACCAGAGTTTTCCGCCTTCTTTAGATTTCTTGTAAACTTACAGACCCATTCCCAAATGCAAAAATTTCCACTTTTTCCTAAAATGGAGTATGCAAAATTCCCAATCACTATTGTAATTAATGATCGTCTAATATGGCTGTTGTTGTGAAAACTGTTATTCATAATTTATCTAAACAGCTTAATTTTCTCAGTAAGCCCACCCAGACTTGTTCCCAAAACCATAACTTACCCTTAAATAAACTCTTCCTGAAGCATCACCGAAAATCTTGTTACATGTTAGGTTTCTCAGTAAATTGTCTCCAGATTTTAGTTGAACTGACGCGTTCCGGGTTATATAAATCTCGTCAAAGTAGTAATTATCCTTGGAGGCGCCATTATCTATTTCATCAAGTATGTACTGATGATCCCATGACCTTCCTTTATTGTCTATATGAAGTTGTTCATATTTTCGAGAATATCTAAAATTTAATTTAAAAAGTTTACCAAAATTGCAAATTTGTTGAAAAAACATATTCATGAAAAGTATTTGCTATCAGGCTTTAATTTTAAATTTCTACAGCAAGAGTGATTTGCCTACCAGTATAGAGCCAGTCTAGGTAATTGAGTTTTCCTAACACACTATAGTACACTATACAATTGGCTACTCACAGACTTCTGTCATTTTGATTTCAATATCCGGGTCCATCTTCTAAACATTAGTGAAGAACATTTACATTACATTTGAAAACACCAGTTCACAAATTTAGCATGGTATCATATGGTTGAATATATAATCTCAAATTTGTCTTAAAAAAGACTATAAAATATGTGACAATGAGATAAATAAAGCAATAAACACATGTACTATAACTTAGGCACTAAGTAGAATTATGTTATAAAGGTATTAAATTCATCAACTAAAATGTAGAGGATATTTGTTTGTTTTTGAATACAAGATTTATATATTTTACAAAGTGAAAACCAGATGTAATATTTTCAAGAATGGCATAATTATGAGCGAAAATATAAGAGCTGGCATTCAGAAGCAAAATATAATTTGATCTTACATAAAAAAGAAACAAATTTTCTACTTATTTCATGTCTTTTAGGGGTTTTAAAATATTTTTTATTACTGATTTATAATAGCAATGATCCGACATCTGGTCTCATTTATGACATCATCAAATGTTAAAAAGTAATTCTGTAAAATTGTACAAATTTTGTAACAGTTTTAAAATCGTATTTGCAGATATTTATGTGCCTCTTGTTATGAAGCACATCAGAGTCTATTTTTAACAATATTTCCACCTTTTTAAGAAATATTCTTTTGCTCCACATTCAGATAATAGTCCTGCTAAAGTGAAAAACATTTTATAATTTCACTGTGAAATTATCAAAATATAACTTTCACTATTCACTGAAAAGCATGTAATACTTATAACATCTTAAAATAACATCTTTCAAAAATATCTCACAGCCTATCTAATTTATTACTCAAGTAGGTTTGTTTCAAGCAGTTGGAAATTTCTGGTGTGCTGGCTATCTCTGATCCTGTATGCAGAATTATGTCTTAGAACTTGTGTGTTTAACCACAGATACAGCTTCACAAATTATAGGTAAAAATTAAGACAGTCAAACCTTGTATCCTGTATGTAGACAGAACCAGGTCCACCTTGTGAGAGATATTGTCCATTACCATCCCCACCAAGAGACTGATATTTTCCATGGTAATACACCTGTGTATCAAGATACACTGCAATTCTACCCCCTGCTCCTCCACTGTAACCATCCCCACCCTGTGATTGTATGACACCATGACCTTCAAGGTTGATCGACCTGTGACACAAGAAAAATATATATTTTTAAATGAAAAAGAAACATGAATACAACTATCTTATAATATATATTTATATTTTACAGACCACTGTTTTTCTCAGTAAAAGAAATAGAAAGTTTTAACTTAAAAATCCTTGCTAAGAGTGACATTATGCTCATTTTTTCATTCTCAAGTTGAGCTGAATTGACTATATATATCTATGATGGTGATTGAAAAGATAAATTATACAGCTGAAATAAAATATACAAAGACTATCCCACTCTTTTTATAAACTGAACGTTACTGGTAAATGCTGATAGATATTTATTGAAATTTTCTTTGATCACACGAGTTATTTACAGTGAAGTTAATTATATATTTAAAAGGAAACATGGCAAAATGTACTTATTTTGACATTTTCCTGTTTACTCACTATGTACCCTTGAATGGACATGTCACTTAAACTTGGAAACCAAGAGAAGTCAAGAAGAATACTAGCATTTAAATTGATAAAGTGCCTCAAGTCCAAGAACAAGGTTGAATTACTTTTAAGATATGAAAACAGCTGTAAACATACTCAATGAAAATAGTTCCACCACTACCACCACCAGATTTACCACTTATACTGCCATGTGAGCCATCCACTGATATTGTACCATCTACAAGAAGGTCTGTAGCCACCTAAAATGTCATTCATAATGAAGTTATCAATAAACATTCTCTTTATTTGATTCCAGTAACAGTATTGACATACTAAAGCCACTAGCCTTGCCTACACATGCATGAAATCTGACCAGACAATATACTAATGGCTTTCAAAAATCCCTTCCATTTAGTGTCTAAACAAAATGATGTCAATTTTACAAATTTTGGAAGGTAAGGGTTAAAAAGTCAACATTAAAGCAGCATGTCTCAGGATTCATGCAAATTGTCATGAAAATTTTGAAAAAGTATTTTAAAGTAAAACATTGTAAAATGAACAAATTAAGTAATTTACACATTGCAAACAGCCCTAACAATTAAAACATGTACATGTAAATTTCCGATAAAGAGGTCAAAAAAGCAAAAATAGCAATTACTGCATTAGTCACGCACTAGAAATATGGTGATAAAGACCCCAAAATCAATACTTAGTTGTACATGTACATAACATGTAAATTGTTGTTTGTTTACTTTTCTTAAAGTAGTAGTAAGTTTAATTTTTTCAGAAATATTTTGGCCCATCCGGAGGCATTCACCTTTAAGATGACTACAAGACATGTACCTTAAGTTTAATGACACCTCCACCAGTGCCACTGGGACTGTTTACTCCAGATCCACCTTTACTACCTCTGTGTTTAGGTAGGTACAGACTGCCGTAATAGTTTCCTCCTCCAGTTATCACTGACAGATCACTGCTGTACAACCCTTAAATATTGATAAAAATAGTGTTTATATGCCCTGTAATCTGTACACACATGACTGGAAGAGTAGCTTCAAGCTTACAATATAATTATAACAAATTCTCTATCTAAAGCAATAAGACAACTATGCAAATCCATGAAATATAAGTAGAAAATATGGGTAAATATCTATAAAACCTTAAAAATTATAACGATATATAACAAATATATAGGTTAATTTATATCATTCAAAACCCTTTGTGTTTCAATCAAACATTATTTTTGACCATATAAATCTGGTCACTATTTAAATACTAAAAAAAACAAACCCAAAAAACACTAATTAAATCACTTACCTCCACCCATTGAAGCATAGCCTCCACCTGTAGCACCATTTCCTCCAGTTGAATCTCCTCCCTTGCCCAACTGTTCATCTAATGTATCCTGTGGTCTATATATAGCCGATGACGTCAATGTAGCCCCAGCTTCTATGTTCAGTATACCACATTCTATTGTAATGCTCTCTGCTGAGATTTTAGACTGGTATCTTGCATCAATTTTAGCAATCTTTTGTAACACAGTCTTATCTGGGGAATACTTTATCTCAGAGTAACTTCTCAAATCAAGCGTTCCGAATATAACAGTTCCTTCTGGCTGAATGTTTGAATAGGTCTGAGTATCTGCATCAATACCTGCTGTGTGAGCATGATCTCCAAAATAAAGCAAGGTTTCAAACCCAAGAATCATGTCTGCTATTCCAGTCAGTCTCCCAAACATAGCTAAAGACCTAGACTCAGTCTGGCCAGTCATCAAGACTCCTTCACCATAAACATACATTATAGATGGGAAAAATACTTCTGATTCATAATCAATAATGAAGTTTACTGCAGTAAGGAATGCATTTCTTATCAAAGGTCTGTATTCCGCCTTCAAGACCTGGTTTTTATGCACTTGAATTAAACCTGTACCATCTCCAAACACCTTGTCAACTTCCAGTAAAGATTTCCTGTTATCTTCCACCATGTGGACTGTAGCTTTATTCACAAGATGCATTTCATCAAAGTAATGGTAGGTAAAACTTTCATCTATAGTTGCATATTTGTCCCAAGGTCTACCATGGTTGTCAAGTAGAAGACGCTTGTATGCTCTGGATGACCTAATATCCTCTAGATAGACTGTGCCACCTCCTGCACTCTGTAAATCATTTGCCCCAATCCCTCCATACATTATGTAGTTTCCCTCAAATTCAATTACAAGAGTACAATTAACTGCTACCCTTCCTCCTGATCCAGCACCATTGCTACTCCAGCCTGCTCCACCTATGACAGAAATCTTTCCATATCCTTCAAACTCATAAACTTCAATAAGAACACTTCCCCCACTACCTCCTCCACCATTTGATGTAGCCTTTGCACCATCTGCTGAAATGGTACCATCATTTATCAATAGGTTTCCGATCTTTGTATGTATCCAACCCCCTCCCATACCTCCAGTTTTTTCTTTAGTTATAACATTATAAGTCCCCCTGCTACCAGCACTTGTTGGTCTATACAATGAGTTGTATGATGTTCCATAGACAGTTTTTTCACCACCAGAGACTGCTGCATGACTTGCCCCTCCATTGTAACCATTGTTTGGCTTTCCAGACCCTGTGGTAACATCCATGGTGTTGGAATTTGGCCTGTTTGGGCTTGAACAGCTAAGACTGCTCTCAAGTTCAAGATCCAAGTTAGATGCAGTTATGTTAAAGTAGTCAGCATATATTCTGGCAGAGAATTTCAGATTAATATTACTTGCTCTCATTTTAGCTCCAGTGTTAGATTCATATTCAACAAAACTGTCAGGCTCTAGCTGAAGTGTTCCAAAGTTAACATAATCAATAGTTGACAGATCAGTTGCTGTAAAGGTCACTATCTTAGCTTTAGATCCAATTTTCATTTTTCTTCCCGGGCCAAGATAAAGATTAGAGGCACCTCTGAGAATACCATTCAAGTCCAGGGCAACTTTACCTAGACCAAGGATAGTGACTGTTTCAGACATGATGAATTCTCCTCCATTATGAAGTTCCAAGTTGATCCTCAATTTAGAGTTAGCTTTTGTATCAGTTATTGACCTTTCAAGAGTTCCTGTTTGATCAGCTTGAATTCTTATCAAACCTGTCCCATCTCCATTTACTTTCATGACATTCAATTTCCTTGTTTTTCCATCTTTATTTAACTGAAGTTTGGCATTGTTATAAATATCTACAAGATCAAAATTGAGATCCAAAGTAGTTTCATTTAATGTAGTGTAATAGTCAGTCTGTCCATTTTCATTATCCAAAATAAGTCTTTCTCCATAGTTGCCTGATAAGAGATAAATGGAGCCTGGACCTCCATTACCATGAGCTGCAGGTGAAGTTCCACCAGAAGCACTAAATTTACCCTGGTATTCATCAGATTTCATATCCACTGATATATGACCACCACTTCCTGCCCCTGCACTGGATGACGTCACTGAACCACCTTTGGACTCCATTATACCAAGACCTTTCAGAGCAACACTACATTGGACATAAATACTTCCACCAGCCCCACCACCCCCGCTTCCTGAATTTAAACCAGAGGATCTTAAAATTCCTCCAAGTATTAGCTCATCTGTTAAAATTTTGATATAGCCACCTCCAGCCCCACCTTGACCACCTGAAGCTCCTGGAGTCAATGGTTTATAGATTGTCCCGTAAGGCTCAGATGCTGCGTCAATAGAGACACCATTAGCTACCCCACCAGCAGAGGCATGGCCTCCACCATTCTTTCCTGTGCCATGAGCTCCTCTAGGTATTAGAGGACTATCTCTTGCCGCTTTCCCATTGGTGCTTAAAGCTGCTCCTCTTTCAAGGATTATTGTAGCAGCAATCAGATTTACAAAGTCGGCTTCCAGAATCACATATCTTTTCAACTCTAGAGTTCCTATCACCATCTTAAATCCACCTGCCGGTAAGATGAAGTTGGCTCCAGCTTTTAACTTCATTGAATTTAGTTCATAACTTCCTGGAGAACTTGTTGGGTTATACTGACCATTTACAAAATTGGAAGTAAATGTTGTTACATAGCCTTTGAATGTTCCTCCTCTTTCAATAACAATATTACTTATGGTACTTGTTCCTTTTATATCAAGGGTAACACCAGCTACAATTAATGTCTGAGGTACATGTAGAACGGCGTGTTCTCCCACTATAAAGTTGATGTTTGTTGTGAAAGTTCCTGGAATTCCTTCAACCACAGCAGCCAGAACAACCTGTTTATCTGTTACGTGTATGGTTCCAGTAGAGTCACCTAACATGTCATCTAGTTTAAGGACAGTGTCAGGAGATCCAAATACCATGTTTGCATAGCCTGTCAGATGGCAAAATAATCACTTTTAGCAACAATCAAGCAAGCCATAATTAAACTATACAATTATCACAACTCTTCTTTGTCAATCTTATGAACCTTAATTAGTAACTCTGATACAGCTTCCCTTAGCAGAGACACCATCCAAATGCTAATAAAAGATTAATATTAGCATTTTTAAATGTACATATTAATAGAATATCATGTATTATTTCCATGAGTATTTTTTAAACAATTGAATAGTTTACACTGAAATCACCTGTGCTTCCCAAAATCATACCTTACTCTTGCATAAAATCAAGTATTTAGTGACACTCTTTAAAAAAAAGTATTTTATCTTAAAGGGACTTCACTGAGGTTTAAAAGCCTAAAACATAACATTTGAATTTCTGACATAAATGAGCTGGGGCACTTTAAACAAAAATATATGCAAAGATAGTTATGAAATATACTTTGAAATAAATTGAAATTTTTATGCTTTTCTTAGCCCGTTTTAAGTAAAAAGCGTTTAAACGTCTTTCATTTTGTGGCATTTTTTTACAATTTGAATAATTATTCCGCAAAAACAAAGTGCGTGAATGATCTGAAATTTTGCACAAAGATTAGTGGTCTTAACCTACTTCAAATGGTCCATTTATCTGGAAAAAAATATTTTCAGTCCCATCATGTCAAAAAATCTCAGTTGAGTCCCTTTAAAGAACTTAATAAGACAATTATACACAACATTATTAGCTAATTCAAGATACCAACCTGTTAGAGTGAGCAAGTTATAATGGAATTCTGCTGTTGTTCCATTGATGTATGTGAATGTTTGATTTTGAACAGAGCTGTCAACATCTCCCTGTATTTTCAGTGAGTGGTTTAGTCTGGGAGCTTGTCCTTCCAGCAGATATATAGTTCCTGGACCAGCTTTTACAGTCTCTATGTTATTATCATTGCCACCACCATATGCTTTCATTGTGCCGATAAAATTGTTTCTATTAAAAGAAAAAACAAAAATTCAAAGTTAAACATCAAATAATTATGTTTTACCTTGGCCTGAAGGCTACTCATATTAGGTATCTGTTGTCAGATATTTTCCTAAAAATAACATTTACACTGTTGCAGCATGATGAGCAAACTAAATTAATCAACAATGAATTCAAAACTCAGGTTTTTTCTTCCTTGTTAAATTTGTGAAATTTAATCATATTTCTGAAGTTCTTTTGATATGATATTATTCTTGTAATTAAGTTTGTACATAATCTTTGCTATGTTTCATCTGAGACCGTTGACCTTCACTTTTGTCCATGACCCATAATTTATTATTCATAATAATTTATAAACTTACTCTTCTTTGACCCTTATCACCATTCTACCACCGGCTCCACCTCCACCATAACCTTGACCTTTCCCACCATTACATCTGATTTCACCATCACCATTCAGTAGAGGTGTTGTTATATCTATAGTACCGCCACTTCCACCACCACTGTTAGATCCTGTTCCAGCTTCCCCATCTACTTGTATTGTGCCTTAAATAGTTATCACATTTCCTTTACCTTCACCATAACTGATAACTTTTCTTTTTATCTTAGTTGCAATTGAAACTTTTTAAGAATATTTGTGTAATTTAAAAACCCAAATAATAAAGCCAGGAAAGTAGAAACATATTCATTTATTATATAAAGTGCTTATGATTTTACTATTTATTTCATCAATCAATCAATCAATTAATCCACCACCATCATACTGACTTTTGGTTAAATTGAAATAAATTCTGATTTTAGCTGAAAAATAAAAGTATTAATAATGCAACGTACCATCAACTTTGAGCAGTTTGAAGAGGGACAATTTCAGATATCCACCGCCTGTACCACCAGTTCCACTAACTGAGTTACCACCACCACTGCCAGTCTCTATAGGGAGTCTGGTATTGTCATAAGATGCCCCACCTTTAATACTCGTTGTCCTAGTTCCTCCAGGCGCACCATGTCCGGCTCCAGTACCAATGTTGTCCACCTACATGAATGAAAGATGAAATTGCAAGTATGATACTTGAAGAGATGGTATAGCTTAAAGTTGTGCTTTATTTAAAATGTTCTGACTTGTGAAAATACTTCATTTAACTTCTTGATTATACTATGTCAATTCACATATTCATGATTTATGCACATATAACCCTTGATATAAATCATTTCTACAATGAAAGTAAAACCAGCTAGTAGTTTGGCATATTTTAAATTATAAAACGTAACAGATATCTAAAATACAGCTTGAAGTATTTGATTCCTGTACAAAAAGACCCTTTAACAGTGGTAAATTTAAAATATTTCAAAATTAGTTTAAGTCTGTTCCTTAGATGTAACAAATTGTGCAAGAACTCTCAACACTTTTGGACTAACTTAAAAACTTCACTGAGAAAATTTGATTAATCTTAAATGCATGTACCATTTTTCCTGCTCCAGGTCCAAGCTGAGATGTGTATCCACCTCCTTGTAACTTCATCTTTGCTCCAGGATGTAATATGATCTCATTTGACGTTATATCCAGACTTTTACCAATTAAGGTCGACCCATAATGCAACTCTAGTACAGCAAACTTTATCGCCTTTAGTGTAGATGGATCTTTTTCAAATGTTACTTGAGCATAATTTTTCAGAATAAATTTGAAGAAGCTGTATTCTCCCTTTTTAGTTAGAGATCTATGTGTGCCATTTTCATAACAGCATAAACCTGTTCTTGCATAAGGTGACAAGGTCAGTTGTTGATTGGCTGAGATTATCAAAGACTGAATATTTGACAGGATACCTGAAAATTAACAAGAGGTTTCAGCTGTTCAATGAAAATAATTTTGATGTTGTTAATGTCGCAAAAGTGGACTAAGAACATATGGCTTTTGGTAAGAATTAAATTTGTTTGTAATCAGTACATTTAATTTTCTTTTCATGAAGATATTATTACATATAACATATACATTGTAGCTGTCAAGATCTATTTTTCTTTGTCCTATTTACAATGTTAACTCTAATACAAACATGAACATATGTTGGGAAATCTAGCAAAAATGGTTTCTTAAATACACGTACATTGTACTTACTTACATGATTGTGAGTCACACAGAACATCCTAACTTCATGCCACACATAACAGATATTTGACAATTGTCAATTCTAAAAGAATTTTTAGTCTGCTAAAAGAAGTTTTAAAAAATGTAAGTTACCTTCCAAAGTACTTGATTTTCCTTTCAATTCTACTGTATTTGGTAACCTCAATTCTCCATCTTGTTTCAGATCAAAGCTACATGCTATAGCACTATAAGTTTGATACACATTGGCACTAAACACAACATGATTGTCTACAACAATTTTACTTCCTGTCCCACATTCCAGTGTCCTTGCGATGAAATGTAGAGAAGGTGTTGTGAACCTCAATTCAGTATTGTCAGCAATATGCAAGCTATCTAGTGTGTGTAGAGATTGTCCTGGTAAATCAATAAATGTTACACCCATTGTGGCACCAGAAGAGCAAGAATTATCTAAATAAAGGTATTTGACATATCCAGGTATCCCAGATTTTCTGAATACTACAAAGGATGTTCCAGAGCCACCAGCCTGTCCAGATGTTGATGTTCCACCACATAGTCTGTAATCTCCAAGGTAATCAAAACTTCCATCTACATTAATATGAATCCTGCCCCCACCTCCTCCTCCCCCTGTCTTAGAGCTTCCTCCCCTAACAGAAATTATTCCAGACCCTTCCATATCACCTTTTACATATATCTTGATTCCACCTCCACTGCCACCACCACCATTGTTTATGGTATTATCTCCATCTGCACTCAAAGTTCCATGTATATTCAGTAAATCAGCCACTGTCAATTCAATATAGCCACCTCCTCGTCCACCTGATTCTGTGCTTCCATCTCCACCAGCAGAACCAAACTCTGTAGCACTGACAATCACACCAGTGTAATTTGAGGATGGTTTGACTGCAGAAGCTGATATTCCACCAGCACCCCCATGGCTGCCACCAGATCCAGATGTACCAGAATTACCTGCTCCTGTTCCTTTGTCACTGTTCCCACCATTGACACTTAACTCACCACCATATGCCACTTCAAGTATAGGTGTTTTAATATCAAGATTTTGACCTATGACCTTTCCACCGTATTTCACATTTAATTCTTTGATCATTTGTACAGTGTATTTTTCCATGCTGTCTAAACTTAACTCCAACAGACCATCTGTTGTTACATCAATTTTGTTCAAAGATAATGTTCCAATTGGTTTTAAATCAGTTGAGGACAGTCCGGACCTGCTCTTTGAATGAATCAAGGCTCTCCCTCCAGTGGAAACAGTAAGTTCTCTAACAGCCAAAACAGTTCCATATAGCTCAAGGTTATACCAGTCTCTACCAGTAGTGTCATCGTCAGTTAACAGAATTTTAGGGGGAATTTTAGCTTGCCCACCCTCTTTGATAATTAGCTTGCACATCAAAGCATATGGTGTCAATGTTCCATATGATGAAGCAATGTCAATGGCTTGGTTTGCAAAGATTGTCATAGTCCCAGTATGGTCACCAATGATTGTTCCAATTTTTATTGGATACGTCTCACTAAACTTCACCTGTCCAAATCCTTTAATATTAAGCTCGGTCAGGTCATTGATATCACTTATATAAGTCATGGAATCACTTACTATGCCATTGTTGTCAATAATGACTTTCTCTACCTCTGAATTACCTGATGTTTTATAATGCTGATATATAGTTCCAGCTGCTCCATTTGATTTTGGGCCACTGCCACCGAATGCAGCAATATTTCCAAGGAACTTTGACATTGATGTAGCAATGAGAGCAAGTCTCCCACCTCCTCCACCACTTCCTGAAGAGCTTTTTCCCCCATTTACTGACAGTTTACCATGACCTTGCAGGGTACCAGCTTTTATAAGGATGGTTCCCCCACTAGCACCACCTGTAGATGAAGACATTGCTCCATTTGCAAGCAGGGCACCATTCACTTCTGCTGTGTTTTTAACATTTAATGTAATTATTCCACCACCCTTGGCATTTGGTGTTCCACTTCCAAACTCAGTAGGATCAACAGATGAACCATATGTAGAGTCTTGGTTTGATCCTCCTTCCCCACCATAGCCGGCACCTCTAGTGTCAGGAGAGGACCCAGGTGCTGGGCTGCCTTCACCTCCCTCACTGACATCGATAACAGCTCCATCTTGAAGGTCAAAATTTGTTGCAGAAATGCTTACATTCTTTTTGGCACCATTTATTATCAATTTAGATGTGGCATTCATTTTAATTGAATTTGATTGAATATCTAGTTCGCTGTGTGCAAAAATAAGATTAGCTGCAAAGCCTATTTCAATATTTTCAATGGATATCTTGTTTTCATCACTGCCAATTGCTGCATTAATAGCCACTGAAGAAACAGTCCAAGCATGTAATTTTATGGATGATGTCAATAATTTGCCAGATGATGTCACAGTGAACTTTCCATGGTTGTCAATAGTCAGGCTGGTTGAGTTAATTGTTCCAGACAACATGAGAACTGAGTGGTCACCAGAAACAAACAAAGGTCCTTGAACTGTAACATGGCCTCCTTCTTCAATTTCTAGCTGACAACTAAACCCACTGTGTGCATTTCCTGAATAGAAATAAAACATCAATAGACATTTTATAAAAAAAATGTTTCAGGAAATTCTAACAAAATACTTCACTCTTGATTTTTTTGCGACAGGCAATTATACAAAATATGACATCCATGGCACACATTTCCCGTTGAAGGGTCACAATAATAAATTATAACATCTATAAAATTCACTGATGCTTTGAAGTAGAATTTTTTTTTGTTGTGGAATAAATCTTTTTTTGAAAGCTTGTGGGTTCTGAGTAACAGTATATCACATGATGTCCTTTGTTTTCCAGGTATATAACAATAAATTATTACATTATTTAAGATATTAAGCGACCACTTAGTAGAACCATCAGAAGCTTGCTGGATAGCTTTCTGACATGACGAGATTCAATCTATAGATCTATAATTATCAACAAAGGCAAATGTCAAATGGAGCCAAACAGACAAATGTCAAGAGACAATATCTCAACTCTTGAATTTTTTTTTGCGGCAGGCAATTATACAAAATATGACATTCATGGCACACATTTCCCGTTGAAGGGCCACCAATTACAATTTTACAGAGAGGCTACTTTATAACATCGATAAAATTCACTGATGCTTTGAAGTAGATTCTTTTGTTTGGTTTTTTTTGATGCGGAGCAATTTTTTTTTTAAAGAATAAATCTGAAAGGTTGTGGGTTCTAAGTAACAGCATATCACATGATGTCCCTTGTTTTCAAGGTAATATAATCATTAAATTATTGTATTATTTAAGATATAAAGAGACCATTAAGTAGAATCACCAAAGCTTGCTGGATAGCTTTCTGACATGATAGAATACAATATATATATAATTAACAATTAATTGTTTCCAGCCAACAACAGGAATGGTGAAGAAACCAAAAGTCAGTAACCTCTGAACCATTAGGCTGTTAGGACTACATGAACAATGGATTTACAACAACACTTTCCCTTGTTAAGTTTCTACATACACTAAAATACTTCTATAGAACATAAACATACCTATGGTTGAGGTAAACAGATTTGTTCCACGTACTACTGTCAATTTACAGACTGTGTAAGCTGACTTGGTAACAAGTTTCCGTATTGTAACATCGGCTGCAATAGACACCGAGGCATTCCCAATGACCAGAGTGTCCATGTCAGATGTAACTGGGGTAGTTTCTGTACCAGTTCCATCTATAATGACTTGTTCTACTCCTGGGTATTTAAGATATATCGTTCCTGTAAATTGAAAAAAATAATGTGTTCAGTATATTCTGTATCACAACAAAATGACATTGTGAAATTGCAAATATTACTTATCATGAAAAATCAAAATGCCATCATTTGATTGTATCTAAATGTATCTAAGATACTTTAAAACTGAAAAAAAAAAAATAGGCATTTAAAAATCTCCGCATGTTTTTTAAGCCTACTTGTTAAATAAAAAAAAACCAGCTCACATCAAAAATGTAACATACCAGAAGATCCCTTTTTTCCTGAGTTTGTTTGACCCTCAGCTGACAGAGTGCCAGTAAAAGAGTAAGTATGGGTAGCAACTGCAGCGATTCTTCCTCCACCACCACCCTGACCACCGTTAACAATCATGTAACCATCACCAATTATCTTCCTTGCCTCAACGAAGATGGAGCCTCCACTACCACCTTCTCCAGAGTCTGCACTCATATCTATTCTACCTTCAACATGTAAAGTATCTGTCGCCACTATCTTAACCTGTCCCCCACCACGTCCCGATGACAGTGTTGCTCCATGACCATTACTTCCGTATTCTGTAGGTGACTTCATATTACCATAGGTATTTTTGGTATTTCCAACACCTTTTCCAGCATGAGTTGCACCTTGACCTGCCATCAATGGAGAACCTGGACCATTTGCTTGGTAACCCTTACCAACCCCTGTTATTACACCATCAAAACTGATAAATACATTATCTGCTTTAATAGTAGTAGGTGATTCTTTTGAGTCCCGTCCATCAAGTTTAAGTTTTGCTCCTGGACTGATTGTAATGGAAGTGTAGGTATGTTCCCCTGGTGGCAGAGTGCAATACTGACCCCTCTCCAGGTATATTGACCCATTTAATGGACATTCAGTTTCATTTCCCATTACTCCGATCATAGAAACATTGCCTACAAAAGATGCACTCAGTACAAATTTGTCTGTATCAAGATTGAAGTCTGGTGTTCTATTAAAATGAGTTAATTGAAGTGTGACTTTTTCATTGAGCGAACCGCAATACTTAGTTTCCTCTAATCTACCTTCATAGTCGATCACAAGGGTGTTAATCTGTAAGTCTGAGGCTGGATGTGACATTTTAAGTGCACCCTTCTCTCTGACTATCATCTCATTCACATTGGAAGTGATTGTTCCGCAAACGTCTACAGACCAGCCTTTGTCAATGATAACAGTTTTTGGAAGATCAAGTTTCCCATTGTGTTTCACATAGACATTTGTGTTGATTCTGAGCAAGTTAACGTAACCGACCCTCGTTCCCCAGAACAGTGTTATATGTTCATCAACCCTGACTAAAGACTGGGCATTTCCGATGATTCTACCGACATGTGCGTTAAGAATTGGAGTTGATGTTTCTGGCCGGGCCAGGAAACCAATGGTTGCTGGGCCAACCACTTCAATAGTATCAATCTGAACAGTAACCTCAGACAGGGGAAGTGCCATTGTGGAAAGAGCAGTTGTAGCTCTATCACTCTTGATTAGTACCTAAAACATGAGATTAAAAATGTCATTTTGTATCTAATACATAGTCTGTAAAACACATGTGTTACTCAATAATTCAAATTAACATTAGGAGAAAAATTCTGGAGCTACACAATTATTTCAGTTTGGGCTTTAATGCACAATTTGAAGGAAAAATGGATATTTATTAAAAATCAATGATAATGCACAATATGAAGGAGAAAAGATAAAGAATTGTTTCTTAAATATCCATGATTATTCCTGCAACACCATAAAATAAGATACACAGTTGGTTGGGTAAAGTTCTTGTCAGCATCAATATTTTTGCTTCTATTTTCTTAAATCTCCTATTTTACCACATACTACTTAAAGATTATAATTTTTTTTTAACAGATTTAACAGGAAGAAACTAAAACAAAAGGTAAATGAAACAAAAACCAGTTTCTAACCTTTTCATTAGTATTTTCTTCAAAATAAATAACCCCTGCTGCACCATTAACTTGTCCACTTCTTGAGGCCCCACCATAGGATGTAATATAGCGATCATCAACATATCCCTCAGCGAAGTGAATAGCAATATATCCTCCACCTCCACCTCCAGAGCTTACAGAGGATCCTCCATTGGTATGGATTATACCTAAAACAAAACAAAACCATATGAATAGAAGTTATAACAAATCCTCCATTTCTAATTTTAACCTCTGTGACCTTAACCTTGACCCAATTAGACTCAAACCCTGCTCGAATGTAGATATTTAAATAAGGTACCCTTTCACCAAATATTTAAGGACAAACAGTCCCACTAAAGATTCTGGGGGCATATCTTAAATAACTTGTTTATTAAGATCAAAATAATATATTACCAGCAATGCTTGCAGACTGACAGGTTATCCAAATACTACCTCCTGATGCTCCACCATGCTTATCTTTCCCTGCACTACCACCACTGTAAAAACAGAATTATTGTTGTCGATATAATACATAATGAAACATTATTAAGCCAGGTGTTTAGTAATCTAAAACTAAGGGTAAACATTTTAATGTAAAATGTTTCATAACTTACCCAGAAGCATTAAAATAAAAAATCACAAAATTGCGTTCTTATTTTACAAGCGTGAAGATCATTTTTTGCTTACTGAAACAGCAGGAGTGTGTTTCACTAACGCACTTAAGTTATCGTAACTGGAGTTTGATCGTAACTTTTTGCATAAGCTGAACTTGCGTATTTATTTGTGTTTCACTAAACTTTCTTAGCTACACACTTGCATAAGTTTAAACGTAAAGTTACGCTCACTTATTATTGGCGTATATTGCAAGTTCTGTTTAGTGAAATGCAACTTACCAGTATGTAAATTTACGTTTTGCGTAATATCAAATTTACGTAAAACTTGGGTAATGTTAGTGAAATGCTCCCCAGTTCAGTAAGAATATAAACTTTAGACAGATAATCAAGACTGTTTCTCATATCTAACATACCCTGTTAATTGTTCATTTCCTAAAAATCCTGTTAATAATTTATTTCTACAATATCCTGATAATCATTTATTTCTACAATATCCTGTTATTCATTTATTTCTAAAAAATCCTGTTTATTCATTTTATTTCAACAATATCCTGTTAGTTATATATTTCTAAAAAAAAAAATCCTGTTATTCATATATTTCTAAAATATCCTGTTATTCATTTATTTCTTAAAAATCCTGTTATTGTTAGTCATTTGTCATTATCTATGACATCATGTTAACCATTTATTTCTATGATGTCCTGTTATTCACTTATTATATCCTGTCAATTATTTATTTCTAAAATATCCTGTTTTTAATTTTTTTTTCTATACAAGAAGAACAACATACTCAGCTTTGATTTCCCCTTGTATGTCAGCTGTTCCAGATACATCCAGTATAATGACTCCGCCCCCATAGGTATTATCACCTCCTGATCCTGGTAAAGAGGGAGACTTAAAATTATCATAGGCTTTGCCATGGCTGCTTGATGAACCTCCACCTTCTCCACTGTGACTTGCTCCATGGTTTGCTAGATATCCTGAAATAATTTAAAACATTTCAACTTATAATTTCAGAATCCGTTCCTTCTTGAAATAATAAAAGTAGAAGAGAAGAAGTAAAAGCAAGTGCATAGAAATAAGTAACCAATAATGGACCATGACACTATTTGTCTTGTTTTATTTAGGATTGAAGTTTAATTTATATATACAATGATTTGTTGTGCAACTTATACAAGTACCTGGTCCAGCTCTCAAATATCCTCTCGCGTTTAGATTGATAACACCTCCTTCTTCTATAGTAGCTGATGTAGCCTGTATCAACAGGTTCCTGGCTTCAACAAGACCAGAAGGAGCTATATAAAGGTGGTCGATAACAAGCTGGTAACTAATATCATCAGTCACTTGAAGGACGCCATCTGCCATGACACTGATACTGTACATCTGGAATGTTCCCTCCCTTCTACTACCCTGTGAACAGTACAAAAAATAAAAATTTTGATTCATGCAATGCAACTAAATTCAGTGTAGTGACTTTTCTTAACAAAATTAACAAAAAATTTTTAACCCAAGACAGCAGAGTCAATATGATAATGATGAAATAGAGGATATTGAATGAGTGTAAATTTAATACTGAATTTATTGAACTAGTTGAATAAAAATATGTTATGCGAGCCTCTGGCGAGGATAATATTATTTTCTTCAACGAGTTCAATAATGAAATTATACAAATTTAATATTTTTTTTATTATCACATACCAAAATTAAAGATCGTTTGAAGTGGAAAAGAACCATTTTTCATTGGCCCGCCTATAGTATAATGCTAACATTAAACATGTCTTAAAACGCTATGTTTATTAAATGAAAATGAAGTCACATCAAAAAATTTAGGCACAGTCTTGCAATACCATTTAGGCTATAGTTTCTCCAGTTTATAGATATTATGGCTAATACCGTTTTTATTTTTTTTAGTTTCACATTGCACAAGTAGAGATCATATGGTGACTTTCCAACTTAAAATTATCAGCAGACAAGACATAAATAATAAGCCTGGCACTGTCTATGGATCAGTGCTGAAGCAAGAAACAGACTTGCAGGAGCAGTATCATTTTAAACTAGGAGAAATCTGTTTGTACCTTAGTCTTATGTACTAGACTGATTCCTATTGTTTCATAGTAAATCATGCTAAGATGCTTGTCTCATGAAAATTGATATCATAGGATATGTGACCTTCACATCAGAAAAATGATCCTGACAAAATTTACATACAAATTTGCAATAAAAACAAGAGTTGTGGGTTTGAATCACAAGCTATAAAATACCTGTGTTTTACTGGTTTTCTTCAGTTCTAGTTTAGACTTTATCAAAGTAAGATCCGTGACACCGCCTATTATTCCTGTGATCACACTGTTAGAGTTGAACCATTTTACAACAGGAGGCATTTCTAATATCCCATTTGTATACACCATGGCATTAGCAGGGAAGTATAGATCAATGGCCCTGGAATAGTAACAAATATGGAAATGTTATTTTTTACATTTTAAACAATGATCATCAGAAAAGCTTGTTAAAAAAATTTAAATTCAACACTCAAAGCATAATTGTTTTGTAATACGAAAATAACATTATAAACTGTTTATACAAACATTTCCTTACTGTAGAATATATAACATAAAAATCTATGTTAAAATAAAAGTTGCTGAAATTAATCACAGACATAAGGTCAAAATTTTGTACTCAAGACATAGCATAATGTTACACCTGAAATTTCTTAAGATATCTTATAACAAATTGTTCATACCTGACTTTGAACAACTGATTAGGTCCCACATGAATGGTTCCCAGCTTTGCTGCATCATTTATAAACCCATCACCACTAAAGCCTTCTGTAGTAAATTCATGTTTCCTGGCTATAGGATCTGAGGCTGGTTCCAGTCCTAAATGGGCTCCATTGTATAGATACAGTTGATCTACATACAGGGAACCAGACCTTGGAAATACAATCCATGTCCTTCCATGGTCATGATCTTTAATTCCTACAGTACTGTAGTCTTGTATGACCTTAAAGAAGAAACAAAAAACTCTTACCAAAGGAGGATATGCTTTTTAGAACTCTAGCAATTTATACATTTTTTAAAGAAAACAAATAAACAGAAATCTTTTACATGTACATAACTGTGTTGAAACTTAACATGCTTTTTAACCCTTAAATTATGTGTTTAAGCCATTATTAGGAACATGTATCCACATACATCATCAATTCTGTAAATAGAGGCCAATATTTTCAATTATAATAATAATTTCAAGTTTCATAAAAAATGTTTTCAGTGCTTTTTGAGTTATCACAAATATTGTTATATTTGCCATATTTTAAGTCTATTTGTTGCCAAAGCAACCATTTTTTTCAACATAGGAAGAAGAAAAACGATGTGCATAATCTCCAGATAGCCATCTACCCATATTTCAAGTTTCATAAAAAATATTTTCAGTTCTTTGTGCATTTTCAGATCTGATTTGTGTGATATATTTGCCATATTTTAAGTTTATTTGTTGCCATAGCAACCAAACTTTTTACGAAGAAAAATAAATAAGGTGCATAATTTCCAGACTGCCATCTACCCATATTTTAAGTTTCATAAAAATATTTTCAGTATTTTTTGAGTTATCAGTGATGGAATCTAGTTTTGTGGACAGACAGACAGACTGACAGACAGACAGAGGGTATACCTAAAGTCCCCTTCTGGGTAGAGGACTAAACAAGAGCTGTCGGTAGGACAGCAACGCTCGACTATTCTAGTGCTTGATAGTAAAAAAAAATGCTTGATAGAGTTACCTACTCCTGTTTACAGGTTGGTGTCATGATGGTGAACAAGTATGCAAAGTTTCAAAGCCATATGTCAATGGACTTTGAAAATATTTCAGGTATTACAAAAAAATTTTAACGTAAATTCTAAGTCGAAAAAGGGGCATAATTCTGTCAAAATGCTTGATAGAGTTACCTCCTCCTGTCTACAGGTTGGTGTCATGATGGTGAACAAGCGTGCAAAGTTTCAAAGCCATATGTCAATGGACTTTGAAAATATTTGAACTATTACAAAAACTTTAACGTAAATTCTAAGTCGAAAAAGGGGCATAATTCTGTCAAAATGCTTGATACAGTTACCTCCTCCTGTCTACAGGTGGGGGTCATGATGGTGAACAAGTGTGCAAAGTTTCAAAGCCATATGTCAATGGACTTTGAAAATATTTGAGGTATTACAAAAACTTTAACATAAATTCTAAGTTGAAAAAGGGGCATAATTCTGTCAAAATGCTTGATAGAGTTACCTCCTCCTGTCTACAGGTTGGGGTCATGATGGTGAACAAGTGTGCAAAGTTTCAAAGCCATATGTCAATGGACTTTGAAAATATTTGAACTATTACAAAAACTTTAACGTAAGTGGTTACGCGGACGCGGACGCTCGGGTGACTACAATAGCTCTACTTATTCTTATCGAATAGTCGAGCTAAAAAGAAAGGAATCTTGTCAACATACTGGTAAATTATACGGTGTCTTATTGTCAATGATCAGTTTAGATTTGTCGCCATGCAGTACATAGATGGTTCCTGCTCCACCTGTACTGTACTGTGATCTACCACCATAAGCCTGGTACCAGCCAGTGAACTCTTTATACTTGTAGCTGACTGAGATCCTACCTCCAGCCCCACCACCTGTTGATGTGGATCCTAAAATCATAAAAACATTTTTTCATAAAAACAAAATTTCATATCAATTTTGCTCCACCTTGTTAAAATGTTTTAACAGTATTTCACTTTTAGTAAATGGAAAATGCTTTCTGATCACAGAAATGGTAAAAAAATGCTTGCATACTCTACTTATTTGGTCTCTCTAGGAAAATGTTTGGCTACTTAGATAAGATTTCTCAACTTATTTAGTCAAGACTTATAAAGAATATATATTCATACTATGGGAAAAATATAACCACTAAATGGTTATGCAAATATTGAACATAAAAATGAATTAAATAATAATCGAGTGACACAAAATAATCTTACCAATTCCTCCATTTACTTTAAGTTTGCCTTTGCCTGTGAAATTTATAGTTGTCAATTTTATACTACCACCACTGGCTCCCCCAGCTTTACCCTTGCTATCTTCTCCATTACAACTTATAATACCTGTTAAATAGAGTGTACTGGTATATAGAATCATACTTGTCTTTTAATTAACTTTATTTTTAATTGCCACAGGAAACCAACATGAGCAACTCGCTCCTAAAGACCATCAGTAATTGTACTTTTTGTTAGATGAAGTAACTGATACACAAGTAGAGACCACTACACTTCTTTAGAATGCACACTGTAAAGGACCATTAATTAGCATTTTATGTTTAAAAGACAATCACTTTTAAATGGAGCTAGAGGGAATTTACATACAAAAGTCACTGGCACTTAAAACTACTTTTTCACACTTCTTTGATGAACCCTTTTCTCCTTTAATGATGAATTACCTGTGTGGCACTATGAAAGAACTGATTTTTTAGAGGTTTCTGGACAATTTCAAATATTTTATCTATATAGTCAGGTCTGAGACTCCAATGGTAATCTACATCCTGTAGATATTATTGACCATTCAATTTCTTGTTGGTTATATGTCAATGATTGCCTGCATTTAAAAATGCTGAATTTTTTTATATGAATATGCCTGTCTTTGATTCTGAGTACTGTTTGTTGTTAGTTTAGGGAATTTCATCATATCAAAGTTCTAAATGTAAGCAGTTACTGTATAGAGACATAGTCTGAAAATAAATTACAGAATGATTGTCTTTCAAAGCCCTCTGTTAGCGGCATAGCCCTGCCTACTTGACACAGTAAATACATATTTTTAATATCTTCAATGCCTTACCATCAATGTGAGCTGTTTGGGTGATGTCAAACATTAATATTCCTCCACCTTGTACTTTGATATCAGTTGTCAAATCTTTATATACACCATCACTTCCTGGTAAGTCTGGTGTCACGATATCACCGTAGTATAATCCTCCACCTTGTATTGAACCCCTGCCTCCCTGACCACCATGCCCAGCACCTCTGCCTTTCTCCCCTTTACCTGGGCCACCATCTATATGCACAGCCTGTTGGATTTAATATTGATGTCAATACTTTTTTTAGTCATTTGATTGACTGGTATTACAGTTACAGAAATATAAAACCAAACTTTTACTCATTTTTAAGAACTGAAAACCAAGATCAATACTTTCTGGTCAATAATTGCATTTAATTCAGTTTAAGAAACTGTGAAAACACTTTTTCAGTTTCACTGAATTCTTAACAGAACTAGCTAAGAAGGAGTAAAGAATCTTTTCAATGCATATAGTATTCTAGTTGGAACATTCTATGCATATACATGTAGTATTCTTAAGGAATCAAAACAATCATACTTCTAGATAGGGCGTTAACTTGATATGAAAGAAAATGGTCCTTTCTCAAAAACTAGAGCATATAAGAGAAGAGAAAAATGGTTTAAAGTCAAATTTTCATACAAGTACCTCATTAAACATATAATTATGACATTACCGGTAATTCAAGGTTCATTGTTTCATCTATTAAAGATAAAAATCCTGGGTTTTGCACAAAAAATCAAACTAACTTTTATGAATTTAATACACTCAATTTCTATGAAATGTGTCATAAGTAATAATGATCTTATTTACCTGTTTATCAGCTGTAATGTAAGCAGAGTCTTCTAACATCAACATTTCAGCCTCGACTTGTAGATTGTCTGCTTCTACCAGACCACCACTGTGTATAGTGAAGTTTTTACCTACCAACTTCAAGCCATGTCCATTTGTGTCAATAGTCAATGTACCACCTCCCTGTACAGTCACCGAGGTAAATGTAATCACTGGTACACTACCAATGATGTCTGGCCTGTAATTTTAGGGAGGCATTGAGATTTTGAGTTAGGAACAGTACTATCTTTAAGAAATTTATAAGAAATTTAAGCCAACTTATTAGTACAAATATAAATTTGATTAACTAAAACTATTGATAATTGCAAATAAATAACTGTGCATGACAAATACCTATTTTTACAAGAATGCTGTTTGGAACAAGAAAACAGGGAGAAGTTAAAGAAGAAGTTATTTTCATGTTGAAGAAGGATACAGAATCATGGAGGTGCTTGGCCTTTTTTGAAATCATACAACTAAAATTATTTTGTAAATTCCACTACAAACTGTCAATCATATTGCCATACATATAATAAGAAGAAGTTGAAATAAAAAAAAGTAAAATCTTCTTGAACTACACCAAGTTCTGTTCATTTTAAGTATTATGGTTTATAAAGACAAATAAATTACCTGAGAATTATCTTTCCTTTTGGTCCAATGACAAGATTGTTGACCCCACTTAGGATTCCTTCATTCACAATAGTTATACCAGATACTGTTAGAGTTTCTTCAGCATTCATTATTCCATGTTTGTAAACATACATGCCAAACTGTAGCTCTGGACTATCATCTGGTAAACTGGCAGCAAATGTCTGGTAAGGACCTTTGAGGGAAAAATGATTTAAAAATATTATCATCTTCATACTTCAATGTTTTTTTTTTCCAAATATTTATTTCAAGAAATATAGGCCTAATATACGAGGGTTGTCCCAATATTATGTGACAAGATTGATTAAAAGCTAAATGAAATAGGTACGAATTTTTTTGATATTTTAATATGTTATAACCCCATATAATTAAAACATTTTCACAAATTTACATTGAAAAATATCAACAAACAACAAAAATATGCCATCAACACCATGGCAACTAACTGAATGGCGGCGCACGTCAAACGTCAAAGACAACGTTAAATCTATATCAGGCGCCTTTCTCAAATACTCTCAATGGCTTTCAAAGCAATAATGGTACCCATAAATCGTCAATTACAGATTTAAATCACGTGGTTATTAATGTCTGTTGCATGTTTGGATGGCATACATTAATTTTTGCTATACGCGAACGTCCGGTCTCCTTGCACCTGCTTTTAGCTGTAGGAAATAGGCGACGAAGATCGGTCTTCCTATCCGTGTTTTCCTTATTTTCGCTTTTTGTAGCGCAAAACTCTGGTTCCGTTCATGCCTTTAGTAAACAAATGCTCAGGAAATGTTGCTAAACTGTTCTATTTGGTATATTTGTTAAAATTCGTAACATGTGTCATCTCGAAAGAGTCATGAAACCTGAATTACCTGTTCACTGCGCCGCAAATTCTTAGAACGTCGCCATTTTAACTTTCCTATTTTATATGAGATATTTTTATTTATTCGTATCTTTTTCGTTTCTTAATTTATTTAACTAAAATTTTCTGAGATGATGTAAACATAGCAGCAGAGGAAGTCAGCGTGACATTGTGCAGGCACATCATCAAATATTTGAAATATACGTAATTAATTTTAGCCTATTCATAACAAAATGCAAATTATTTGACGTGCGCCGGCAACACAAACCAATATCGTGAATACTGAAAATTTCTAAGTAACTAGAGTAAATATTTTGTAAATGATTTGTTGTAATGTTAAGTAATAAAATTAACGGTTATATGTGTGAATTATTTTCTATTGGCGTTAAAAATGAACCGTCTATAAAATTTGTCACGGACTTTTGGGACAACCCTCGTACACACCAACGTGTATACAATTTAAACATACATTGTTAATGAATTGTGATCATACCTTATGTATATTGTACATGTATATACACATTTGAAATAGATATAGTTTATCAATGCCCAGCAAACATCACTGCTACTTTGAATTACAGTACATATACATGTTAGGTAACAAATATGTATCTATAACAAAAATATATTTTTTTTTTAATTAAATATGAACACAATTTTGGCAGATCTCTCTTTCTCCACTTTTCTGAAACTTCAAAATTATAATAAAATATCAAAAGTTAAATTGCAGGAAGGCAATTTGTAAATGGGAAAATGAAAGTCCCTCCTTCATTAACAGGTTTTCTATGTCAGGTGTTTTATGAGATAGTCTTAGCAAATAACTGACTGTAGTAAAAATGTTTCATGATCTTACCAATATGCCACTTTCCTGATTTATCTCCCTCTGTCTTCCTTACAGTAATGTTCTGTGCATAAACAGTATGATCCTTTCTGTATAGTGCTAGTTGAGCTTGTCCACTTAGATGCACAGCCTTTTCAAAAAGAAAAACTAGAATGTAAACATTTAGTGAAATGTCTTTACTTTACTCCTTGTATATAATACTGCTTGACCAACAGTCCTTTAACCCTTAGCCTGCTAGCAACAGATTCTACCTATGTGACCAGTGCAGACCAAGATCACTGGCACATCCATGCCATCTAATTATGGTCTGCACTGTTTGCTATTCAGAATGTATTTATTATGAAATGTTCCCTAAAATGATGAATGGTTTTGTCCAGATTGAAAGCTGGACAAGTCCATGGAAGATATTTAATGGAGAAAGGGCTAAAAGCATGCAATTAAGATAAATGTAGGGAATGTACTGCTTGATTAAATTCATCATAAAGAAAACCTCCTTTCTTGGTTATCACTCCAAAGAAAACCTTTTTTCTTGGTTATCACTAGTTTTGTTCCAGTAAATATATTAAAACTTCAAGGAACACAGGAAGAAGAAAAAATTATTCTGGACTATATTTTTTTATTTTATTATATCAGTTTGAAATACATATAGAACCAACTAATGGTCCCATGATTACAAAGCACCCTTCCTACAAACAAGAAATCTGTATAATATTTGCAATATAAAACTCAAATGTATAACTTACATCAAATTCATGATTATGTAATGTTGGTTCATCAAATAGCCAGGTGTAGAAACTGAGTTGTCCTCTATGGGTTTCTGTGAGCTGACTCCAGTCAACTCGGGAATTTAGGGGTGTACATACATTCTCATTGTCTACAGTAAGATGCTTGGTTGAATTATCAACATCATATTTCAATACAGTTCCTGCTCCACCACACTCAAACCCGGCACCGCCGTGTGCCCTGATCCTCCCCGAGAATGTGTCCTTCTTGTAGTAGATGGCAACACGCCCACCAGCACCCCCTCCACCTCGGCATTGTGGATCTGATCCTGTTCTCGCGGAGCCACCTTGTGCGAAGATGTTACCATCACCATATATATCAGATGCCTACAAAAAAAAACAAGACAAATTGAAATCATTTTTATTCCCCAAAGCTAAAATTACATTACTCAAATACACATTTTTATTTTCTGAAAGTATTCTTATATGATGCCGAATAGCACATAATTATGTTTGATTAAGTTGTTCTTGTTATTATTTTGATGGTTGGGTTTAACGTTGCACAAACACAGTAAAGGTCATATGGCGACTTTCAAGCATGACTGGTGGAGGAAGACCTCAGGTGTCCCCTCTGTGCCTTATTTCAGACATGAATCTTTAATTGAATTACATCAGGACACAGAAAAACATTTTCGATAATTGTTTAACTAAGCATCTAGAATTCTTTGAATCCATTTAAAATGATACTTCAGCACATTATAAGATATAAGGTGTCAACACTACCTGAATATAAACACTACCAGCAGCACCTCCCCCACCTCTAAATCCACTACTATCACCTCCATTCACCCTCAGATCTCCATCAAGTAGTAAATGACTGGCTGATAATTCTATAACTCCACCTGATGAATAAATATATGACACATTTAGACATAAATTTATTTTACTGTAGTAAAAAGCAACAAGTTACCTATTCAAATCCTCTCTTTTCAAAGTCTTAAGCTTTTAAATAAATATGCTAAAAATCCTGTACTTTTGTACAAATAACAGTTTTATGCAAGATTTTTATTAACAAATGTAACACTTTTTTTTAATTAATGTGAAAAATAAGACTTCAATTTTGAACTTGAAAGAACCTTAAATGTAACATTTTGGGGTTTTAGGACAAAATTTCAACATAAGCAGAATGTACATAAAAATTAAACAAATTTTTGTACAAAACTGCTCAAAGCTTCTCTCTTCTTCTAGAAAAAGTATATCATCCTTGAATATCATCTTAATATTTTCAATTTATAGAATATAAATGTGATACATATTTATTGCATATTTAGAGGGACACACAGGCAAAATTTTCATTTCTTAGTTTTGAACTTTTCATTATTCTGTAAATGCCCTCAAAATGAATACATCAGACAGTCAAAGGAACAAACTTTTCTCCATATAAAGAATAAAATGGTGGTTTCCTAAGTAGACCTGCGTGGGTCAGGTTAAAGCCAATAGCGCTAGGATTTCAAAATAGTTGTCACAGTGAACTCTGAAGATGTTAAAGAACATGTCAAATGAATAACTTAGACTTGTTTCAATCATACAATATCCACAATATCTGTTAATAATCTTAGGAAAATGAAAAATCAGAAGCAACAAATTTTATCTGTACTGATTTTTTACCTAGGCATAATACTATTTCGCTTGCTCGTAATTATTATGACTGTAGTTGATAAATCAGATCAGTCAAATATGAAAAACAAAGTAGGTAACATTGTCATAGCTAAAGGTTATGACATGTATTTTACCTCCTCGACCACCATTATGTCTTGATGATTGTGTACATCTCTGGTATGATGTGGACCCTCCACCATATCCTCCATTTCCACCATATTGTGTAGGTTCATACATAGAACCATAATCTGGAGGTGGTCCCACATAGTCCTGGTACGACCCTTGACCTCCTGCAGCACCATTACCACCACCTGATCCTCCTGTAACCATGGAAACACACACATGTATCAATAAACAGAACTATGAAACATGACTCCCAAAACAATATTTCAGCTTATATGGAAAACTATGTCCAAATTTTAAAGAATCAAGACTTAAATAACTTTCAGTGCAGTAATTTAATTCAAACTTTTTTTCCTCTTATGGTATTGTTAAAATAAACATGAGAGATACAAATTTTTAATTTGATTAAAATTTTCAAGGCTTAGGATAAATTAGAAACAAACACTACTGGTATACTGGTAAATGTAAAAAAAAAACAAGTTTACTTGTACAATTATAAATATCAAAAGAAAAACAAGATAACAGTATAAATGTTTTACCCCCAGTGTCTGTGTGTACCCCGTTCTGTTGTAGTTTTGTCGGAGCTTGTTGACTGGAGTCTATCAAACTGGCTGAGTCAATCAACACCTCACCACTACTGGCATTCACTTTAACCCAAGGTGCCTAAATAGAATTTGATAAGTTAACTGTTACCTGTCATAATTTGTGAATATACTGTGTCTTTATAGCAGCAATTTAGTTTCAGCAAAAATCCTGACAGAAAAACTAGTCAAGTAAACTTTCAATAATATAATTTCCATCAGATAGCTGAAAAATTAAATCAACACTAATTTGCATATTCAACTGACATTTAAAAGCTTAAGGAAAAGGGAAATGGAAATATAAAATTATGAAGCTGTCTTAAACAACTATTTTAACCTATAAAATAAAAAAAAAACTTGTTGTAATTTATTTAAATTACACGACTGAAAATTACCCTAATCACTGCTCCAGCATGTAGTTTTAGCAAGTTTCTTATATGTAGGACTAATGAGGGTGATCTTTCTTGTAAATATGTTGAGGTCATTCTCCCATCTGCATAAATCTGTACTTGATCAAAGCTAAATGTCAGTTTGTCATAGCCTGAAGTAAATCCCTGAAAAATGATAAAGTGGTAAATTATTTTAACATCTACTTATGAGTGAAAAAAGTTATGATACTTAAATGTAAAAGTTAAAAGTTATTCTTTTGACTGCTGATCCTCTCTCTGCTGATTCTGTTTTATGAACTCAATGTCCTCTTTTTAAATATAAAACTTCTTGGTCAGTCTACCTTACTAAACATAAGTGTCTGGAGGAATAGGTTAAAGATATCAACAGAAAACCTCAAACCTTGTCTTTGACTAACTGACTAAATTCGGCCAAATCAAAAGAAACAGTACTATAAAATGTCAGGTGTTATGCAAAAGAAACAGAAGAATATTCAGAAACATACTTTAAACAACCATTTAAAGTAATGAAAATGAAGTAACTGCAAATAGGCTTGATAAATTGGTCTTCTGTTTCATACAAGAGACCCGTACTTATTTCAATATGTAAGGTAGTCAGAGTAAAAAAAATGCAATTAAATATCCTTGAGTGAATTAATTTGCAGGAATATATTAATACTTACATTTTCCCCAATGAAGAAATTCACTCCTTTTCCAAGACTCAAGTTTTTTACTCCACTTATCTCTCCATCTATATATATGTCCGTATACTTCAAGTTGGTGAAATATAACTCTGAAATGATGGTATTAATTTATTAACAAAAACATATCACATATAACATTTTGCTCATTCTCTCAAGAAAAAGGAAAAATGTCCTTAATAAGTATGACTTAAATCTGGGACATTTCTTATTGATTGAAATGCAAGTACAACCATGATATTTGATGGATCTTTGAGGATATTTGAAAAAAAAATAATGAATAAGAAACATGCAGTACACTATGGAGATATTTACTACTTGGATCTCTAAATTAATGCTTTGAAGAACCAAGGTGTTTGGTTTTGTCCAAACATATTAAATGACACAGTCATTAATGGTTTACCTATATAAAAACAGACATTTTATATCCACAAAAACTTCAATTCTTTTGAACATATACATGCACAAGAATGTATAATTCTCTAATGACATACCTTCAGGTAATTGTATAATGGCAGTATCATAGACTCTGAAGGAAGCAGGTATCGGACTCTCACTGTCAATTATAGAAATCTTCTGGTCAACTGATGTATGCACCATGCCACTTAAATCTCCATGCAACTTGTTAATTATGACATTCACATTGGTACTGGTGACCTTCCTGAAAGCTAAATGACCTCCACCTTTGATGTGTATGTGGTCAAAGGTCATATCATCGGCTGTGTCACCATCAGATGTTATTATGTATGTCCTACAACTGTCTTGTAACTTATTACTGATATAAACATTATCTGGGAGAGAATTGTGGTTGTCAATGTAAACTGTTGATTCCATATTTCCAGTGCTCTTAACTGGTGTTTGAACATATACAGTACCTGACCCGCCACTTTCAGAGAACCCTTTACCACCATGTGTTGTGTAATCACCTCGGTAAGTATTTTCCTTGGCAACGTGGACAGCAATTCTTCCTCCACCTCCCCCTCCACCTGCCACCTGAAATTATAAATCAAAGAAGTTCAGTTTAAGCATGCTTATTTTATCTTGATAGTACTGAAAATATGAATTACTCTTGAAACAGTTTCTTCCTGGACTTTACAGGTACCAGTGTCATATAAGAAACATGATTGTGGCTCCAATAGGGCTCCAACCCACAATCTCTTGGTTAAGCAACAGACACCTGAACTCCCAAATCATCTCTATTTTCAAGTATGTTAAAATAGTTGTATCATAATAATATCTATAAAGTATTTTCTGGCACCACTTCCATATATATGCATATATTTTATGACTTCAATAAATAAAAGCTAAAAGTAGATTATGATTGATAGGTAAAGAATGTCAAAACTAAAATAATGTTTGATTGTATAAAGATCATTGGATTTTATTTTAGCACTATGATGAAAACAAGAATATGACATGACCCTAAAGCATGAAGCCAACACTAAAAACATGTGGCCATTTGTGGCAAAAACAAAATACTGGAGAAAAAAGGAAAGATTTTGACATATTATTAAGTTGTTACTACATACTGCAATGACAAATCTTAGTTTAGTTTATACTAATTTTATTTTAGTTTGATTGTGTAGGAAGCTATAAGCTTATTGAAACACTCTCAAATCCGTTCAAGGAACCATCCAGGACTAATCAATGAGTGTAAAGTTTCTTGCTCATGGAAACAACAGCTTGCCCCTGACAGGGTATAAACCAAATGACAAATCTTATCTTTCAGTTTTTCCTTTAGACCTTAAGATACCTTTTCACAATGAAAAATGGCAAATGGTTTTAATTACCTCTTGTTCTGGTACATTCCAACGATGCAAGCACAAATATTTCCACCAATAGTAGTTTACATTACATTTGATACACCTCCTGTATGAATCACACCTGGCACAGTTAGGAACACAAGCACCTGCCCCACCATTAGCTGATATTATCCCGGTACCTGAATAGATATGACAAAATATTCATCCCTAAATTGTTATAAAAATCTGGAAACAAACTGATCCTCGGAAGCATTAATCACAACAAAATTACATGAAAATTGTAGACTCAGTTTGTATATCAATAATTGTCAGGCTTATGCCAAAAGTATAGTCACTGCAGCTAAGGTCAAATTACATATTGAATCAATTGACTGTAACATTACAAATGTTTAATAGAAGGAGAAACGTACATATTTCTTATATCATATTGGAAGCTAGAAATGTGTTCAAAGAACAAGGATGCCCCACATTCCACTGTTTTGTTAGTCTTAGGAAGGACAGCGTAACTGACACATGGTCAAGGATGATAAATATACCTCCCACCTACTGAGGGCATTACAAAGAGTTTTACAATAAAATCAAAATTTTCTAACCTGAGAAAGTCCCAGCTGTCAGATAGATGGAACCACCTGCACCACCACCTACTGCTGTAGTACTAGCATCTTGCCCATCAGCCATCAATTCTCCATCTATTTCTACAAAACCACTGGCCACCAAGCTAAGTATCCCTCCACCTCGGCCTGTGGTCACTGTACCAGTACTTCCACCACCACTGCCATAAGCCTCAGGTTTGTGAGTGCTGTCATGAGCCAGTCCGGCATAGGATGTACTACTTCCCTTTCCACCTACACCACCATGAGAGCCTCCTGAGCTGCCTTTGGTATTCCCTACGCCCGCTCCAACCCCTGAACCTACTGCATAGCCCTTCTCTGATACACTTAGAATCCCCTCTGATTCTATAGTAATATTCACAGCTGAAAGAACACAATATTGGATAAGGTTATAAATTATACGAGGCTTCCAATAATGGATAAGCTAAGTTTTAACTCATATATCTGTGCCCACTCTTTATTGTCAAAGGATACAAGGCAAAGTACAAATAAATACAAATACATTGTAACCATTAGTCATTATGAAATTTGATGTATGAATAAACCAATTTGATGCTGCCACTTAAAATACCTGTATATTTAAAAATAATAAAGATAAATGTAAAGTAATAATTATTCAGTGAATAAACATTCAAAACATTTAGTAAATGACAGGAAATACCTTTGAGTACAAGTTTATTAGCTCTCATCTCACCACCCCCTCTGATCATCAGATCTCCGGCCAGATTGATAGTCAGAACATCTTCCGCCTCGGCTGTTCCAAAATACTGAAACACTCCCCCGTCAAGTATACTGATCGTATTCAGGTCATAAACAATATGTTTAAAGTGTTGGTCATTAACTGAGGGCGGATAAATTTTAACAGCTCCCCCTCGTGAGATATTGAATGTTTCTAGCCCAGTGATTGTTCCTCCATAATCAGATACTGTCACATCTTTCACATAGGTGTCATCTGGTAAGTTGATTTGTCCATCCTAGAAAGTTAAAAATATAATTACTGCATGAAACTATGATGACTTTAACCTTAATTCTCATCAAGTAAAGGTCATAAAGATATACTTATTATATATACCATCCTAAGAAGTAAAATTCTAGAATTTCTTTTCATTAACAAACATAACTCTATTTATCATGTAAGTTTTTGAAATGACATTATTTTACTTACAGGATAGACAGCAACACTGAATGAGAGGACAGCAGAATCATTGAAGTCAATGTTCAGCCACATTCCACCTTCTACATGAACTGTAGCAGTATAGTCACCCTCTACCAACTTTATTATATGAAAAAAAATATGTCATTGATATAGCTGGATATAACTGAGCACAGGTTCATTTTAAAATCATTATTAACATTTGTAATATATCTAAATAAAAAACAGTGCTTAAAGGGACTCTACTAAGGTTTTTGACATGACAGGACTGTACAAAATTTTTGAAATTTTTGTAACATTTAATGTAGGTCTATACCGGTAGCATGCAAAATTTCAGACCATTCACTCACTCCCCTTTTCCAAGAATAATTATTCTAATTGTGAAAAAAAATAACCAAAATCGAAAAGAAACTCTTTTCACTCGAATCTGGCTAAAACTAACACAAAACATGATTTTCAATTTATTTCTGAGTATATTTATTAATTATCTTTTGCATATTTTTCTGTTTAAGTGCCCTAGTTGATGTATAAGTAAGAAATTAAATCTTCATGTTTTAAGGTTATTGGACCTCAGTGGAGTTCATTTAAGGAACTTGTTGATAGAAGAGATTGTCTATCAGGCAGAAATCCTATCTATAAAGTGAGTCACCAGCTGCCATGTTTGGAATTTTAAGGCAATTTTTATCTTATTTTGTAATTTTTGGAATTATTTCCGTTTCATATGATTTATTGATAAGAACATTACAAAATGATATTTGTACATATGCTTAAATTCCTTTCCATTTTTAAAAGAAAATCTGAAACATTTCATTTCTCTCACTCTTTATATTCTTTCAACACTAACCTGCAGGTAAAGGTCACGCCTTCCGGCCTTTGGATAACCTAAATTATCTGTTGCCAGGAGACCAACTTCAGCATAGTCACCAAGATCGAGTGTGTCTATATCATGGTCTTCTGTTTTACTCTCTGGTATAGTGATTCTAGTCTTACGATTCTGAAACACAAAAGATAAACAGAATCTTAGCATATATTCATAAAGGCAGAGGTATGGAGCAAGTTTGGTCATCCTGATTTTAAATTTTAACTACTGACTATTGGCGCTTATTCCAAAATCCAAGTCTAAAATCTAAAGCCTATATTTTTTCTTTCTTTTTTTCCCTTAAGGCTACTGCTTGAGACAGGTACGAAAATAGCTAATTCTAAATAAATGTTTCCCACAACTGGCAAATTATAAGAAATGGTTTAGATGTGTACAAAAGACTCAGATTTATATACAAAATTCTAAGTCTGGAAGACTCATCACAACATGTTGAATCTGACTGCCTTATTTTTAGCACAAATCTTGCATTTCTCATTTTTAAATAGCTTTGTGGTAAAAGGCAATTAAGGTCATCTGAAAAGTAACATAATTTTATTTCTGAAGTTGACATACACTTTAAGTTATAACGAATGTTAGTTATCATTTCTAAGGTATCTATTCTAGTAATTGTTATTTTTCGTGACCAAAAGATAATAAGAGTATATTACCCCATCTCCTTTTCTGTTGTAGATCTTGAGAGTTTTCTTCCCACCTGGTGCTGTATCTTTAGTAAACACTGTACCTGCTGCCCCATTCTCCCCGCCATGTCCAACACCACCATTTGAGAAGTAACTACCAGCATAGTTCACATAACCATAGGAGATACCCATTCTACCACCTGCTCCCCCATTTCTGCCTGATCCGCCTTTCACCTTAGAAAGCAATGTCAGGTATATATATATAAACTAGATTAAAATAACTTCACTTTAATATCTTTGTTGGCATATTATTTTATCATTTTTTAACTGTTTATAATTAAATTATTATACACTTAGCACTTTGGATCAATAACAAGGTTTTCTGCTTGCTTTTTTTACCTAAACATTAATTATATTTCAAAAACATCATATTCTAGTACTTTTATTGACAATAAATTACATACACTACTTCTCTGACATGAAAAAAAAAACAAAAACAAAAAAAACAATTTTCAGATATTTACTTCAATAGTTCCTGAGCCATCTAACTCTGCAGTGGCCATGTAAATACTTCCACCTGACCCTCCCCCACCCGGAGACGAGCCATCCTGACCATTGGCACTTACTCTTCCATCAACTTTGAGCAGTTTGTTAGCATAAAGTGTGAGAATTCCTCCTCCACAACCACCTTTTGTAAGAGAAAGATGATAGATAAAATTACTGCTGTAACTTTCTGTTTCTAAATTAAGAAATTTAATTTAAAAAAGGAACAAATATCAAGATACTTCCAGGAGTTCACCATTTAATGATGAAACAAATATCAAGATACTTTCGTGAGCGTGCATCTCTACTTGTGTGTCAAAATTGTAATGCTTTTTATTTCGAATAAAAACATACATGAATATTTTAGTCCAAATGATTAGTGGTTATAATATTTGCTATCTGAACTCAAAACAAATAAATATTCCATAGTCTCATACTTTCAAATTTCTTCTTAGATCTGCTGATCAAATGTTAAAATTTGAATATACATGTTTATAAGAATCACCAACATACATATTTCAGAAAAATGTGGCTGTATGATTTTCATATGCTTTTAAATAAAGGGACGTAACTTTACCTTTGCCAGATGATCCATCCCCTCCAGCACTGCCAAATTTGTCTGGTTTGATAAAATTACCGTAGCACTGAGGGGAGTCATTGGTGCGACTCTGTGCTCCAGCTTCACCCCCATGGCTGGCTCCAGTACCTGACCCTGAGATAGTCTTGCCTGCCCCTGGTCCCACTTTAAGACAAACATAATGCTATTAGGCTTCTATATACAAAACATTTGCCTCAATACAGTAAATTTCAGTTAGATTTGTTTACATGTAGATTTTAAACACATTCTCTTTATATCTTGGCAGTCAGTGCACCTAAATGGCTTTCCTTGCCAACCTGTAATTACCATTTCCCATGCAAGTGACCAACTATCATTACCATACAATTTCCGAGTCAGTGTTGAGAGACAAATGACCATTAGGCTCATGTTCCAGATTTATAGAAAATTTCAGAACAAAATAACAGCATAAATATCTTGAAATAGGAAACATTAACAAGAACCTGCAACTTGAAATATTAATGTATTCAAACTTAAGCTGAAATGATTAGAGATATAAGACACAAAGAAGTTCCATACTGTATTTTCCATTATTTTTTATCAGTCTTAATTCAAAGGGGCATTTGTTTGATTTATTCTTAGTTCCTTAATAAATGATCAAGGCCATGTTGAGGGATGTATCCTTAAATCAAATGTAAATCATGTTTTCATTTGAGCAGTTTCTGATATTACAAATAAGCCAGCTGTTTTTTGACAATTTTTAACTTTCATAACAATGTGTTATTAACTAATAACTATAAAACGAGGCTAGCAGACTCTCAAAGTAAATTGTGGTGTACAATGTCCAAAATGGACAATTAAATGAAAACCTTAAAGACAACAATAGTAATTAAATTTATCATTTTTGTTCATAGTTGAAAGTAAAATATATTTACTCATGTTACAAAAGCCTTGCCCATCTGTATTCAATGTCCCCATCACATCAACAGTGAGTGTATCTACATTTACATAGAGATTCTTAGCTTGTAATTGTCCACCAGGGAATACCTGAAATCAATATTAAACATAAATAGGAAGATGAACTACAGTTGTCTCCATTTTATTTGTGATCTTTTAAATTTTATATCATTGATAAACATTATGTATGTAACATACAAATTTTTGTTATCTTTAAAGCACTAAGATTGCCACCTCAATATACCATGTTTGTTTATGGAGGTTTTACTACTAAAGGCTCATTGAATGACTAATTCCTTCAATTTAAGCAAACTTCTATTAGGAACATACATGGTAAACATGTTTTACAGAAAGTATATATGTAAATCTGACCAGAACTTTTAATGGGGTTGACAATGAGGATGCAGAATGCCAGTCTGTATCAGTATAGAGTTTTAAGTCACATCAATACTTATAAGGGCATATGGCAATTTTACAGTTTTACTGGTGGTCTGAAGAAGACCTCAGGTGCCACTCTGTGCTCTTCGCATTTTCAGACACAAGTAGAACCAACAACCTTCCATAAACTAGTTGGATATCTTCCTCAGATGAAAGAATCAAAATTTCCTGTCAAGATTCGAACCTAGAGCATTGAGGGGCAAGTGATTTGTATTTTGTGACCAATCCTTGGTCGGTCTGCACATCATGCTATGACAGAAATTAATTATTTCTTCATATTTCTTAACAAGTTGTCGCTCAGCAACCTAAGCATTTTTTCAGGATCTTAATATTTCATATTAATCATATAAAATAATTTCTACCTGTAAATTTTTGCCTATCATATTGTGTTGGAATATGTCATTGTTCATAAAGAGAGAGCCTCGGTTCCTGATACTGAATGCAGTAAAGGTGATGTCATCCATACGCTGATATTTCAGGTCCATCATGTAGTTTATCTTTAATGTACCTAAAGATAGTAATGTATACAAATGTAGACCTTCTGCTTTTGTTTTTAAATAACATATTTTTTTTGCATTTTCTTTCACCATTAAATTTGTGAAATGAACTTGCTCTATTATATATTTGAAACTGTTAATTTTTGATACAATTAATATCAATATAAACAAGAGCTGTCAGTTAAAGGCACTGCACTAAACTGTTCTTAGTGGTTGACAATAAGAAAAGGGTCATAACCCTGGGAAAAATTAACTCAAAATTATGGGACCTAAATTGCCTATCACATTAGATAATCACAGACAACAAGTGTGTGAAGTTCGACCTAGTCCCTATTCAGTATACCATATTGCACGCAAAAACCTAATAAAATTATGACAGTGATGCTTATTATATCCCTATATAATATAATAATCTATTGTGCAAATCCTTTCATGAAAAGTATACTCCTATATAATCTTTACATTTTCATGAAATAAAGGTGATACATATTTGTCTTAATGATATAAAAAAAAACCTAAAATATATTATAATGCCAGTTATTGAACATATATCCCATCAAAATAAGTCACTGTATACCTCCATCAACAATAGTCATGTTTTCAACATTGCCTATAATTCCTTCAACAGTTACTGTAACACCAGCCACTCTCAGTTCACCTTGTAAGGTTGTCAGACTACCATGATACAGTGATACATCCATAGGCAATGCTCCTGTACCTGTATAACAGAGTGAGTAAAATTGAAAATGATATTATGTATCAAATTTTCATGGAATGAAAAGTCAATAAGAGTTAATAAAGTCAATAAAATATTAAAATATTAGTAATTTGTAAAGTATGCACAGAAATTTAACAATAAAGATAGCTTAACAACTATGTATATGGCCATTAAATGTGAATGATAAAATGCTGCTAAACAGATAATAAATAATATGTAAGCCTTAATTCAATATATATTATTACACTTAATAAAAACAAAACAACAACAAAATGAATTTTGAATCATTTGCTGTTGTGGTTGAGTTCTAGTTTAAGAAAGAGAGAAGACTGTTGACATGCAGATTGAGGCGTCTGTCTTCATGGCCTAAAGAATACCTTTGGACATGACCATGTTTCCTAATGATATCCTTTGAAGATTTGAGACTGGTTCAAATATTCTCTAAACATTCTCAGCATAATTAAATATTTGTGAACTGTTTACTTCAAAATTAAAAGACATAATTTCATTAATACAAATCAACCTTAATTTGCTTTGTTCAGGGTAATTTAAATCATGTCCCCTAGTGATCTTCAAAATGTTACTCAAAAGGTTATGGGCTATAATTAAAATTCAGTATAAAATTTTTCATTGCCCCCTTAAAGAAAACTTTGAGTTCAAACATTACAACACAACACAGTAAAGAACCATGACAGCCTGAAATGCTATGTAATTTGACAAGAATCTGAAATCTTGGCTGATTGACAGACCAACTTCAAATTTATATCTTAATATCCCTGAAAGGGACTCTGCACTGGTGGCAAAGTCTATTCACTTTTTCTTCCAGTTTTAAAAAGGTTTCAGTGTTCTAAATATATATACATTTATACAAAATATAACTAATTATTGTACAGTTAAAGGATACAGAAAAGAGAGACAGTCGAGTCATGCAAAGCATGTTAATTTCATTAACCATATTCAAAAATTTCTTACACAAATTACATGCTTATTTCAATGAAAATTTAACAATATTTATAAAACACAAAGTAAAGACAAAGACATAAGTTTCCTGCAGGCATGCACACTGACTACTTTTACCCCTGGTCCTTTAAGAAACTATCTAATGATCTCCTCTGAGTCTTTCATTTCTTTTATGGCAGCTAATATTATGGCTTTATGGTAATTTATCACCATCTCATGTACATATTTACACATTAGCGAAGTACAGACTTGAACTTGGATTTTTTGGTCCCAAAGTACATGTCTAATACATTATGTGACTATCACTCCCCACACAACTCGTATATTAAAATGGTCATATATCCTCATATGACTGTTAGATAAAAAAGACCCAATAGTACTTTTTGACTTTTTTTTATTTGAATTTTTTGTTTGTTTTTATGTCTTTAATATACTATAACAAAAGAATATACTATTATTGTTAAAAGTGAACTGAAGTTTTTCCTGGCAATACTTGATTTTACACTATACAAACTACAAAAATACTCCTCAAGAAGAATATATAGCTGTTTTTTTTTAATATTCAGCAACAGTATTAAAAAAATCTAGTTATTCTTTTCCATAGTCATGTTCTGTAAGAATGATTTTCAATTTGAAACAGTCACAATAAATTTTAAGCTTCTCTAATTTTTTTAATACATTTTTTTCATTCAGACCAAATAACAGAAAGTATAACTATCAAACACAGATTACAGTATTTGTCCAATTGAAATAGCAGAGATTGCATCATGCATACATTGTATCAAAGGCATAGCATATGGTGACATAAAGAATGTAAAAAAAAAATCACATTTACAACACATGAGAATAACTTACTAAACAAATGATTGGGTGGAGCATTTTGACCACCTTTATATATAAAAGAATAATTTTGAAATTAGATATATCAAGGTTACACTTGAGATGGTAAAGTTTGTCAGAAAGATTCAGTAGTTTCAGGAACTCAAATTTACCTTTCAAATCTGAAAATGTTTGACAGTTTCAATATGGAATATTTGATTAGATTTTAATGTTACTCAGTTGTATATATGTGTATATACAGTTGGAAAGTGACAATAAAAAAAATCTACATTATGAAATAATCCCCAAATTTTTGACATTTGTATCTATACTTTTAGTAAATTTTGAAACATCATAATAATTATATGAAAGTCAAAATAAATTTCAAGATTTATTAAAGAAAATTACTGGACACACAATTCAACCCTTTATATTACCTTTTTTTAAACCTATGTATCATCATTCATATAAATGATAATAAATTTGTTTAATAAGCTTGAAAGTAAAATAGAAACACATACCAATAAAGAGGGTCTGATTGTAACCTATGTGTAAATGTCCACTTCTGTCCCCCTCTGTGTACCCTACAATCAGGTTAATCTTGTCTGTATGTCGAGGTCTCACCATTGCTAGCTGGGCTTTTTCATACAGCTATATTAAAACATAAAGACATGAAAAATATTTTCAGAGCTTCTAAATCCAATGTGCAGGCAACCTTTTTCTACTCGTCCTGCATCAGGTTCTCTTAAATCTACTTGTAACAAGAATTTGTAACAGAGTTACCAACGTTCCCCGCCTCAGGGAAGTTTTATATGAAGCATAAAATCAATGCTAGATCTGCAAATGCACCAATAAATTTATTAAAGAAATAAAATGTAACACTCAATTTAAAAATCTATCATGTTAAGCTTTGACCTCTAAGTGTCACCTTGACATTGGAGGTAGGGACACTGGTGTTACGCAAGCATATCATCTTATCATTGTGACTATTTGTGCCAAGTATTTTCAAAATCCCTTGATCTATGAAGAAGTTATGGACGGGACACAAAATATACCATATAACAGACTCTGTTATTTTGACCTCTAAGTGTCACCTTGACCTTGGAGGTAGGGGTGCAGGTGTTGTACTTGACATATCGTCTTATTATTGTGACTATTTGTGCCAAGTTATTTCAAAATCCCTTGAACTATGAATCAGTTCTACATTGGACACAATATACACCCTTTAAAAGACTATGTTAACTTTTGACCTCAAAATGTGACCTTGACCTTGGAGGTAGGGATGCTGGTGTTGCGCATGACACATTGTCTTATTATAGTGACTATTTGTGCCAAATATTTTCAAAATCCTTTGATATAAGAAAAAGTTATGGACCAGACACAAAATATACCCTATAACAGACTATGTTAATCTTTGAACTCCAAGTGTGACCTTGACCTTGGAGGTTGGTGACCGATTGTTGCGCATGACACATCATCTCATTATTGTGAACAATTGTGGCAAGTATTAACAAAATCCCTTCAAAGATAAGAAAGTTATAGACCGGACACGAGATATAACCTCAAATGGACAGTGTTGAATGAGCAAGTACGACCTTGACCCTGGAAGTAGGGGTCTGGTTGTTGCACATGACACATCGTTTTATTATAACAAACATTTGTGCCAAGTTATTTCAGATTCCTTCAATAAATGACAAAGTTAAGGACCAGACATGAAATATACCCTGTAACAGACTATGTTAATCTTTGACCTCCAAGTGTAACCTTGACCTTGGAGGTAGGTGACCGGTTGTTTCGCATGACACATCTTCTCATTATTGTGAACAACTGTGGCAAGTATTTACAAAATCCCTTCAAAGATAAAAAAGTTATGGACCGGACACGAAATATACCCTCAAATAGACAATGTTGACCTTGAATGAGCAAGTGCGACCTTGACCCTGGAGGTAGGGGTCTGGTTGTTGCGCATGACACATCGTCTTATTATAACAAACATTTGTGCCAAGTTATTTCAGATTCCTTCAATAAATGACAAAGTTATGGACTGGACACGAAAGTGTGACGGACGGACGGACGAACAGACGGAGGACAGACGGACGGAGCCTATTTCTATATCCCCCTTTTTTCTTCGAAAAGGCGGGGGACAATAACAAGTGGAATTTTCAATCTCTGATATGATATTGTTTTCTTCAATCCTACTCTTCACGAAAGATTCATCTCAAGAGTTACTAAGCTTTGGAATACGAAAAAAATGAACTGAACATTTTTGGAAGGAAAAGTTTTTGCTTTATTTAACAACGAGTGCAATTTAATACATGAATTAAATATCAGATGTTATTATGATATGCCTAGGCCTAAAAAAAAAAATTGTTTTCTTCGGGTCACCCGACCCTACCTAATAATATGCCCCGACCCTACCGTTTTTTTCGTGTCAAAAAAAAAAAAAAAAAAAAAAAAAAAAAATCGATGAAAATACCGTATTATTGAGGTACTCAATGAGTAGGGTGAAGGGCAATTCAGGCGAAAATTTCGCTGTGTATATTTCCATTTCGCTCTCCCAATTGATCAAAGAGAAGTCAACATCGCCGATAAAATCTTAATTCCCAAAGAGTAATTACTTGCCGATGTAAAGAGCAGAGATTGTATCCGCCCATATGACGACTGCTAATTATCATTATCCAATCAGAGCGATGCTATATACTACCCTTCTACCTGTATGCAAAGCGATAGACCGCCTACTCTAAACAGTAAATAATGAGAGCATCGGCCCGAAACGGGTATATTTTGCGAGTTTAATACGGGATTTGGTGATAATTATAGATTAATTTTTTCCCGATCATCTAAACACGTGCAAATCTTCCCTAATTGATATACAGGCGGTGTTTAACCGAAGTAAAGGCGATGTGCAATGGGTTTTTCACGGCTATCACAAAACTGTTAGTCAAATTCAATTAAATATTGTTATGTCGCTGACGTAATGGCTTGGGGTGAAATGCCCAACCTAGCAGTAAGAAAAAGTTACTGATTCGGATACACCTAATCAGGTACGTATATATGTTAATATACGTACCTGACCTAATACACGCGAAAATTTAAGAAAGCCAATTCGCAAAAATCTTATGATTGGTATGTTGTAGACAGTGAGAGTGTTTTGCATTGTTATCTTTGTAGAAATGCCAAATTTGACACAGCTTGTACGCACGTGGGCACAACATCCTAAAACTACGAATCATGAGAATCATGATCGGCATGCGACATATCGGTCGTATATCATGTGCTCATGTATATAACAACAAAATTTGTGAGGAAAGAAGTGTTCTTATTGTTTCAATATATATATTTGTTTTAATGTCATAAATATGACGCTCAGATTAAGATTTATTAATATTGTAAATTTCAAAAAGCATTATTTATAAAGATATTACCGAGTTAAACATTTCATGAAAATAAAGGGAGGTAATTAGAAATTTATTTTCTATAATTTCTCAGGCGAATTTTTCAATAAGAAATGAATGCATATAATTTTAGTGATCAAATATAATGTGCACAAATGTTTGCAGTACATATTTTACATATTCTTCGATATTTGAAAATTGTTTTATAAGCATAATTATATGCACATAAATGTGACATTACAAGATCACATAAACAGAACAGGATAGACAGATTTTATTAATCATTATCCAATGTAACTTTATCTTCTGTTAAAAGTGAGGAAAGTAAAAATATAAAGTTAATTTCTAATCATCATATTTTTTCTTGCACATTATTATCGAAAATATAAGAGAAAGCTTATAAATAGCTGATAAATAGATTGTGTTTCTATTCTAGTTAAAGGATGTATAGCCATGCATGTTAATGCATACACATTGGGATGTTTCCCTTCTGCCGATTTTTCACGAGGAAGTCACTTCTCTTCTCCCTAAAATTTCCCCCCAGGATGAGCCCTGGGTACGGTACAGGTTTTATCGCCGTTCTTAGTTACAAAATGGCGGATCACATTGTCAATATTTGTAAAACGGCGTGTGATCTTCACCAGAAGAACGCCGAGAGTTTAAGATTGTTACACCTGAAATGTCTTTTGAAAACATAGAAGGGATGTATTTGTGCCACCCGGGAGGGATGTCAGAAATTTCCATATCTGAATTTCAATATACTGGTGAATAAAAAAAAAAAAAAAAAAAAAAAAAAAAAAATCCGACCTACCCTACCTATTCCTTGAGAGCATGTTACCCTAACAAAACAATTTTTTTTTTTAGGCCCTATTACAAATTTGATCTGAACATTGGACAATTCTCAACTTCAAAAGATTTCTTCATTTCTCAAATTCTCATAAAAAAAGATTCATACCTTTATATGATCCAGAACAATATCTTCATCTGTGTTATTGACCTGTGTTGCTACAATGACAGATGGTGGGTATAAGCCTGGCCATATCCAGACAACACCACTGGCAGCTGTGTATTGTGGGTATGTATCAGTGAGATTACGAGCAGGGTTTAATGGCTCATAATCTTTGTTGTTAAGGTACAGGGTACGGTTGTCAATGAAGTCAGATGGAACTGTTCCATTCACAAGTTCAGGTAGTTTGTGAAGATAGACTGTGCCAGGGCCACCTGGTTCACTTCTGGCACCACCAGGACCACCATGGTTGATAAAGTCACCTGAAACGTAACTCAAACAATTTATCAACTTATATATTGCTACAGAGACCACTTTAAAATGTATATCTTGTTATTGTTAACTTTGATATGAGCAAAAAGTTTATTAACTTACCAACAAAAAAGTTGTACATGTAGTATAGTGTGACACGTCCACCTCCTCCACCACCTCCATGCTTAGACACACTTCCTCCATAACCTTTTCCACCAGAGGCATCAACTTCTCCACTACCATCAATGGTGTAGGTCTCAATATGGATGGTTCCACCACTACCCCCTCCTGCTGCCACAGACCTCCAAGCACCTCCCTGCGCTGTCAGAAAACCATCAACAGTCAGTGTATGATTAACCTTCAGGTATAAGTCTGCCTCCACCCACACCACCAAGATGGGGAAATTTAGAGTGACCACCATTCTTACCAAACTTGGTGGGATATAAGAATGAAGCATGGGCACCACCGGCTATTGGTTGACCTTCACCTTGACCTCCATTTCCACCATGACCTCCACCTGAACTTCCATCAAGGTGACCATGACCAGCTCCTACACCTGTATAAACATTATAAACTTTATCACCAAAACTTAAAGTACCAATTACTATTCTATAAATATTCCTAATTTAGATCAACATTCTGATAGCTGTTTTAAACTTGATTATATAGAAAATCCCTTTAAATTCAGATTTCCTTTAATTTTCTTTTTTAATAGCTTTAAATTGGTCAAGGTATCTTCCTATAAACCAAGGTTTCACCAGTCTGAGTCTTAATTTTATGGGGCTACATCAATTTTTCATGACATGGCACAAGAACTCATAGGTTTAGACATCAGTCAGTTTTGGATGAACAATCAGTTTTCTTTACCATTTAGCTAAAATAAACAAGTATTTCTATATTTCTATATAGATTATACAGACATGTAATTACCCTCATGTTGTAGATTGTATGGACAACCTTCAGTGACAGTCATTAGACCATATGGTTCTATGGTCACATTGTAGTAATCTAACTTCAGATCATTAGAGGTTAACTGAAAACACAAAACATAATGGTAAAAATAATGTATTTTTTGAAAGGCCACTAAATCTAGTATTTTCACACAATGAAGAATCATTTTAAACAATGAAGAATTATGTTTCTCATCCAAAGACTAATATTCTAGTCTAAATAAGTTACATCCCTAAAATTTTCTAAGCAAAACGGTGATTTGAAAAAAATGTGAAATTTTAAAAAATGACACTCTCATTCATTATACAAATACAATAATTCATTGATACATGTACTTCCTTCATGAAATTTAAATATTCAATTCAAAATATTAAGATTGTTGGGTTTATAGGTTGAAGTTACATGGCACATTTTCAACTATAAATTGTAGCTGAAGGGGCCAGAAAACAATTTGAGCATTACTTCAGGAACAAGCTGGATGGACACTATAAGCTCTTGTTAATTACAGCCGTTTTATAAGAATACAAAGCTTACCCTGGCACCACTGCGGACAGTGAGTGATGTACCAACAAGAGTTGTTAATGCCTCTTCTTCAGTAAAAACTCTGACAGATCCAAAAGTCTTGATGTCTAGATTATCTATAGAGTTCTCAGTAACTTTATGATGGTCAATTGTCAGGTTACATCTGGCATTCACTGTGAAGTTCTCCATTGAGTGAAAGTATCCTGAAATACAAAATTTAATCGTAAATATGTAAAACCAACAAAATCTATAGTTTCAACTGTATCTTCTTTAGTTGACCCACAGAGATATATCGTGGCTTATCAGCTTCCAGTCAGGGCAAGGTCACCATAGCATTCGAAAGTTGAAGATCAATTTTAGGGCTCAAAACGAAATAGACTTCATACAATTTTCAATATTTAGGTCTGGAAAATGTAGGTGTGATATTATTAAAGATTGACCGAGGTCCTGTAATAATGCATCATGATATTTGATATATTTCTTTCAATAATTTTTCAGCTCCTCACTGATAGTTTTGATTTAATACTTTGAATGGCATTTACAACTATTTAGATTCACTAAAGCAAATTTTGATAAGAACTTATGTGTTAGGAAATCTGATGTAAGTTAGAAGAAACGAAAGGGACATAACAATTATACAGGCATGTAAACAAAGACTAGAGCCATTAAGTTCACTAGATAAGGTTTATCAAAAGTTTACTACTTTCATTTTCTAGTTTAAGTATACCTTCAGAACAAAATTTATTATATTTAGTAAAGCATCTGAAAAAGCATCTCAAAAATTATCTTAAGATGACTTTTACGCGTACTGGAACTTTTTTGAAACACTTTTATCAAAAAAGTATGCAAAAATTAGTTAAATATTTTTTAACAACCCACCTTTAACATACATATCTATTCCCCGACAGTCAAGCTCTAAAGGTAAATTCAGGCTTGATTCTCTCTGAGTGAGGATACCAAATGTTTGAAGGACTCTATCCTGTGTGTTGTTATATGTCTGTGATCGTCTAAGAGTCACTCTGCCTGTATCGTCCCCATAGACCTGGTGTGCTGTTAGCTTCATGTTAGCATTGTCAAGATTAAGAGAGGCTCCTCCCAAAATTTCTAACTGTAAGCAAAAGTCAGGCATTCACACAAAGATGGTGTAATCAAAAAGATACAATTGGATTTGTACATTGATCAAACCCATAAAAATATTATATCATCTTCTTTGTGTAGTAACAGGTTAAGTCCTTCTAAATTTAATAGGAGTTAACCAGTTATTGCACTAAGGCGATGATATGAAATTTCTCTACAATCATGTCAAATATTATGTACAATTTCTATTCTTTAATAGAAATATTACTTACAAATATTTTATATTCTAAAATCAAAACTACAAATAACAGTTTGTCATTTAATGGCAAAGTATAAATTAAATACCAACAGGGACAAAACACCATTTTTGGGGAAGGGGCCTCAGCCTTTTTCTTGGGGAAAATATGCGTGATTTTGGCATTCTTTGGGAAAAGGGGTCTCAAATTTAACACAAACTTTTAACAAATTCTTCAAAATAGAAAAGCAAAAAGCACTGTGAAATACTAATACTGCAGTAAAAGGCCTTAATTCAACACCATCATTTAATTTTGTTCAAAATTCTATGGGAAATTTCAAAAGACTGGGGAATTTTGAGGACCAAACTGGGGAAAAAAAGAGGCTAGTTTGGTTGGGGAAGCAGCCTATATTCGGCCTCTACAAAGAAGGGTTTTTTGGCCCTGACCAATAACAGATTGATGTGAACATTTGATTAAAAAAAACAACAACTGAAAGTAATATACATGAACCTTTAGTAATGTTAAGATTTCAACCTTTTACACTTACAGCATGATTATGAAAACTAGAGACAAGTATATTTAGCATTTTACCTTGTCAAATGTGAATTTGGTGGTAGATGTCTCTGGTAGTATGAAGCCTGCACCATTACCATTGTTATATGGTGTCTGTGTGATAGATGTTGGGTCTTCTTGTACATATACCTCTACCTCACTGAGTGCCACATAACTTCCACTAGCCCTTAGGTGTATGATGATCTGCAAATGTAGTGTTGTATGTTTGTATGTGTTTACTGATACATGTAGTATCTAACATGAAAAAGTCATGAAGATTTTAAATTATTTTATCTTTTAGTAGTATATGTATGAATGTGACAATTCTTTAAATATTAACACATTTTTATACTTTGCACAAGGAATTTAATTTTTCATAAATTGTCTCTTTAGTAATTTAAGATGTATGGTGGCAGATAAAGCAAGAAATACATCAATGTTACAACTGCACAATATAAATCTTCTCCGTCACTAAACAAATAACAATTACAAGAGCTATCAGTGATCATTGCTGCCTGATGATAGCCAGTTAAGCAGTAGGGCTGAGGGGTGATTAGAAAGTTTGTTACCAATATGTCATGGCTTCTTTGTAGAAACACAAAACTCATTGACAGGCCAAAATGCGATTTTTTTATTATTCAAGGGCTATATCCCTTCAAAACAATAAAAGTGAACTAGACTTGGTTCTGATTATTCTTGTAAAATTAAGATAAAATTGCACGAGTAGTCCATAAAAGTTTTGACTCATTGACATAAATTGAAATTCTATCAGAAAAGTTAAAGCTTTGTGTGAAATAGAAAATAATGTTATTAAAACATTTTACAAATATAATCAGTAGTATTTACCTTGTCAATATTGTCCCTAATTTCTACAGTACCAAACTGGTCAGGTTCTCTCTGTGTTTGGCAATAGTCTGTATTTACAAAGCCATTTGTATGACTGGTTACTGTTCCACCTTCTAGTGAACTTCCTACTGCATATGCTGTCCCATATATACTGAAAACAGCATGAATAGATTTTCAAAATATTGAACTGTTCACTAATAAGGGGACAAAAAGTGTCAGTGGAATGATAACTTGGTATAATGGCAGAAGGTTATTCCCATGGTCATTGGTTTGAGTCCAAGTCCAGTTGCAATTTTTTTCTCACCCATACACTTTTGGTTCCCAGCTCAGGACCTTCATAGTATATAGGTCCATTCATTGAGTAGTGTTCTCTCTACCCATAAGAAATTCCACATATTATTTCAATCAAGTGGCGGCTTGGCCGAGTGGTTAACACGTCGGACTAGTAATCTTAGGATTGCTGACCGCGTCGGTTCAAACCCTGTCAGGGGCAAGCCGTTGTTTCCTTGAGCAAGAAACTTTACATTCATTGCTTAGTACTGGTTGGTTCCAGGAACGGATTCGAGAGTGTTTCAATAAGCTTATAGCTTCCAACACAATAGAACTAAAATAAATTTGTATAAACCAATCTAGTTGGGGAGGTAGTATGGTATAAACTTTTCTCTTATTAGAGGACAAAAGAAGTGAATTTCTAGGTATCTCAGTTGGTAGAGCCGTAGAACAGTATTCCAAAGGTACTAGTTTGAATTCCAGTCAGGCTGCAAATTTTTCTTAGCTCATGACATTTGACATCAAGCATGGGATCATGATGGTTTATAGCTCTAAAGTCATTGAGAAACTTCTCTGTACTAGGAAGAAATGTGAGGACAAATTTTAAGATAATATGTGTCATAGTATAGAACTGTTCTCTAATTAAATGAGAAAATGTGTTAAATGGGCAAAACATAGAGAGCATTAAAATATAACCCTCCTATTCAAAATAATCAATGCTCACAATACAAATCAGCAACTTATTTATCATTTTTTATTTCATGAAGCTATGTGGCACTAAAATGAAAATGACAGGTATGATGAGTTCAATATTATCTTTTTAGGAAATTACACATCATTTTTGCGAGATAGTAAGTTAAGAACTACTTACTTAAAACTCTCACAGTATGGAAATATTTGCAGATACTCCACATAAGTTTTATATGGTAAGTCAATGGTCAAGGTTGCCTGTTTTGCATGTGACATGTAGATCGTGTTCACATTTGCTTTTCCAGGTGTGAATAAATGGCTTAATGGATAAGTTGGGTAGTAGTAGTTGGCATCTGGAATACTATGTAACACACTATGTGGACGTGCTGTAGTTGTAGTATTAACACCATTGTGACTATGGAAGACCATTTCTGGATAATTTCTTGTTGTGTAATAATTTCCTGCTAAGTTGAGACGCTCCACTTCATAAATTCTGTTGCTTGTAGAATGACCATTGTTATCTACTGTCAGATGTCTATAGGCTGGAGTTACAAAGCGAGACTCCAGATACACAGTTCCTGGGCCACCATATTGCTCTGTACCCCACCCACCATGTACAAGGTATTTGCCAGTGAAGTGGTTTTGGTCTGTGTGATAGATAGCTATTCGTCCACCTCCCCCTCCTCCACCATTTGTACCTCCTGTAATATAACATTTAAAACTTTATTTCCTTGAACCATTTTTAGCTCGACTTTTCTATGAAAAGGGGAGCTATCCTACTCGCCCCGGCGTCGGCGTCGGCGTCGGCGTTGGCGTCACACCTTGGTTTAGTTTTTCGTACCACCCCACTTTATTTCAGAAGTATTACAAGTATGGCTTTGAAACTTACCATACTTGTTCACCATCATAACCTCCATCTACAGACAAGAGTACATAACTCTGTCAAGGTTTTTGACAGAATTATGGCCCTTTTTTGACTTAGAAAGTGTATTGAGCTTGGTTAAGTTTTTTGTACCACCTCACTTTATTTCAAAACCATTGGAGGTATTGCTTTGAAACTGACCATACTTGTTTACCATCACGACCTTCATCAACAGACAAGAGGACATAACTCTGTCAAGGTTTTTGACAGAATTATGCCCCTTTTTGACTTAGAAAATACATTGAATATGGGTAAAATCCACTTATTGCCTTAACCCTTTGAGATATTGCTTTGAAACTTTTAATGCTATTTCACATCATTACCCCCATCTGTACGCAAGAGAAGGTAACTCTGTCAAGGATTTGTTTTAAAAATTAAGGCCTTTTATCGACTTAGAATCTTGGTTAAGTTTTTAGTACCAGTCCACTTTTTGACTGAACTGTTTGAGATATTAATTTGAAAGTTGGAATACTTGTTTACAATCATGATTCCCAAACATGTCCAGGAGAAGGTAATTCTGTCAAAGATTTTATTTGAATTATGGCCCTTAACTGTCAATGTTTTGTATTATAGGCAAGCACTAAAAAAGTTTTTTTTTCTTTCTTACCAGCCCTCTTTTGACTTAAACATTTCAAACTTTGCTGCAGTGTTCAAGGGTATCACACAATTCAGTAAAATAATTCTTCACTAAATATCTTAATGCTCATGGCCATTGTTCACTTTAAAAATACAGAGATTCTTGTATTGCCTTTTACTGCAAAAACTTTTTTTATTGGCAAGCAATAAAAAAGTCGAGCGCGCTGTCTTACGGACAGCTCTTGTTAATAGTACTAGTGTGGCTGAACAACATGTCCATAGCAAAGATAAATAGAAAACTTAAGAACTTGCCAGACCAACTGGACAACAGAACATGGTATGATGCTATGTTAAGCATCTTCAAACTGTGTTAAAGATATAAGGATTTGAGTTGGTATCTGTTTTACAAAGTATAACCTGTAATAATATTTGGTAAGTAAAATAATCCTCAGACAGAAATACAATTTAATTTCAAAAACCAATTATAATATAAATCAATCTGGCATGAAAACAACATTGTTAAGCAGCAGCCTTCAAAGATTTGTTGATGACTTACTATGTTTTTTAAAGTATGACCTATTGCTCTGTTCATGGTGAGTAAGAACAAGGTTGAGTTAATTGAATTCCTTTTAGAAACAACCATTCATTAAATAAAGTTTTGGAGGATATCCTCTATTGGTTCTCATAAAAGTGTGTTTAAATTTTTTTGTAATGCTTTATTTAGCTCTACTACCATAAAAGAGATGTTAGGTTAAAATGAACAAAGTTAAAGAAGAACCAACAGAAGCGGCAAGAAGATAAAGTTCAATAAAGACTCAATTATTAACTAATTGGACAAAATCTTTAAAGGATTTTTCCTTTCCTAATACTTTTGTAGCCCATAAGTCCTCTGTCAATTAACATCAATGATTTGTAAATACCTGCTCCTCCTGTGACTTCAATAGATCCGGTTCCATCAAGATGATTGGCTGATATATATAGAGATCCTCCAGCCCCACCTCCTGCTTTACTGTCTCCACCTTTTTCACCATTACTATGTAATCGACCTTCAACCCTTAATTCATCTTTGATAAACATGTGTATTATACCTGAAAACAAATAAAAAGACTCACCTTACAGATAAATAGCATTGAATTACATAGGAAAACTAGTTGCATAAGCAAATCTTATTTTTCAAAGAGTCATTATCAACATGTTATGTTTTTGAAATATGTACAAACCCAAATGGCAACCAATCTGTCATGTTCTCCACCACCCTACCAAATCTGAAGACTGAAAGCCAGCTTATTTGGTGAAAGTCACTGTAAACATTATCCTCAATGGGTATGATTTACCATTTACATGAATGACCACTGATAACTGTAGGTCAAAGCATTGTATAGTAATGGCCAAGTTGTTTTGGAGGTCAAGGTCAGGGTTATTGGTCACAGTAACCTCGACCTTTGACATGCTGTCCTTGAAATCAATAAAGGTAATAACAACCATCCTTAGAAAGACAAGGTCTGGTCTTACTGACAAACACATTGACAAAGCACTACCTCATTTGTTAAAAGTGGGACAAGAAAGTCTAATTTTGAAACAAATACATTACCTCCACCCCTACCGCCATTTCCACTTGGAGAATTACCACCTCCACTACCCATCTGAGTGGGGAAATACATAGAATCATAAGAGTATGCTGAGAAATATCCATTTTTACATCTACCCCCACGACCTCCATGACCAGCACCAGTACCTCCACCTTCGTGAGTGTTGGCATTTCTTCCTTTACCATGACCCTCGTTGCCAGGGAAACCAGTGTAGTCAGCATGGAAATCACCTATAAATTAGAGATCATATCTTTTCAATGTGTCATTTGGTATCATTACTATAAACTAACAGTACAGTACTAAGCTAAGCATTGTTTCTATTTTCAATAACTCTGATGTTGTGTCTGATATGTCTACAGAATATGTTATGAGAAATCTGATAAAGATCTGATCAAGAAAATGCTAGCTATCAATCAGGCATTGTGGACATTCATTTACGTTTCTTTACACAAGACATTGGTTACTAGGCAGTATTATTTTTTGTTGATTTGTCAATTAAATCATCAATGGTTAAGTTTCCTATTTTCCTATTTTGTTTACATAGCACAAAAGTCAGTCAAGTTTAATGGTATGGCAATGTTTTGTTTTCCCCACTTACCTGACAGGTCAATTGTAACATTTGTAGCATTTAGTTTCAGGCTATTAGTCCTCACATAACCATTGCCGTTCACCACAAGCCTAGTCACGATCAGGTTCATCTGTTCTACAGCTGTCAGAGGCTCAAACTTTCCACCTGCTCTCACAGAAATGTTTGTTGCCACAAGCTGACCTTCCTTGTAGCCATCTGAGTTGGCATATGACCAAATGTACAGTTCTCCTTCATTTTCTACAGCTATAACATTCATGCCTTCTATAGTACCGTTAATCTCAGCCCATACTTCACGCAGCGTCACTTTTGATGGAACTTCTATTCTGCTATACCTAAATATAAGAAATAACAGATAGAAAGTTAGCCTCTTCTCATACAATGTAAATTGTTGAAATTCCACAAGAAACAATGAATTCTTTCACAAAAAAAAAAAAAAAAAAAAATATGGAAAAACTAAGGAGCAAACCTAGAGGCCTGTGTAAATATTCTCAGATATTTTTTTCAAAATTTTGGATAAACTTGATAAAATATCAAATATACAATATACAAAGTTATCAAGAGTATATTTGTAAACACTTATGCATTCACAATACCAAACAAGCAAATATCTATATTCTGCCTTTACAAAGATATTATTAAAATATTTCAAGTATAATTTCAATAAACTTTGACTCAAGTTTGCATTAATTAGTAATTCAACAGATATACCTCCTAGTATAGTAGGAAAATTTTAGACTGTCAAAAGATTCTCAACAAGAATTTATCTGCTTTTCAATTTATAAAACATTAAATTGAAGAAAAACATTGCTCTAAAGATTATTGTATGCCAGCAAATCATCACAGGAAACATATGTGACAATACCCCTTGAAGATAAAGATTGATGTATATGTATAATGTATATAACCCCTTGCATTTTGTAATGTTTCTTAAATAATCATAACCATGAAATACCTGTATGCTGCTAAGTTAGTCGGCAAATACACATCCACATCTCTCAATCCAAAAGTCTGATTTTTCCCAGCATGCAACACACCGGTCCTGTCGCCCCAGAGAAAATCTACACGTAAATCAATGACTTCATTGTCTGTGTCACTTAAAATAGCAACATGGGCGTTTCCACGTACGTCCAATTCCTTAAAACTGTACGCAAGTTTGTCATGATAAAGCCAAGTTACACCACCAGTGTTAGTGATATCTTTATATTCTCCATTTAGAAGATTTCTCAAGAAGCCAGCATTGTAATCTGCAGCATGAGGGTAGGCATGGCCATTGTTGTCAACAGTGAGTTTCTTTTTGTAAAGTGTACCGTTTTCGTGCCTTGCTTCAAGGTATGATGTCCCTGCCCCTCCGGTCTCACTGTTACTTACGCCTTTACAAAATTATGAAATAACACTATATATAAAAGTCATTTTGGGTTGGTTTAATCATCTTTAAACATAATTAGTGTTAATTTTTATCAATTAATTTTTTACATTCTACATTTAAGTGAATTCACATTTTTCAGATGTGTACACTAATTTATAAATCATCTTTTAAACATTATAAGTGTTAATTATCAATTAATGTTGTACATTCTAGGATTAATTAAGTGAATTAATGTTTTTCAAAGGTGTACAAATAATTAATCTTCAATATTACTCAAATTTAAGATTAATTCCATCAGTCTCCTAGATTCACGACCAATCTACATTATTGACATAAAGATTATTTGCAATATAAACATAATCATAATTCCCATTCAATCATTCATAATGGAACATGAAAATTAACTTTATTACCGCCATAAGCTCTCATGGTGATATTGAATTTATGGATGTTATCACACTGTACAGAGATTCTGCCTCCAGCACCCCCACCTCCAGCCTGACCTTTGACCCCTCCTCCATTACCACCAAAAGCTGTGATTGTTCCATGTCCAACAACTTCCTCACATATAATCCAGATAGCCCCACCAGCTCCTCCACCTTCATACACATAAAACCAAATTAGATAACTGTGTAATGACTATTTAAGATTTTCAGTGTTTTTTCCCAAGAACAAGAAGTTAGGTATTCATTTTGGTGCAATGACATTATATTTTACACACAGCTTTATTTTTACTCGACAGAAAGCTGCAAAGATGACCTTAAAAGTTTCTATGCAGGACAATAAAAAAAAACATTCCCCAAAAGTAAGTTCATTTATGAAATAAGAAACAAATTCTTTATCATATTTCAATCAATGATTTTTTAAAATCATTTAAAAAAAAAAAGTTTCAGAAAAACTACAGACATACATTTTTTTTATGCTCAGAAATAATGCAAAGAAGTTGTCAAATATAAATAACAGTTCTTTACCATTTTATATGTAATTTTCAAATAATACTACCATGAAAGATTACACTAATAATATGCTGTAAAAATTGAATGCAATGACTTATAAAACTATATATAATTGCACATAATGTACATTTATTGACTGTTCATTAGCTACATTAAGATATAACTTTTGTGCACCTACCTGCACCTCTATCAGATCTAGCATCAGGGTTCATGCCATTGGCAGCTACTAATCCATCAATGTCTACATGTCGACTACGGACCTCAAGTTTACCTCCACCAGGTCCACCTAAACCTTTACGTACCACAGTATTACCATAGACATTGTCACCAAAATATAGTTCACCTGTAACAAGACAGTAGGACAACATGCTTGACTATTCTTAGTGTTTGATAGTCAAATAAGAGCCTGGATAATGAAGAATTTTCAATGTTCAAAAACGGCTATAATTCTGTCAAAATCCATGTAAGAGTTATGGGCCTTGGACAGTTACCTCTTGTTTAGCTCTCAAATAAGTGTATGAAGTTTCACCCCATTCCCTTCAGAAGTTTTGCAGATAAAAATTTGCACAGAAAAACTTATCAAAGTGTGAAAATTATGTTGACCCCTTGCCAGTACAATAGTTCCCGCTATTCTTAAATAATTAAGCTAACAATAATGAAGATGTTTAAAAAGTATTTGTACAGTATTTATTGTCAACCTTTTGTCATCATACTTTCCCTTTCTTTCATCTTCTTTTTAAACAATATGCATACATGTACTTGTGAAAGCCTCAGAAACTGGAAATTATGATACCATTTTATCCATTTTTTTCAATCAAACAAATAAAGTTTTAGCAAGTTAACACTTGAGAAAAAGTATTGCCTTTGTCATTTTAAATCAACTTTACTGAAAAATCTTTGTCAAAAACTATCACTACAATTTTAAACTATAATATAGACCCTTTCATTTAAGCGATAACAGTCAGGAAAGAGTTACTTCCCTTACCGGATGTGACGTAAATGGGGGATAAAACTATGCAGGCCGCATAGAATGTTAGCTTATTGAAAAGTTAAATGCGTAAATACTGATCGTTCAATTATGATTATAACATGTAAAAATTTACGCATGCATACATAAATTCCATATCAAGACAATAGAAAAAATACAAAAACAAAGATTGAGATTTATTCTCGCTACGGAGTGAAATAGCGAAATTTCAAAGTGAATATATTTATAAGATCTAGATTTTCTCTAATGCAAGGATATAAAGCTAGTAACTAAATCAAATTTTGATATTTTATAAACACCCATACACACTGAAATTGCTTATTATAAATTTAAATGGCCCTTTTTCTGTTTTATTTTCTGTCATTTAGAAAATTCTGGCGTATTTGTGACAAACATGAAAATAAGATTGCCACTGTCTTTTAATGATAGTTTTTCAAGCTTTAATAGAACAATAACAAAATGCATTCTGTCAATACTTACTGATTCATTTACATTATGCCGTATAAAAATATTTCAAAGAACCAGTGAAGGATATAATTTTATAAATATTCCGGAAAGAGCGAAAACCATATAGCATTGACTCTTATAATTTTAGATTCGCAACAGACGATAATTAGATAATTTTGATATCGAAAATCTATTCTTTTGGTTATAAAAATAAAGCCCTTTTCCCAGTAACTTATTTTATAGATAAATAGATGTGTATATAAAAGCGCCACTGGACCGTAACATATTAATTAAGAGGGTACCTATGTTGTATATACCAGCGGCACTTGGCTGTGATATCATAAATCACCAGGGTGCAATTTTTAGAGTTATAACATTACATCAGATTACGCCACTTTTGTTAGTTGTCAAAATATTTATGGTCCAAATTTTGTTATGGATCATCCTAGGGACTTTATTGGTCATGCCTAACTGATTTGATACTCGATCCAGAGTCCTACCAACTGGCACAGTCAAAAATATGTAAAATTATAATTCAGTTAATGAACGTGTTCCACAACTTGTTTTTGTTTTTTGTGAATGTTTTAAATATTTGATTAGCAGAGTATGAATTAAAAAGTATCAAGTTGAAAACATTACTTAAATACCAGCTTAAATATATTGGTGTGAATCTTGGACTATTTTTTGAGAGTGCATTTTTTGCCGACACAAATTAATGGTATTAATTATGTCTTTACATTTATTTTGAAATAACATAGATTTATATTGTTGTTTTTCTTTGTCTTAGTAATGCTTAAATCAAAATGATTTTTAATAAACCAGTATCTTGCAATTAAATATTACGCAGCCGTTTTTCGAAACTACAGAATCCTTACATTTTTGAAACTCAAAATATCTTTTGGGTATTGTATGTAAGCAGACACATAGATACATTATCTATATCTCTGGTATTAGCATTCAGTTAGTACGATTTAACTGACTGGTAAAATTTTCATTATAAAGAATCAAACGAAAATGGTAATCATGATCAGTTACCCAGCAATATCAGGTCTACTATTAAAACAAGTCGTTAACCATATTATATAGTAAACATATTTATTCATTTCACCATCCTTTTTATGAAATATCTTATTCAATTACACAAAATTTTGGCAATTTCAATCTGCCAATCTTACAAGAGAAAGGATTAAGATCTTTATATCCCTCTATTATTGTACTTAATCGTATCGGCATTGTCCACCGTATCCCCCAATGACGTCATCCAAGGGCGACAACTTGAATACGGTCTTAAATGAAAGGGTCTATAACTCTCTTTTGTTTGTAACTGTTTATATGTACATTTTGATAGAGGCTCATAGGGAAGACTGCGGGCTTGCCTTACTTATAATGTTGCCTCTTTAAATAAAGTCTTTATTAATTATCATCATCATCATCATCATCATCATTAAATGCAAAAATAAAGTCTACAAACCAAAATGGTATCCATGGCCACCTGCTGATCCTGCTATATTAGGTTCATACATGGAGTCATACCCTATACCAACTGTTGTGAGCCCAGAGCCTCGACCTCCACTTCCACCGTGGCCACCACCACTTCCTCCTGATGCTGAACCTTTAAATAATGATACACACAATGTAATGTAATATTTTTCCATTTAATATAATCTTAAGCTTTTAAAAGAAACAGATTGTTCTTCCATATACTAATCTATGCATTCGGTCTTAATCTTCAGAGAAGACCTTAAACATTAAAACAGTAGTTTGAAATAAACTAATAAAGAAATAAAGTATGTTACAACTATTTCCAACCAAAGACTAAATGATAATTAATTGCCTAAGCCAGCAATATTCAACGTGATCAAAATCTGTCATAATAACAATGGATGGTTCAAGATTCAAGGCAAGACACTATGCTATTTAATGAATCTAGAATGGGAAGAATAAAGTAATTTATCTAACACCAAGAGGGCTCTTAAATGCTGTCAGAACTCAATGCTCTTCAAATAAAGTCATCCCAATGTGGCACCAAACACATTAAATCTCAGGTACATTAATGTTTGAAATAAACATACCTATTCCAGGTGCTGGTCCGTGATTCACTGAATCAGACAGAAAACCTGCTCCACTAAGATCTAACTTGCCACCAGAATATACAGCCAATAAATGGTGCACAGTCATTTTTAAAGCCGTGTTTACTTTGAAATGGCCTCCTCCATATATCTACATGAAAATTTATCAATATAAAGTTCATCCAAAATTCCTTTATAATTTTAATGGGACTTATTTATTCATGATGAGGAAAGATAGTATGAACAATTTTCATGCAGTAAAGTGAGTATTCTAAGTAATGTATGAGCATTTATACTTAGAACTTTTTACACTTTTTGACAAATAACCCTTGAATCATATCATTACCTACAGACTGGTAAACCTATCCAACTCAAAACAATATATATTTTTTATTACGAAAACAAAAACAACAGCATGATGCATCAAAAATATTTTTACTAAAAATTCCTATAATTTTTCTAAACGTCCATGACAAATTTATCATAATAAGATGAAAAAGCCTAGCGGCATTAAGGTTATAATTCACAACAAAGAAAACATTTTTCTTAAATTCGTTTTTTTTATAAAAATTTTAACATTGAATGTAAAACTATTTCACTATACTTATAGGGAATTTATAGATAACATACTGATATATTTGTTGCATCCATATTGAAGCTATCAAGAGATGTGTAAGATTTCATCTCAAACGTTCCTGCCTCCTGTACATGCAGAGATTTCATTGATACTTTAGCACTGGTGTGACTGGTTGCTATGCTACCACTCGTATCTATGGAAACCAGTCCTCCTTTGAACACATACAGGTCTTCCATTCCTGAAACCTGTTTATAAGCAAACAAGAAAAAATTCATGGGATAAATGCATCACTTTTCCTTGAAAAAGAAATGGTTCATAACAGGGTTGTAAATGGAAATATTGAAGTTGGATCACCCAAAATGACAATTTCAAAATATTGCAGACTTAGCTTGCTAGACTCTCAGTTCATGCAAGCTATCGTCAGCACAAGTTTAGGCTGAATTCTTCTAGAAAAAAAGCTGTTCATGTGGACATCACAAAACTGTCAGAACTTAGTTTATTGTTCTGCAGGTAAGTTGAGATACAACTGTTTTGTACTGCTAATTTTCTCTAATTTTCTCTTGAACTACTTGGAGCCCTGTGCTTGCTCTGTGTTTATAATTCAATGAAAATAAAAAAAAATCCATTTGTGCATTTTCATCAGAACAGCTTATGCTCAATACTAAATTTTTTCAGCAGTAGTTTCTTTATGCATAAATGCCAAAAACAAGTCATTTAATTATCACTCACTATTTCTAAAATCACAAAGTTGTGTCATATGAAAAGATTTCTGGATTTATGATTGATAATTTAAAGCTTCGGCTCAAGGAATAACATGATCTATTTCCAAATAAAATCATTCAAACGGAGGGCACATAACAAGGTCATTGTGTTTATTATATCATGAAAATAATTCTTTTCTCTTTCTGAACATTTTTCTCACCTTTCCAGAAGATACAAGTTTTGTCTTGTAGAAGAAAGTCCGTGGTGGGTATGTCACATGACCAGTTTCATAAACATGGGTATTAAATGGAACATCATATGCTGTTTTGTTAATAGAAACTTCTTGGTTGTAACCAACATGAAGAAAACCTAAATTAAAAGAAGCCTGTGTGATTATATACATATAAAGAAACATCAAAATTCTGATACAAACTTAAGAACCTCATGTCAGTAAAGTATATTTTGGCATCACTTAAGGAGTAAATGTGCCCAGATAACATTTGTGGCAGAACATTGGATTATCAGTATATGATAATGAAGATATATTAACTTTAAATCAAGACATAATTCATCTTTATCCTGTACCAAAAAATGCAGCAATGTTTATTAACTCAGACATATTCTTATATTCTTATATAATGATAATAAGGGACTGGGTATTACTCTTTATAACTTTGCGTTCACGGATATAATTTAAATCATTAAGATTTTAGAATAAATTAATCACTCACTTGATTATTGTACATGATTTTCTGCTGTTTTAATATCACATCACTTTTAAAATCATGGAATCCACACGCATATTAGCTCTCAAAACAAAACTATCAATTTCCAAGTATAAACAATAAATAAGAAGGTTAGGCTGGTCCAAGAAAAATTCACATACATTTAAGCGACTCTAGCTACTGAAAATTGAACAATTGATATGTTACCTGTTTTGTCTCCAATGACATTACCAACATCAACCAGTACACCATCTGTGTAGTCATGCCTTGGCATAAAGGCAAGATGAGATTGTCCTTTCAGAATGACCTCACTGAATGTAAACTGTTCATTACGATCGGCAAAGATCCATGTAGACGCTCCAAAAAGACCAATATGTTTGTACCTACAATAAGAAGAAAGTTTGTCATTCAGAAAATTTATGTTAACTGGTTTAATATTGAGATTCATTTAAACTTAAAAATATTCAGAAACAATATTCAATAGGTAAAAATTCCTTCAACCTCTTAATATGCTTAGATTAAAATACATTCAACATTTTTCATACCAAGTACTGTCACTGGGTGAAAAAAAGTGTGCAGTTTGACAGGGTCTCGAACACATGACACTCAGAATACTGTTTCAAAGCTGTACTGACTTAGCTAGCCAACGACTTACATATTTTCTCCTGAGTAGTGAAAAGTTCTATCCTGTAACTACCTTGAAAATACTTGTTAAAACTGAAACATGTTGATATGTTTTATAAAATGAACAGTTACTGAGTTCATTTGCTCTCTTACTAGAAGACTAATGAATCAACTTTGATTATTAAAGTTTAATGTATGAAAACTACATACTATTTAGCTAAAGCCCTTTAAATGCGAATAGCAATTCCATTTTCCTTCCACATCCATGTCAAACTATAATGTTATACTCAATGATTCTTTTATGACATCAACTGCTTTATTTTCTAACATCAAAACAATGGTCAAATTTGAATTAAAAGCAGTGTAAGCTCATTATACAAAATTATTGTCATATTTAGGATTAATTTCAGCAGTGATAGGTTAATTTTGAGCAGATTTCTTTTCAAAAATCTTACCTGAGCTCATCTGGGGAGGGATCTGAAAATATTTCAATCTCACACAAAGCTACATAGGAACTTGATGTACTGACAAGGTCAAAATCAAATTTAACAGCTTCTTGTCCGACAGGCAAGTCAATGTATGAGCCTTGTGTGCCATGGTTGCTAGGTAAAATATAGTTACTTGTCACCTCAAAACTAGATCCAGCCAGTTTGTTGTATCCTGTAACCTGTAGATCATTAGAATATAAGTTTATAAGTTAATTCTTAGGCTCCATAAAAAATGTCAAATGAATAAACTAATCATGTACATTTATTCAGTATTATGCTGGGATGTCATCTTTTTTTGAAAAAATTAAAGTGTTATTTCATTCATATTAAAAAATAAAAATAAGAAATGACTGAATGTGTGTTACAAAGCAACTAAGGAATATTGTATTTCTTCATGTTAGAAAGTGAGCTTACTGGTTTATGGTAGACTAACCAGATGATTGTTTCTTTTTGAAATACTGCATGAATCAAGGCACACCTAGGCTCTTCTTATATCTTTAATGTGGAAGTGTGGCAAGATGACCTAAACATTTTCCATGTGCCCTAAACCCTAAGAAAATAATTATCCTAATTTCAAAAGATTTTAAAATCAGCATAACTGTTTACCTTGAATTTAGTGCTGTACCCAATAGTTGGATAAATTTTGATTTTATTAATGTACATCTGTTGATTCAGGGTTATGGTGACCTTAGCTGACCCGGCTCTAGCCATGAAGAAGTCTGTCCATGAGGAGCCCATTGTATGGTCAAACATATGGTGTAGCCTGTAGTATTCATTTCTGTAGCTGTTCAAATAGGTGCGTACATATATTTCTTGGTTACTAGTCACCTGGAAAAATATGCGAAGTACAATGTACATGTATTCCTTTTTTTCTTTGTTAGATAAACTAGGATAATATTAATTTTATATACATATTCTGTATCATAAGTAACATTGTACAATGTATGCTTTTTATAAAGGAATTCAATGAGTTAAATAATTTTTTCTCCATCACGTTTTTTCAACAACAAAAATGCAGAAGGCTACTTATTTCTTTTGCACTGGCTATCATTCAATAATGTATATAAATATATAACATATGTTGTCAGATTAAGTTTGATTGCTATCATTTTCTAATAAAACAAAACAATGGTATATCATAAAAAAATATCCATTCATTTCATTAAAAGAAGTTTGTTTGAGACCGAAAATTAAAAAAATCTCTTCCACCAATATTCTACCTATATTCAATTTACTTACAGTAAAGAAAGCTACACACTTTGGCCCAAACAAAAATCATATAGGTAAGTAATGATTGATGGTGCAAATCTATGAACACCCATATGAAAATTCATTAGTTATAACTTATACACTTTTTTCTTTTAGAAATATTTGGAGAAGTAACATAATTTTAATGAAATGTATTCCCATTTCACCATAATTAAAAACAAGTTGATATCTATTTAAAAAGAACATTACAATATGTCCATGGGTTGTTGTGTACGATGTACTTGTACTGTACTGTCCCGGAACCGAGGAAAGATCTATCCTGTGTCCTTCATTCAATATGGCAGTCTCTTCATTTATTGATCTCTGGCCATTATTATCTATTTGAAGCATGCTGAAGAAAAGAAAAGAGAAATGTTTTTGTTTTTTGTTTTTTTTTAACAATCATACATTCTTTTATGTCTTATTCAAATGTTAATGTCAAGGTGAGCTGCCATACCCTTTTGTGATTCAATGATATGCATTATTATTATTGTTATAATATATACATGTAAATAAATGGTGAATATTGTTTGGTTTATGATAAAAGCATATGGAAAACAAAATGTATTCACTATGTTTTGAGACATATGCACCAGACCATTCTTCACCAAAGTTATGGGCAGGGATCACGTTTCTAGGCGACTTGGGCGACAAAGTCGCCTTGTCTCTCTCCATTTCGCCCGGATCGCTTAGAAAAGCGAAAACAAAGTCGCCCTAATTTTCAATAAACGCTTGCAATAAATTTTGAAGTGTCAAGCAGCTCAGTAATCGTCTACGCTCCTCCTATTTCAAAGCGATTTGTTAAACGCATTTTCATTGGTCGGTAAAATTGGAAAGCCAATGAAACGCAGCAAGACAATTTAGCGAGTGTTGGAATTGAATGGTTGACATCTTCGGGTATTGTCAAATGCCGACTTATTATCAATAAACAACAAATAAACAGATTAGCAGCGATTCATGTCAATAAGGATAAATTGGGGCATACTTATTGCAATAATTAGTCGGTAAGTTTATTGAGCTAATTCACACATTTTCTCTTTACAAAAGCGTGTCGCCAAAAAAGTTGGTCAAAAAAATGTTTCGATGTTTACGATTGTCTCAGCAATTTGGTAAATGGGTCTCTGTTATAAATGTTGGTGATGGTTTATCCCTTGATTATTATTCTTTAAAAGAACTTTTTTTAGAACGTTTACATTTAGTAAACAAACAACAAAACACTCATGTCATTTGCTGGTTAATGGGGAAAAGACCGGTGCAAATAGTATCACCGATAGATCTAATGCATTATGCAGAAAATCCGTCGAAGAAAAAAAAATTATCAACTAGCTGTACACGCGTTAGATTTTCTTTAAAAAATAAATAAATAAATGAAATAAAAAAAAAACATCCACATAAACCTTATCAAGTTTATATGAACTTTGACTCGGCAACCTTATGAATATTTCTGGGGAAAATGATGAAATACATGTAGATCTAAAGTATACTAGTGATATACTAATTTTTTTTTTTAATTTCAGCACAACATCACATGGCTGCAGCATTAAAATCAAAACAAGCTACACAAAACCTATGATAAAGATGATATAGAAGAAAAAAAACTGCCACATTTGTAATTTTGCTGTTTATTGTTATGAGTTACTTAATAAACTTTTATGTACTCCACTATGTTAATCAATCTTAAAACTTAGTATGAAATGGAACAGCAACACTTCAAAAAAATGCAGTTCGTATGCACTTCTCCTTGTCCCTAAAAACTTCTCCCTATTTTCACTGGAGGGAGAAGTCACTTCTCCCTAAATTTTAGGTCTAGCGTGATCCCTGCATGCATGCATTTTCTTTAAGATAGCTTAGGTTGAATCAAATCAAAATAAATCTGATCATGTAATGATGACAAATTCTATAATCTCAAACCAAAATAACTTTTTGATACATTACCATTGGATTTAGATAATTAATGAAAATAATAAATAACTGATGAGAATATTTGTCAAGTTTGTTACATATCAAATTTAATTAACATATCAAGTTTAATGAAATTAAATATCAAAACAGAAACAAACTGGATAAATTTTGTTCAGTGAACTTCAGAAATTAAGAAATTATTTAATTAACAAGTTGTCAAATGTCACTTAATAGAGCAAATATCAAAGCAAAGAGATATTCACCTATATGACCTTTCACCATCATGTACATAAACTGTGCCTGCAGCACCGGCTTCAGCATTGGTGCCTGGCTTCCCACCAAAAGAGTCAAAATAGCCTCTGTAGTGAGGTATGGTCTCATTGCGAGAATGATACAGAGCGATCCTACCACCAGCACCACCACCTCCTTTAGTAACATCTCCTGATCCGCCAATAACCTGGATGTGACCTGTATGACTTCCTGTTAAAGTTTTAATATAAGATTATTTCAGTTCCCTTTGATAATACACTGTACACTTAATAAGTGCAATTAATTCTGTTTCATAAATTATAACTGTGAATCATCAGTTAGAACTGTGAAATATTTTTGATAAATTAATGCTGATAAAAGTCTGATGTACATATGAAAATAGTAAATCAAGTCCAAAAGTTTGTAATAAAATAGTTTCAGGATAAAAATACACAGAGTAAACAAATGTCTTGATTATTAATGTAATCAAAACGTTTTGGTGAAATATTACATGGTGAAAAAAAAAGACTTTGATCCATTTAGTTCCATAAACTCTGACCAAGTATTACTTGTTACCACAACCTCTCTGTTGCATGGCACTGCAGGCACCATAAATCCCATCCCTTAATCTTAATGGTAAAATTAATATATCAATAAGAAATTGATACCTGTAAAATTGTGTGTATAAATGGTAATACTGCCACCACTTCCACCATTTCCATCACTCTTCACAATATTTTCACTGTTAGCTTTGATATAACCATCTACAGCCAATGTATGGGCTATCTTCATGTGAATGACACCTCCACCTTTAAGCAAAATAATATTCCACTGAGTAAATGAAAATTGGATATTGAAATAGCATTGCTATAATCATTATATTACAAATAAATGTAGTAGCAGAAGTAAAACTCCACTAACAGTAAAGGGTTCCCTAAGATTTGTATATTTTTGGTCCGGGGTTGGAAGCTTTAAGATTATTAAAACACACTCAATTCTGATCATGGAATCAAAAATACTAAGCAATTGGTGTCAAATTTCTTGCTCATTGAAAAACGGCTTGCCCTTGTCCGACACGTTAACCGCTCCGCCACTTGCCAATGTTTTTACGATTAAATGAAAGATTAGAAGAAAGCAAGTTTTAGTGAGCCACGATGTTTTCACAAAGGCCGGGATCAGCATCATTTATGCCATTTTTTTTGGTTCTGAGAACTTTACTAAGATACTATCAATAAACATACAATATAGGATAAATCTGCTTCTGGCTCATCTACCTATACTCCTGTTTATAACAATTCTTATAAACTTGGTGTTACCCTAGCAAAGAATTAAGAAGTTGGTGGTAAACGGTAAAAGGGACCGAGTAAGAGTACACTTTGCAATATTTTTAGC